TGGGCAGGTTTTTCATTTAAATTCAGTTATAGTTCGTTCGTGTGGACACCATCGTCGTCTTAACTGGGAGGTCTGAGGACAGCCACCAGTTGAAGGTAGCGTCATCAATGGTCATCAAGCCAGCAGCGGGGGAGTTCCCATCCCAGTGGCCTGTTTGATGGAGTGTCGATGTAGGATCTCAGCTGTGTAGCTACGGCAGACCACCGCTCCACAAAGGTCGTGTTGATCCAGTCACGATGGTACGGCTGAGATGAGGAAAGTCTACTCTATGAACATCTGTGGAGAAGTGCTTGCGAGGAAGTCTCAGGCTGGCTCGGTCTACAGGCTCGGGCAGGGGACAAGGCTGCGCCGGGGTCGCCACATTTACAGGCTAGTTTCATCGTCAGGAAGTTTTGGCGAAGTACAGCAGGTGCGATGCCGGAGAGAACAGGTAGGCGTTCCACAGGTGTCGATGTGAGAGTGCCGCTAATTAGTCTTATCGCTGAGTTTAGAACCACATTGATCGACTAGGTATGGGTGCTGTGGGACCAGGCTGGGGCAGCGTATTCAGCGGTAGAGTTCGCCAGGGCCAGTGTAGAGGTGCGCAAGGTGGTGAAGAAGGCACCCCATTCAGTGCCGACAAGTCTCTTCAGGAGGTTGACTCTGGCTTCGGTCTTGGATACAATGGTTGGATGTGGTGAGAGAACGTGAGACTTCTGTCCAGTGTGACGCCAAGGCAGTTTGGTGTAGGATCAATGTTGAGCATGGCACCGTTCAGGTTGATGTCTAATGTCCTCTAAGCACATCGATTTGCCAGATAGAATACAGAGCAGACAGTTTTGGGGAGGCTGAGTTTGAGGTGCCACTGGTTAAAGTAATGACTGAGGCTGTTGAGATCTGTTGTACTTTTCAGTACAACCCAATGCAGACTTATCAGCGTAGGTGCACAGCGAGCATTTGCCGGACAACATATCAGCTGTGTAAATATTGAACATCACAAGGGCAAGAACAGAGACCTGGCGAAGGCCATTTTCAATTCTCCTCTTCTTGCTTCGTTGACCAGTGGATGTCTCAAGGACGAATATGCGATTTTGTATGAGCACCATTATGAATTTCACAAGTTTGACATCAGGAAGGGTCTTCAAGAGCTTAAGGTATAAGCCCCTTTGCCAAACAGTGTCGTATGCTACCGTGAGTTCAATAAACACTGTGCCAAGCCTCCCCTTCCTCTGGAAAGCGGCTTCAATATCGATTTTTAACGATTAATCATTCAGACAACAGCTGGTCCGGCCGAAGTTTGTAACCAAGTTAGGTTTTAAATCGGGATTCTTGTTCTATTGTTAAGCGCTCTGAGGAATCTTTGATTCATATTGCGCTATATAAATGTTGTTTTATTATTATTATTATTATTGACCAGGATCAGTTGTAGAACGGCCTTTCTGGAAACCAGCTTGGGTGTGGGGAACCTTCTTTTCTACAGTATCGTGGATTCTGGCGAGGAGAAATCTCTCGAACAGCTTGTAGAGATATGAAAAGAGTGAGATTGGCCGGTAACTGTTGGGGTCATCAGGTGACTTCCTTGGCTTGAGGATCGCGATGACTTTTGGTGTTTTCCATATATAGTGCAGGGATGGTGCTTGTTGGGATTCAAGTAGTGAAGGAGAGCCGGAGCCAACTCATGGATTCGGTACTCATGTGCCTTAGAAACTCTGTATGGATGTTGTTATCTCCTGGAGCTTTGCCTTTCTTAAGGGAGTTAATGGCTGCAACTATCTCCTCGAGAGAAATAGGTTTCGAGAGGGGGGTTAGACTGTGGCAGCGTCTTGATCAGCTCTTTGATCTCTGCATTGACTTTGCGAGTGAAAGCCTTAGCTTCTGGGGTTCGGTCACTCTGCCTTCCATTAACAGAAGCGATGGGGTTAGCTGAGACGAAGCAGGGCTTAGCTAGAATACTTCTGCCTATGAGACGGCTGATGGTGTTCCATGGCTTGCGGCTGGAGTAAATAAAATTGATGTTATTGATTTCCTCTTCCCATCTTGCTTGTCTCTTCTGGCCTAGAAGATCCAGGAGCTGATCGCCGATAGAGGAACGAAGATCAGGATTGTTGGTGTTCTAATACTCTTCAAATAAGCGGTCACAGTCTTTGACCCAACAGGGGACAAAGAGGTATCGACGGCCTCTGGGGATGGTGTGCTTCGCTGACCTGTTGATTATGACGCAGAAGGCGGAGTAAGGGTCAGGTAGCCTAGATGTCAGCTTTTTGGTTAAGTTTTTGAAGAGGCTGGAAATGGCAAGTTTAATGTCACTGGAGATAATGACAGGACAGTGGCCAGATCTAGGAAATTTGGTGAGGCCAGTCTTGAGCAAAAGGTGTTGATGTTGTTGGATACAACAGACAAGTCTGGGCAGGTCCAGGTTCCATGTCAGCCAGAGTACTGTGACGGAATAGGAATTAAGTCACCAACTGTATGTTTTAAATACACTAGCACACTGTGAGTCACCCACACTTTGCATATAAGGAATCCTTGTTTCTGATTGGTCAATTGAGTTTATGCACTGTTGTATGGCAAAGAGAAGTTGTGCACTAGCTTATGGGGCTCAAAGTCTATAAAAGGAGCTGCAGGGCTAGGATTTAGTCAGTTGATTGCTTGATTCTCTTATGATTAGAATAATTGTTAAGGCTCTTGATTATGTGGAATGACATGACAGATGATAATGATTAAAGGCTTGACCACCGTACTTGATTACTGTTTCTGTTCACCAATTACGAGTCTGTCTTAGGGCATAGGGTCTACTTAGGACTGAGTCAAGGGCAAAGCCCCAAGGGATATAAGTTGGTCCACCCCCATTCCGACTCCGCCGGCTCCACCCACATTCCGACTCCGCCGACTCCGCCCACATTCCGACTCCGCATATTCCGCCCTATTCCTACTCCACTCACGTTCCGACTCCACCCACTTCCTACGACTCCACATTCCGATTCCCGGTTCCCACTCCCATTCCCTTGCCCTGACTACCAGTCTACTGGCTGATCCGACCAACCCAGGAAAGGGGATAGCCTGGTGCTGTGGCCCATCACTTCAGGGATAGGACACCATCGGGACGGCACGCTACCAACCAAACCAGCCTGACGCAGGAGAGCTGGCACGACCCGTCACAGTACAAAGTTTTAGGATCCTTGTTGTCGAAGAAGGGATGCAGGTTTTGGGCCTCCACCCAGTCACTTGCAACTGATCCATTTATATCAGTGTTGGAGTATCCCCATCTGGTGTTTCTACAATTTAAGTCACCACAGACAAAGGCGCTTGCAGGAATTGATGGAAGTAAAGAAACATCTAATTCAGCAGGAGGTGGTTTGTACACATTGCAAAAGGTGGTAACTAGGGCTTCCATGGTTGACCACTGGATACTTGGGTTCTCTGGTGAACGGTCAGTAGCTCTTGTTTCAATACCTTGCTTGTCATAGATGACAATGTCATTCTTCTTGTGGGCAATGAAACTGATACGGGTGAAACCTTCCAGTTGCAGCTGCTCCTCTGACTCACAGTGGGTTTCTTGAAGAGGATGACGTTTGCGTGATGTTTATAAGCAAGATGTCGGATGACGTCTCTTTTAGCTCTATATAGGCCTTCCACGTTGAGGTGCAGGATACACACGTCGGTAGCCATCCTGAAGAGGACGCGTACGTGTTCCCTAGTGCGTTGCGGCAACCGTTCGAAGGCAAATCTTGGCGAGAAATGCGATGTAGTAGATGGTGTCCGGGTTAACAGCTTCAGTTCGAGAAATCTTCTCTTAACAGGATCACCCCGCGAACGTAGCTGTCATGATCCCCAGTTACAGTGAAAGCACAAAATACATATCAAGGGCATCACACAGGAACAAAGACCTGCCCGCTGTCATGGTGTACCGTGCAAAGGGTCTACGCATTTACCAAAGTCCGTGTCGGACGAGGGCTGAGGGCATTTCGCACTTTGTGAGTTCTCAGTGCCATAATGTCCTTACCACATTCAGTAGGGTAAACAAAGGTATATAATTCCTGTACAAAATAGAAAATTCGTTATCTGCGCCAAAATGTGGCAATGTGACAACGAGGGCGACGGAAAATCAGAGAAACTGGTAACTGTGTGCGAAAGATTTGTCTTGTACGTCCATGTTTTCATCTGAAATAATAGATAAAACCTTCTACCGTATCGCTGCAGCGGGTAGACTCGATCAAAACCAAATTCTTATCGTCACAAACTGAACGATTCGGAAGACGAATGGAAACCAACGGGTAAATCGCTCTTGATGTTCGCGGAACGTATTAATCTGCACAAAAGAGTGATGACAATACATGTATAGACCTAAACACAGAAAAACGAAAATGTGTATCGACGACCCCGGCGACCCTTCTCCAAGAACGTCAATAGTCTAGACGCACCCATTGTGAGTAATGCATACGCAGCCTGGTACAATGGTACGGAAGTAAATTGCTGCCACAAAAGAAAAATATTGCCGTAAGGCCAAAAAAAATAATATTCGGTCTCTGGTCAGACCAAAGTTCCGGAATTGACGCGGCGACGCGGCTTTTTTTTTTTTTTTTTTTTTTTTTGCTTTTTTTTTCTTTTCTTCAAGCTTGGATTGTACAGACAAGGTGGGGTACTATTTTACTTTTTTGGTGTCCTCATGTACATTGGTGTCCTCCATAATTTGCCTTGGTGCTTTTGATCATTTTCCTTGGTGCAATTTCCCATTCCTTGGTGCTCTTTGGTAAAACAAATTGAGGAGGCGCGGAAATAGAGGGCGCTGTTGGAGCTACCGCGGAACATTTTGGGGAAAAAAAGATCGACGCGCTTGATTAAAATCGACGCGCGCGCTGACCAGAGACCGACTTAATTTTTTTTTTGGCCTAAGCTTTCGTTTAAAAAAAAAACCTTGCCTTTAATATAACAAAGGCAACTTTGCTGATGTGGCAGTAATACCATTCCGTAAAGTGGAATACGTGGCAGTCCGCCATTTTCTTTTTGCTACGCAGGAACAACCACGTACATGTTTAGGGAACGAAGGATTCGAGCTGAGAAATAAACCTGTAAAAGCGCAATTCTGAGATCGATACACGAACACGGTAAACATTTTGAATCGTTGTTGACCAAGATGAAGTTGGTTTTGGTAGTTAGTCTCGTCATGGTGGGCCAGTACAGCCTGATTGGCACCATCGCACACGCCGTTGAAGACTCGGAGTCAGCTCTGGACATAGCTCTCCGTCCGTTGTACAGTCAAATCGACACCTTTCGGTACCAACTGGATGCTGTCAAAGCGCTTGTCCGTGTCCCTTGCAAGAAAGGTAGGTGTTGCAGAGAGACTTTCGATATTGTGAATCTTGGGCAGATCCGAGCAGTGTGCAATTGTGCTGCTGTTTATTCACCACCGCACACAATCTCAATATTTTTCTTTCCCAGTTAAACATTCAAGATTGCTCAAAAATAATGGGCTTTAATTAGTTGCAACTTGTGATGCCCGTAGGTGCCAATGCCAGTACAAACTGCCCGGACGTAATGTGGGTTTATTAGCTCCAAGAACAAAACACAAATCATTTTTCCTCCCCGATTTGTCATTATTACATGCTTGCCGTTTTTCGCTACCTGCATATGAGCACGAGTATAGCACCACCTGACATTAGCGGATAAGAGCGGTGGTTAAAGTTTAGGAAACCAAAGGTCACAATATAATCCCAATCAAGATCTTATTGGAGAACTAGAACTTTGGAACCGTCAGAGGACGATGAATTATTGAAGCAGGAAAATGGTTTCCGTCACTTTCGTTAATTTTAATTCAAAAAAATAAATTAAAGAGGGTGATATTTATACTACTGTTTACTGTTTGGTAATATCGGTATTTGTCAAGGACGACTTTGCTTGGTGAGGAAGAATTGAGCTGGATTAAAACTTTTACATTATTGTTTAATTTATGCTTCATTTCCAGAATGGCAGTTGGTTTTTAAAGGTGTGGCAGGGACCGGAGTTGGGTTGTACAGCTTGTGGACTGCAGCATCTTGGGACGAAAACACGATGGGTGTTGGTGGGAATTGGCGGGATGAATCGCTGCGTGATGGATGGCAAAGTGGAGAACTGAACGTTAGGCGAGTGAGTGTTGGACTTTTCTTTTGCATCTCCAAAATGTATGATAAGCAGGTGTGAAATAGTTTGATGTTTGCAAAATCGCAAGCAAACGCTCTGGTTCGTTTTTTATTGATTATGGGATGCCAAATGTTACTATCCAATGATCCACTATCGAGAACGAGGTTGAAGTTTAGTAGAACATGGGATCGTGCGTGACTTGCATGAAATGATTTTCTCGATGAAATCATTAAATTTAAGCACAACACCATGCTTGACCTGATCAAGACATGCATGCTCGCGGTGGCCTAGAACCAATTTTGGATAAGATCGTGACACGCCGGGTTAAAGCACCAAATTTATAACATGCACTGTATATGTATAAGTCCCTAGAAGACATAAAAAAGGGAGGTGCCCGGTTTTGGTGGCATAGGTCAAGGTCTGATCAAGGTCAAAGTTCACATTGTTTATGGGTGTAATGAATTTCCACAAAAGTCTTAAATTTGAGTCGGAATAGCCTTATAGGATGTTCTGGCAATAAATATAACCTATCATATTAGAAAAACCACCAGGAGTTTGCCACGGAGAGTTCATTTTTCCCAGTGCATTTGTGGGAGAAAATCGCAGCGCGGGCTATTTGAAATTGTTAGCTTGTCCGGTGAGTTGTTTCGTAAGCGTATGATTCGAGTATCTTTTTGCCCTTTCTTTTCTTTGTATCAATATGGTGTTTTTTGTAAGGTGGCAGAACGCTATGCCCCAATCCTTAACAAATTAGCCCAAGTAAACTTGAAAAATTGACTCCCCTGCCAAACTCTTGGTGGCACACTGCTTTGTGAAACGCTCGAAATTGGTCGTACCTGTGCTGATATTATGTCCTACACCTTGATGTGTGTCTTGATCACAAAAGATAATGGTATAAGAACAACAATTCAAAAGAAGATTTCATTCCATTAAGACATCCGTAAATATAAGTTGCTGAAATTATCATGATACAATTAGGCTATTGATGAGGAATGACTGTAATCGTGCATTGCATTCTCTTGAGTTTCTACTGAAGGCCACGGAAGTAGTACTGAATATATGATGTCAATCAGAAAATAAAAACTTGTGAGCATAACAAATGAGTGTATGTATATGAATGCTGTACTGAGATTTCTCATATACACGTACCTTTCACACTGCAGGGTAACTAGTATTACAACAGGACCAAGCTATTCAACTGGACCAATCGGTTTTCAGGGGAAATTGGAATACTAAAACTGATTGTACACTTTCGTACACCTTTCCTTGTGACTTTAATGAATGTGATGTGTATATTATGTACATACACAGACATAACAACTTCAAATCAGCATATGAAGCAAACAAACGCTTAATTAGATAATTAATAAGGTATAAGCTAAGGAATACATCAGAGGAAAAGCCTCATCTATGCTTGTAATTATTCTCATATCAAAGTTATAATGAACAAGAAAAGGCATGTTTTTCTCCAAGAGTGAAGTTACAGAAAGCTTTCTTTTTTTTTAAGTGCTGAACAGCATGACTACGTATTTCTCGGAATGAAATAAACTCTACTATTTAAATGGGCACTTTTTTTACGGAACTTTTTTTCTAATATGGTAGATTTTTTTCTGATATTCCAAGGACGTCCTTTATGCAATTCAGAACTTAAAATTTCAGACCTATGTGGAAATTCACAAGACCAAATACAGTATGGTACACAATGAATTTTGACCTTGGCCTGACCTTGACCTAGGCCACCAAAACCAGGCAGCGAATTTTTTTCTCCCAAACCACATCCCCATACATAGTTGTTCAGCGCCCTCTACGATACTTTTATGATTCACACGCAGGTATTTGTTTCCCTTCGTTTGACGAGCAGTGCGACAGCTCGATAGAGGGTAGGATTTTGCACCGCAAGGTTACAGGTTCAGATCTTGGTTTTGCACCCGATTTTTTTTTCCTTTTCTAACCTGAGGCTTTGGAGGATTTTTTTTAAAAGGGAAATAAAGTCAAAATCTCATAACGTTCAAATTCACGTTTTTTCTAATTTTATATTTTCTTCTCATGTTTTTATAAAAGTTAGTCCAAAACGCCATTGCGTACACCCATATGTGGATGACGTTTGGGAGAAAAAAAAACATTCGCAACCGGACACCCCGTCGAGAGTTTCTTCTATGGACCTATACAGTAATAGTCAGTAAATTTGGTGCTTTAATCCGGCGTGTCACGATTCTTCTTTAGCTACTGGACTACAAAGCTTTGCACTTGCAGAATACCTGTTTTTCTCGTGTTTTTTATGTCAAGGTAAAACTGTCCCTGCGTGATTTCGAGGGGCGCAGAGCTGACCTGATATTCAACGGTACCGGGACGGATATCCATAACTGGTTCTCCCAAGAGCGCCTCATCTCAAGCCCCTGGGAAGACGTGGAATTATCTACACCAAACTTCTTCGGCATTGAAGGGTACACACTGGAGTAAGTACATGTACATGTAGAAGCAAACAGTGTGCCACCAAGTGGGCGTTATGAGTTCCCTGACCTGATCGTCTCGATGCTAGGTCAGGTAGCTGTCACATTAAAACATAAGTTATAACATGACGGAGCAAGCCCTGCCCTCGTGTGAGTGCACGTTTGAAGCACAAAATATAAATGGACTTTAAATGAAATAGAGATACTTGGCATTGCGCCTGGTAAATATTTTGGGGGTTTTAAGTGAGACTCGATTTGATGAACCTAAAATGTTCGGAAACGAAAAAGACACTATTCATTTTGTAGCGACTGGTTTACATTGTATTACCAATGTTTGGTTATTTGGAAAAGTAGTGACAATTAGGTATCCACTTGATTATATACCACCATAGGCTGCTGAGATGACAGTAGTAACGTCAAGTAAGAAATTGCAGCCTGGCTTTTGTTGCAATAGGCCTACGTGCAGTTCTGTGAAATGTCAGCAGTTTTTTAATTCTATCCTTTTGCCACGACATGCACAGAGATCGACGATTCTACATGAGTAACAACCACGGTGGATGTGGCAACGACCAAGGCTGGTTGTGCGTGACCGAGTCCCAAGTCAGGTACGACTGCGGATGGGAGCGACCGTCCACAGAGCACCCCTACCCGGTTATTGTGTACAGCAGGTTGGCGACTAAAGTACTGTGGAATAACGTGGTCAATGCAGGTATACGCTTTGTTTTTTGTTAATTTTTGGTGGTGTTTTATTTCGTTGATGTCCATGGCTTCCCCGGTTTTCGGTTTGAAATACATATAATGGCAAGTCCTTTAAAGCTTTAATTGTCAATAATGGGGCTACAGATGCCCGTTCGGCAAGCGTTAATAAAAAAAAATCACCTTAAGTATAAACTAAATGTGCATATAACTATGTTCCCTTTCTCACAATCTGCATCGATGCCGAGAAGGCATTGCGAAGGCTATGAACTCAAACAAACAACAAAGATTCCCTGTAGTTCATTGAAATTGGCGCAAAGAAAGTAGTTTCAGAAAGAAAGTTATTATTTGTTTTTTGCTTAGCGTAATTTGCGAATTAATTGCTGTGAAAGAATTGTACACGTTTTAAAAGGCTTTTACAGGTAATAGAAAACATTTACACTTTCTATAAACGTGGTCTGCTTTGGTGCTAGATTTGGCACATAATGGCCTGTCGTTTAAAGCTGCTGTAGTTGCCAAAATGGGGCTACAGATGCCCGTTCGGCAAGCGTTAATTAAAATAATCACCTGCAACTTAACTTACTGTGGATAACTATAAACCCTTTGATCCTATGGCAGTCGTTTGAGATTTTTAGTAAAATACCATGTCTTTTTTCTCTTAATGTTGACAGCTGACGTTACAGTTGGACGCGCAGACTTTCTCACCATCCACGTCGATGCCGAGTAGAGATAGCCAAGGCTAACTCAAACAAAACAAAAAACAAAGATTCTCTGTAATTCATTGAAATTGACGGAAACAAGTAGTTTCAGAAAGAACGCTTTTTTTTTTTTGCTCAGCGTAGTTTGCGAGTTATAATTGCTGTGTTTTATTAAAAGAATTGTACAAGTTTTTTATATGCTTTGAAAGGTAATAGACATCATTTACACTTTCGGTAAAAATGGTCTGATTTGGTGCTAGAAGTCAGAGCTGTATAGCCGCTATTGTTCCACTGACCTGTTGAATGTATTTTGTCCATCGGTGGCAGAAAATGGAGGGTGGGGGAGGGGAAAAGCCCCTTCGTTTTCAACTGTCAAAATGCAACTCACAGAAATTATTTTGCATAAAACCCATAGGTCACAGGCAGGCCGTGCCTTGCTGCCGGCGGTGTCAAGGGAAAAATACATGTACAATATGTAGCTGCTTTTAACCAAGCGTATACTACGCACGAGATCAGCAAGCTGACTTGCTACCGTTGGCAGATGTTAGGGGGAAAATTCTGACATTGTGAGTGAACTATGAACTATGATTTTCGCAGGATAATTTTGTCATGCTGTAATTTACTTTAGTCAATTCTTTAGTAATTTGGCAATATGGACGTTTGCAAAATGATGTCCCCTGCCTTTTATATTCCTCCTGTTTAGTTTAATAATTTAATAAAAAAGCAATAGCCTTTATTGCGAAATCGGTGAACCGCACGCGATGGAAATATTTACAGAAAATAGTGCAAGAAATATATGCTTCACAATTATTAAGAAAAGTAGAGATAGCATTTCATTTTTTTTCCGAATTTTACCACAACCCTGAGAGGGACCTTCTATTGGGACACCCTGTATATATCAATCATGGAATAACCGACTAGAAGGAACATCGGTGCTTGACATTGCTGTAAAAGAATTTACAAAAGAAGAGAATTTGTTTCCAAAACGCGATAATCGCTACCTTTTTCAGTCCCATCTTCTCCTGGTTGCACAGAGTTTCGACGGCTGTTATAATAGCTAAGCACAACCTAAGAAAAGGTTCTACAGTAAAGTGAAAAACGCAGTTTAGAAACAGCTGTTATATGCTGTGAATGCTCTATACGTTTTCACAACTGTGTAACTTGTTCACTTATTTTCTTTTCTCGTCATATATATATATATCGCATTTCAGAGATAAACTCTTTAAAAGGTGTTGCAGGAAAGAGGTGATATGGTTGTTGGCTTGGAAGAAGGTTTTTAGGTTGTCAAGATGTTTAAATGATATAAGTGCATGTATTTTTTTCTAGCGTGGTACTTAAAAAAGCTTAGAACAATAGTTAGAATATTTTATCTTCAGACATTAGACCCCCCAAAAAAGTCTCCGGTTTCTGGTATGGAGCTTGCCCAAAAAGTGGTGCGGCGACGCGACTTTCTTTTTTTACCTGATTTTTTTGCTTCAAATGTCGGCTGATGACTGCAAATGGTGCCCGACTAAACTTAGTGCAAATATATGGGAGTCCGGAGAGGCCACATAAAGCTTATTCTCGATCATAACCCCGGTCTAAAAACACGTTAAAATTGTGCAGCAGCAGGATTCCAGTCAAACCAGTGAGTTTGGCGGTTTTGACAAATCATCTTTTATTGATTCTTTTTTTCATTTTGCCAACACGCATGGCTACGGCGACGCGCGCATACCAGAAACCGGAGACTTTTTTTGGCCTTACTTGAGATTGTTGTCGGAGAATATGCTACTTTTTAACTTTCATGTATTACTTTTTAACTTTCGCGCTTTGAAATTGATGGAAACAAATTTTGGTAGGACCAGTCAGAGTGCAGAATGCATTACAACTAGTGTCACCCCAGACAGTGCTTGAGATTGTTGTACACAAACTCAAATGCTGTTACAGGATAACTACGGCTTTCGTTTGCTTGATATTGCGAGTTAATTAATTGGCTTAATTGCATTGGAAGCATTTAATTGGATTTTATTGTTGCGGCTTTTAGTAGGGTTGGATGGTTTAATGTTTTGTTTTGTTTTGTTTTTTAACTTTTGCGCTTTAGCACTTAGTGAATTTTTTTTTAGAAATGGCCATGCTAAAATAAAGAGAGCATTGAAAAATGATGATAAATTGTTGTTATCCTTTTTTCGTTATCTAAATAAATTTTGTTCAGGCCAAACATAATCTAACATGGCGCACTGGAGCGCTTATCAGTAAATGCAGACTTCGCTCGGGGTATCGGTCACATCGCCCCTAACCACTTCGCCCCTTTACCAATTGCCACCTCCTTACCAAAAATGTTATAATCACAGTCTGAATTAAAATCTAACCCTCCCAATAATTACCCACAATTTCAACAGCGGAAATTCCACTTTTAACAAATAGGTGGGTTATTCACGATCATTCACGCTCAAGTCCACGGGGTGTTTCACATCGCCATGAAAAAAAAACACGCAATATCCGTGGCATTCAATAAAAGGCCGTGTGTCCTGCCGGCTACGGCTAGGTCTAGTCAGCTTGTTCCCACACAGTGGCAATGGGCGTACTTACAGTTCTAAGTTCTAAGTAAAGTGTATGGACAACCCCGCCGATTCAACCTGCATGGCGTATACCTTTCCGCAAGAACGTCACCGGGCACTTTACTATAAGCGCCTGTAGTGAAGAATGCGATGTGGAAAATACAGTGGCCTGAAACATATTAGCGGTACGGAAGCGTATTTCTGCCACACAAGAAAATAACTTACCTGAATTAAAACTTTTCCTTATAAAATTGTTCGTTGTAGCTTTTCCTTATAATTTTATACCCAAAAATCTTTTTGTTATCACAAAACCTCTCCTGATAACAAAAACTAATAAAAAATTGTTTTCTTATGTGGCAGCATTATGCTTCCGTAAAGTGGTATACGTGACAGTCCCCATGTCTGAGAGCCTCAGGGTCAAGGCTTCCAGGTAGGAGGTAGAGCTATAAAAGCGCGACTCTGTATTGATCAGGGAACATTGTTAACATTTTGAATCTCTCGTTGCCAAGATGAAAGTCGTTCTGGTAGCTACGTTAGCAGTGGTGGCCCAGTGCTGGCTGATTGGTGCCGTGATTGGTGAGTCAACTCTTGACCAAGCTCTCCGTCCGTTGTACAGTCAACTCGATACCTTTCGGCACCAACTGGATGCGGTCAAAGCGCTTACTTGTAAAGGTACGGTATAAAGGTGCTAATTCAAAGATACTTTATTAGGCACAGGCAGAGTCTAATGGAGCAGTGTGCTACGTACGTTCTCTGCTTTTATATTTATCACGGCAACAAGAGAGCAATTTCTTTTATCATTCTCTATCTTACTCTTTCAAGATGGCTCGCAGATAATGTGCTTTTTAGTTGCTAGTGGTACTTGTATTGCAGGAAATAAGTGCAAGCGGCGGTTCAAAAAAATGTCTTCCTACAAATGTTCCATTTTCATGAGTGAAACAATGAACACTCGTCGCTACCATCTTGCCATCATGAACACGCAAGCCTTTTCTGTCAAAAGTATCGTACCGTTTGAGATTTAAGGATGAGAGCAATGGATGGTTTTGGAAACTAGTAGTCAAAGTAAAAACGTATTAAGATCTTACTTGAGAACTAGAATATTGAAGCGAGAAAATAGTTTTGTTAATATCTTTAAGTTTAGAAATCAGAAATTAAAGAGGGTCATTTTTATACTTCTGTTTATTGTTGGACAATAATCAGTGTTAAGAACGACTCTGGTTGTAGTCCGGTCAACTTAAAACAGGACCTGACCTAGAACTTATTGCAATAGAATTTATTTTAACACTCTCACGCGAAGGATGTATCGCTGTTTAACATACTAAAACTTAAAATAGTAAAAGAGTGTTTTTATTCACTTTTTCGCGACTAATTTTTTATCATGCGTAAACATTCGTATGGAGGGCGCCATGTTTTCTTTTGCGTCCGTTACCCAACAGAAAATCCGTTCAGCATCACGCATGAGACTTTGCGAAACGTAAACACGACTGATCACAGCAGACGACTCCGCAGATGATTTCGCAAGGGTGGAGGGGGTTTAAACCAACCTCCCTGTCCGCTTGCCATTGCGTTCAATTTGTCAAAGTAATACGGGAGGTTTCGCTCGTACCCCCCGCCCTGCAAACAGTACGCTGGGATACTCTGATGAATTCACGCTCTGATTGGTTGGATTTTGCGTGACCAGTGACCTGTGCGTCATCAAGGTCATGACTCTGCAAGGTTTGAATCGGCCGTTAAGACTGATTCATTACTCTTTTATTCCATTTTAGAGATGTTTTTTTCTTGTTGAAAAGCGTAATAATGTAGGAAATTATGTAAAGCTTATCTGTGTTGTAAATTTACAATTCCTGTCACTTGCTCAGGCTCCGTTTCGAATCAAAAACGGTCGGATTGCATTATGCGACGCTCAAAATTTGGTTTACATGGTCCGCAGAGAAACAGAAATCACATCCGGTATGGAATGTGGGCAATTCTATTGGATGTTTTCGAATAGCATTTGTGCACATTGTGTAGCTGCAGTCTTGAACAGCTGCAACCAGATGCTTTATACATAGGTCATAGGCCACTTCCTTCACAAGATTCTGTGAAGCTCATCAGAGTATCCCAGCGTCCTGTTTGCAGGGCGACGGTTGTGAGCGAAACGGGAGGTCGGTTCATCCAAAGAATCATTTCGTCGGGACTCGAGTATGCTTGTCTGGCGTAGTAAATTTATTTAATGTCACTTTTGGCCAGTAAATGTATCAATCAAACCTTATTTTTATAACGAAGGATCATCTCGATTTAGGTGATTAAATTATTTATGGGAAATGTGCGATGTGCATGCAGAGCTCATGTACGAAACTACATCAGTTTCTCAAATTGTGTAAGCATCAGAATCCGAGCCGAGTATTTTTTGCATTTTCTTTACCAAATATCCAAAACATGTGTTCGTCATCGACATTGTCAGGGGCGGATCCAGGAATTTTCGCAGAGGGGGGGGGGGGGGGGCTGGTACCATATTTCAATAGGGGGCGCTGTTCAAATTCGACGATTATTAACACTAGATTACATAATGGGTACCGTATTTTCAACAGGCGGACATTATACCAGTATAATTTTTATTGGGGGGGGGGGTTGGGGTGTTTCGACTGATTTTTTTATGAATGTGTATGATAATTTTTTTGGGGACGGAGCTGGGGGGTTGACCCCCCCCCCCCCCCCTCTGGATCCGCGCCTGTCTTTAAATAAGGTTTTCGCCTTCCTTTCCAAACGGTCCGTGTATGTCCAATCGTTTTTCGTACGTGTATGATCAAACATGATATTTTTTATATCCCTTTTTGCAAATGTCACACTATCTCGTCTATGGATTTTTTGCGGACTATTGCGCGGAATATCGTCCACTCTGTCCGAGTGCCCTGGATGAAATTATGACTTGGAACAGACAATACTCCCGCCAAATGTAGAACCGTGAACCAAGTTACAACCTTGTATGCATCTTACTATAAAGCGTACTGTAAAAGTTGATGCGAAAGGCAAAAAGAAGTTCTACACACTCATTTTTATTTAAGTTTCCGATGTTCTGTCTTCTGCTGCACTTGCATTTGGTCATGAATCCTAAACATTATCTTATATCGGCATGCATACTGAAGTAAGTCGCCAGACGAATTGATTGAGGACAAAAGTCCCAAATTTTAATTGCCAAAAGGTGCTTGGAAAAAACACCTTTCCACTCGATAGAAACTATTAGATTTTTCACATATTGTTTGTGTATTTATTTGAAATTGTTTGACGCTTGAATGATTTCTATTGCAATTAGTTTTAGGTCTTAACCCTAAAAGGGCCGGGGCGGAATCCGCCCCCCCCCCTCCCTCAACTTTTTCCATGATAGCCATATCAAAAACAATTGTTTCGCGACCCGAGCTGTTCTTACTTTTTAGACTCGAGTCTTGCGCATCTTATAATACAAAAAACATAAAATTCGGACTAGGGGTTGCCGCGCAGTGAAAAATTATGAATAATGAATTACCCATAATTCCAAACCCTTTGACCTATAGTCATAAAATGTCTTGGGTACGTTCATGATAAGTTGTTCTGTGCATATGTTATGTACCGAGTTTCGTAATTTATCGTCACTCGATGGCCGAGATCTTGGAGTGGGGGGGGGCGGAATCCACCCCCTCCTTCCAGTTGTGAGATGGTCAAAATAACCCGGTCCTTTTTTAGGGTTAACATAAATTGACCGGACACTGGGGAGGTAAGACTTGATGTTATCGTTTCATTGCTGTCCCAGCTTCGGAATGGCAGTTGGTTTTTAAAGGTATGGCAGGGACCGGATTTGGGATATATGACATGTGGACTACAGCATCTTGGGACGAAAACACGATGGGTGTCAGTGGGAGTTGGCGGGATGAATCGCTGCATGACGGCTGGAAAAGCGGAGAACTGAATATTAGGCGAGTGAGTACTGGACTATATATTTGCTTAATTAAATTCTTTTTAAATTTATCTCCAAAAATCGTGTACATTTCTCATGATCAGGTGTTGAATGGTCTGATGTCTACAAAACTGCAAGCAAATGGTCTTGTTATTTTTATATTTTTAATTGATTTTGGATGCCAAATGTTACTCTCCCATGATCCACTATCGAGGACGAGGTTGAAGTTAAGTAGAACCTGGGACCGTGCGTGACTTTCAACATTCACACAGCATGATTTTAGAGAATGACTTTGCATGAAATGATTTTCTCGATGAAATCACTAAATTTAGGCGCAACCTCATGCTTGATCTCAGACATAGTTATACTCACAAAGCTTTGAACATGTAGTACACATTTTTCTCCTCACGTTATGGTTTGGTGTCAAGGTAAAATTGTCCGTGGGTGATTTCAAGGGGCGCAGAGTTGACCTGATATTCGACGGTACCGGGACGGATATCCATAACTGGTTCTCCCAAGAACGCCTCATCTCGAGCCCCTGGGAAGACGTGGAATCATCCACACCAAACTACTTCGGCGTTGAAGGGGATACAGTAGAGTAAGTACAACACAAAAGCGATGATTAGTGTGCCACCGATTGGGCATTATGAGTTCCCTGACCTGATCGTTTTGATCTTAGGTCAGGTAGCTGTCACTTTCAAAAATATAATATGATGGAGCAGGCCCTGGCCCTGCCCTCGTCTTAGTGCACGTTTGAAGCACAAGGCCTAATTGGACAAAGAGATACTGATGGGCATTACGCCTGGCAAAGATTCCGTAAATGTGAGACTCGATTTGTTGAACTTCATCAAAATCAGCATCGAAATGAACGATAAAAAACGACTATGCTATTTCAATACAACGCCAATCGACACATGAGACAAATTTATCGAATAAGGACGAATTAGAGTGCCATAGGTTTGAATTATTCTGCACTTTAAATGAAATCCACTGATGGCTATTTTGAAATTGAATCGAGAATTGAGCTCGTCCATGTTCTGGAACGAAATTAAAGTTTCGTTCTAGAGAATTTGTGTGATATATTGCAGCCTCTCTTTTGTTGCAATAGGCCTTTTTGCAATTCTGGGTACTGTAAGAAGCTCTTATTTCTATCCTTTTGCCACGACATGCAAAGAGATCGACGATTCTTCATTAATAACAACTACGGTGGATGTTCCATCGACCAAGGCTGGTTGGTCGTAACCGAGTCCAATAGCGGGACCGATTGCGAATGGGAGCGCCCGTCAGAGGAGCACCCCTACCCGATCATACACTACAGCAAGTCGGCGAGTAAAGTAGTGTGGCATAACGTGCTCAATGCAGGTACGGGTTGGGTTTTGCTTCACATAATCGATGCTAATATAAGGTGTGGTCGGTTAGCGATCAAGGGGCGTGGTCACATTAGTGGTGCACCCAAGGGGGGCCCTCGGGGGCTAGAGCCCCCCCCCCCGGTATTTTTTTTTAGTCCCACGATTTGACCTTGGTGATATGTATGTGGCCTATTTTCGAGTAGTATAATAGGGGTGTAAGTGGCGCCACCAACGTCAAAATAGTCCGCACCCCGAAAATTGTTTGAGGCCCCCCCCCCCCCCCCCCCCCCAGCCAAATCCTGGGTGCGCCACTGGGTCACATGTCCACCATGGAATTCGTATCAATTTTACTGCGGGTGTCGCATTGGGTTGATTTGTATAAGTGTGTGGGGGACAGGGGCGGATCCAGGAATTTTGCGGGGGGGGGGGTCAGGCCCGTCTGATTTTTCATGTCCGATTGTTGCGGACAGGCGGAAATGTAACAAACTCAGGCATAAGAGTGTCTGCCTAATTTGAAATTTTCCTCAAAAATGTGGAAATTCGCATTGGCATAAATCCAAAAAGGTATCAAAATACCCGTGAAAAAGGAAATAATGAAACTTAAAAGTAAAATTAAATGGGAAACAAAGGCGCACCTTCAAGAAGGATTGCATTCGAATAATAATTATATTACATAGCCCTTTAAGCTTTAGCTGCCAATAATGTGGCTGCATATTCCCGTTCAGCAAGAACAAAAATCACCTGCAACTAAACTAACTGGGGATAATTATACTCTTTGATCATATGCCAGTCGTTTATGAGTTTTATTAAAATACCACGTCTTTTATTTTATTGTTCGTAATGTTGACAGGTGATGTCACAGTGGGACGTGCGGACTTTCTCACCATCCATGTCGATGCCAAGTAGGGACTACAAAGGCTAACCCAAATAAACAACAAAATACAGTTAATTCATGGACATTAATGGAAACAGTAGAGAATGTATAAAAGCTATAGACACATAAAAATGTATCTTCTCTGCTTGACATAATTTGCAAGTAAATTGATGTGTTTAATTATTGAAAGCGTTTTACATTTTGGTTTTTTTTTAAGGTTTTTAGTAGGCAATATCTGCATTTCCCGAAATTTAAAAAGTGGTCTGATTTTGGGCTAAAAATATACACCAGTTATCATTCCACCGACGGCCTATTTAATTTTTTGTGTCAAAATGCAACTCGTGTAATTTGTTTTGCATAAAACCCATAGGTAACAGACAGGCCGTGCCGTCATTGCTGGCGTTGTCAAGGTAACAATATACATAACTGCGTATATTAACCGAGCGTATGCACGAGATCAATAAGCTGACTTGCCCGTTTATATAGTATTCGACGAGAACAAAATTGTTGACAATCGCTCTACATCGCAAGTATTCCATGCACTACGATTTTCGCCGGATAATGTTTTATGCTGTTATTTACTTGAATCAATTCCATATTAATATGATAATTTGGACTTTTGGCAAATAATGCCCTGCCTTTAATAGGGTTAAAGGATATTTGTGTATTCATAGAATAGTTAAATGTATTTCTTTATCTTTGGCGCTTAACCCTAAGAGGGCCGGATTATTTTGACCATCTCTCAGCCGGGGGCGGATTCCGCAGCCCCCCCCCCCCCCCCCCCCCCCCCCCGAGGTCTCGGCCATCGAGTGACGACAAAATTGGAAACTCGGTACATGCATAGAACAACTTATCATTAATATACCGAAGAGATTTCATGACTATAGGTTAAAGGGTTTTCGCATTATGGCTAATTAATTATTCATATGCATGCATGGAATGTACACTACGTATATGGGGAAATTCAGTTTTCACGGTAATGCGGTAAGGTAATGCAGGGAAAAGGTGATATGGTTGTTGGCTTGGAAGAAGGTTTTTAGGTTGTCAAGATGTTTAAATGTTATAAGTGCATGTATTTTTTTCTAGCATGGTACTTAAAAAAAAGCTTAGAACAATAGTTAGAATTTTTTTCTTCAGACATTAGACCCCCCCAAAGAAGTCTCCGGTTTCTGGTATGGAGCTTGCCCAAAAAGTGGTGCAGCAAATGCAAATGGTGCCCGACTAAACTTAGTGAAAACATATGGGAGTTTGGAGAGGCCACATAAAGCTTATTCTTGATCATAACCCCAACTAAAAACACGTTAAAATTGTGCAGCAGCAGGATTCCAGTCAAACCAGTGAGTTCGGCGGTTTTGAGAAATCATCTTTTATTGAAAAAAAACTTTTTCATTTTGCCGACGCGCATGGCTACGGCGACGCGCGCATACCAGAAACCGAAGACTTTTTTGGCCTTACCTGAGATTGTTGTCGGAGAATATGCTTCTTTTTACTTTCATGTATTACTTTTTAACTTTCGCGCTTTGAAATTGATGGAAACAATTTATGGTAGGACCAGTCAGAGTGCAGAATGCATTACGACTAATGTCACCCCAAACAGTCCTTGAGATTGATGTACAAAAATTCAAATGCTGTTACAGGATAACAACGACTTTTGTTTGCTTGATATTGCGAGTTAATTAATTGGCTTAATTACATTGGAAGCATTTAATTGGATTTTAGTGGTTTTATAGGGTTGGATGGTTTAATGTTTTGTTTTGTTTTGTTTTGTTTTTTTAACTTTCGCGCTTTAGCACTTAGTGATTTTTCTTTTTGAAATGGCCATGCTAAAATAAAGAGAGCATTGAAAAATGACGATAAATTGTTTTATCCTTTTTTCGCTATCTAAATAAATTTCGTTGAGGCCAAACATAATCTAACATGGCGCCCTGGAGCGCTTATCAGTAAATGCAGACTTCGCTTGGGGTATCGGTCACATCGCCCCTAACCACTTCGCCCCTTTACCGATTCGCCCCATTGCAGTGCATTGCCACCTCGTTACCCAAAATGTTATAACCAGCAGTCTGAATTGAAATCTAACCCTCCCAATAATTACCCACAATTTCAACAGTGGAAATTCCACTTTTAACAAAAAGGTGGGTTATCATTACGATCATTTTAACCCCAAAATATAACCCACTTTCTGTTACCCAGAATTTGAACTAAGTCAGTTTATAACCCAGAATTTCAACCCATACTCGTCAGATTAACCTTGATTGTTTTAACCTGAAATAATATAACCCAAATTCCGGTACCCAAAGTGTTGGTTAAAATTTAATCCAAATACTTTTTCAGTGTGGGCGCATGGTAAAGTGCCTGATGACATTCTTGGGGAATGGTCATGCAGGTTACGCCGATGGGGTCGGGTACATACACACTTTGCTGGCTTTCGGATCTCTTATCTACTATCACTGTAAAAAAAAATCCGTAAATTTACAGACTCCGTAAAGTGATATATTCCGTATTTTCGCCGTAATTTTACGGACTTTCCGTAAATGCAAATATTAATTATGCTAATTAACGTGATTACAATCAACCACATCGGCCCAAACGCCTACACATAATATAGTACATCCAAGTACATATTGTTATTTCACCCACAACCGAGTACACATGTCCAAACTCATGTTAAGGCCAAAAAAAAAAAGTCTCCGGTTTCTGGTACGGAGCTTGCTCCAAAAGTGGTGCGGCGACGCGGCTTTTTTTTTTTTTACCTGGTTTTTTTTTTTTTTTTTGGCTTCAAATGTCGGCTGATGACTGCAAATGGTGCCCGACTAAACTTTGTGCAAATATAATGGGAGTCCAGAGAGGCCACATAAAGCTTATTCTAGATCATAACCCCATCTAAAAACACTTTAAAATTGTGCAGCAGCAGAATTCCAGTCAAACCAGTGAGTTTGGCGGTTTTGAGACATCATCTTGTATTGAAAAAAAAACTTTTTCATTTTGCCGACGCGCATGGCTGCAGTGACGCGCGCGCATACCAGAAACCGGAGATTTTTTTTTTGGCCTAAGGGTCTGTTTATTTTACGGAATGAAAAAACATTTCCGGAAATTTTGCTGCCAGCAAAAAAAATAGCGTTCCGTATTCCTACAGCAAAATTTCCGGAAAAGTTTTTTTTTTCATTCCATAAAATAAACAGACCTTTTCCATAGAAATGCACACATTCTATACCGGATGTGATTTCTTTTTTCATTGCGGACCATGTGGATACAATTTGAGCGTCGCATGATATGCAAGTTGACCCGTTGTGATGAATTCAAAACGGAGCCTGATGAGCGAGTGACGGGAATTGAAAGTTACAAAACAGATAAGTTTCACAGCTTTTCCTATACATTATTACGCTTTTCAACGAAAAAAAAACATTTATGAACTGGCATAAAAGAGTGATGACCATAGAGCTAGGTACCAGAGGGCTAACTCAAGTGCAAAGGGAAAAGTGATGCTGGGCGCATCCATGTTTGTACACAAACCTATAGAGTACTAGAAATTGTGTACGGCTATTTGCATATCTGCGTTTGTATTCCATACCGGTGCGTCATCGAAGCCGATGCGCCCAAAACCGAAACTCACGATCAGCAAATGAGCGTGTCATTTTGCTCTACGCAAACAGCGCAACGTGTGCGCGTCCCTCCGCTGCAGATAGATGCTTTTCGCGGTGACGTTTTTGAACTGTCATGACACGCTTTAAGTTGTTTTCGTATCTTCTACTTGCGCGTTGCATTTAGAGTACACTTTTAAAATTTAATCCAGCTACACTTGCATTTTGATTGTGTTCTACAAACGCACACATAAATTCAAAATGTTTGCGCCCAGAGAATGAAGTAATTTCGGAAGTGCGTTTTAAAGCTATAGTCCATCATTTGTAATTAGTGCATTTTGTTTGTTTGAAGCAACAAAAGTGTTCAAAATCTAATGAAGGATACTGAGCAACTAACCTGATGAAGTTTCAGCTAAGCTTCAGCTGTACATTCCGAGAAAAGCAGCATTCTAAGATCTCAATTTCAAATCAAAAGTTACTGAATCATGTTTTGAATTGTTTTGAATTGCAGCTATACGCGGCGTCGCGCACTGATCCGACGAATTATAACAACCGCGCGCGCGTGTGCGTCGTTCCAATACTTGTGCGCGCTGCGCTGAATAACAAAACGAACTTCTAATTTAAATTTTCCTACGGTGCTTCTTGAGAATCACCGTTGGAAATGCCTTCTTTCGTTGATTACTTCAAAATGACAGCTTCCCAGAAAGGATAATTTCACAGGGAGTTTAGTTCCCTCACTATCTTTCAACCAAGTTTGTTTTCCAACAATAATTACGCCAGTTACTTTTCGGATGGCTGCAAATGATGGACTATAGCTTTAAGTTCTATCTGTGGCCGCAGCAGCTGGAATGGCGCTCGCATCTTGGAATAGCGCAATACGCGGAGAGAGATATGGACATGCGATTAGGTTTGATATCACACTGTTGTTGCGATGGATATCGATCAACCATGATCGAATTTCAAGTTTGCTGATTCGCATTTTTGTATAGACCTTCACAGCAAAATGGACGATCCTGGCGATTCTTCCCCTCAAGAACGTCATCAGTCGCACCCCGAAGTCTGGTACAAGTGGCAGTCCACCAGGTTGTTTTGATACGCAGGAACAACCACGCACGGGTTCAGGGACTCAAGGATTCGAGCTGTGAAATACACGTACGAGAGTGCAATTCTGAAATTGATTTTCGAGTAAAACTGAGTTAACATTTTTGCTGTTGACCAAGATGAAGTTGGGCTTGCTAGTTAGTCTCGTCATGGTCCCGAACAGCCTGATTGGCACCATCGCAAGCACCGATGAAGACTGCAAGTCCGCTCTGGAGACATCTCTCGTTCCACTGTACACTCAACTCGACACATTTCGCAGCCATCTGGATGCTGTCATAGGGCTGGTTGTCCAGAACGGTAGGTGCTGCAGCGATGCTTTTGTGAATCAAAACCAGATCCAAGCAGTATGCAATATTGTGCTGCTGTTTATTCATCACCTCACTCAGTGGCACCATCTCAGTTTCTTCTTTCTTTTCTCCCGTTACTCACTAAACATTGCTCAAAACTTATGTGCTACAATTCGTACCTATGGAAAGGTGTCAGTGCCAGTACAGACTTGACCGGAGCTCCAACATGCTTGCCGTTTTGTGTGCATAAACGTACAACAATGGCGGCCCCTTTGGTTGGCTTTTAGTAACATTCCCATTGGAGTGCTAAACTTTTGAAATCGTCAGAGGACGATGAATTGTTGAAGGCAGGAAAATGTTTCCAGTTAAATTCGTTAATTTTAGAAAACATCAATCGAAGAGAATAATTTTAATACTGTTTATTGTTTGTTGATACCAGTATTTTGTTAAGGATGTCTTTGCTTGGTGAAGAAGAATTTAGTTTGATAACGACTTTATGGCTATCATTTCATGTATGCTTCAGCTTCGGAATGGCAGTTGGTTTTTAAAGGTGTGGCGAGGACAGGAGTTGGGTTATACAACATGTGGACTGCAGCATCTTGGGACGACAACACGATGGGTGTCAATGGGAGTTGGCGGGATGAATCGCTGCATGACGGCTGGAAAAGTGGAGAACTGAGCGTTAGGCGAGTGAGTTATCCTTGGTTAAGGCGTTCGTCGATGCTGTCCGTGATGGCATCTGGGGCCGTATTCACAAAACACAAACTTAAGAGAATAAGTCAGACTTGAATCTAAGCATCCTACTAGCGGCTTAAGTGGGGTGCCTAATTTGGTATTCACGACAGATATAAGCACCCCATGATCTAAGAGTGCAAAATAATCACTCTTGCTCATGCGCAAAACATTTACGTAATAAGCGTTCCTACGCAGCCTGCGGCGGTTCAATAAATTCCTTAAAGGGACGCTGGGTCCTAGAACAGCCCAATTGGACTACAAAAAGCACTTTGAACGAAATGATGCTTAAAAAATCTGAAGAACATTTAAAAGTAGGATATCAGCATCCACACAAGTCAACTTTCCATTCAAAACTGGGCGTTTTTATGTAATTCCTGTATTATGCGTGCGTGAACGAATTTCGGGGTCCAAAAATTCGAGCTGTTTTGATGCTAGTGATTTCCTCCGTAAAATGGTCGCCGTTTGAAGACGTGTATGAAACCATATTTTGTGCGTTGGTGATTGGTCACCGCGCGCTGTTCGCGAGCACGGTGCTGTGTATATACATAGGCCTATCGTACGTATATTGACTGAAAGTGTTAACGACAGGAAAAGCGTATTCGTAGTCCGTCGTGTCCGATGTAAACAACCGGCAGGTGCGGATCCAGAGGGAGGGGGGGGTCAAACCCCCCCCCCCCCCCAGCTCTGTCAAAAAAAAAAATTATCATACAAATTCCAAAAAATAAGTCGACCCCCCCCCCCCCCCCCCCCCCCCCCCCCCCCCCCCCCCGCTGTGACACCCCCCAAAAATTATACTGGTATAATGTCCGCCTGTGCAAAATACGGTACACCATTCTGTAATCTAGTGTTAATAATCGTCGAATTTGAACAGCGAACCAGATGTTTGAAATAGAATAAATAAACGATCCAAAACATGACATTTTCGGGGATTTCAGGACCGCCAGTGCCCCTTTAACATATATCATGCGTGCAAATTCAGCAACGCAACAAGTTCGTCATGCACATCGTATGCATGCAGTGCATGCATTAATTTCTCAACGGTTAGTTGTTTCAACAATAATAAAAGTGAAATGCTCGTTTTATTTACTATCGAGTGTGGAACAATGTGAAGGTGATTTGTTAGCATTCTCTCCTACATGCTGGATCATTCTATAGTCAGAGTTCACCGTAGTAATACACTGCATGTCATTGGGTACATAATACGTTCAGTGGCGGCGCCAGACACTAACATTTGGGTGCAATTCAAAAAAATTCAAGCCTGTGTACGCGCACTGGGATAGGGCGCTAACGCTTTGCACATAACATGCATAGCACTTTTTTATCATTTTTTGTTTTGATGTCAAGGTGAACCTGTCCCTGTATGGTTCCGAGGGGGACAGAGTTGACCTGATATTCAACGGTACCGGGACGGATATCCATAGCTGGTTCACCCAAGAGCGCCTCATCTCCAGCCCCTGGCAGGACTTGAACTCATCAGCCACACCAAACTACTTCAGCATTGAAGGGGATAAGTCCAAGTAAGTATATTATATAAAAGCGATGAATAGTGTGCCACCAAGTGGGAACAGTGGCGTAGCCAGGATTTTTTTCAGTGGTCACGGTGGGTCCCCGGGGAGGGGGGTTTAGTCTATGTAATAGACCCTTGTGAGCCGATTTTCTGATTAATTATGCAAGACAACCGCCTCTGGACCTCTAGATTTTGACCAATCAGCGGGCGCTTTCTATATCGGGTCTCGCCATGGATTTCTATAAATAAAACCTAGACACCCCGGTTCCGTTGCCCCTAGAATTCCGTAAATGTGAGACTCGATCTTGGTTGAACTCCGTCAAAATCAGCATCAAAATGAGCGATAATAAACGATTATGCTCTTTTAATACAACGCCGATCGCCACATGAGAGGAATTGAGCGAAATAAGAGCGAATTAGAATGGAACAAGTTTAAATTATTCTGCACCTATGATGGTGGCTATTTGAAATTGAGAATTGAGCAGGTCCCGGCATGTTTTGAAACGAAATTGAAGTTTCGTTTCTAGAGAATTTGTGTGATATATTGCAGCCTCTCTTTGTTGCAATATAGGCCTTTTCTTGCAATTCTGGGCACTGTAAGAAGCTCTCATTTCTATCCTTTTGCCACGACATGCAAAGAGATCGGCATTTCGTCATTAATAACAACTACGGTGGGTGTGGCGTCGATAAAGGCTGGTTGGTCGTGACCAACTCCAATAGCAGCATCGATTGCGCATGGGAGCGACCGGCCACAGAGTACACCTACCCGATCATGTACAGCAGGCTGGAAAGTAAAGTACGGTGGCATAGCGTGCTCGGTGCAGGTACGGGGGTGGGTTTAGCTTTACATCGGACTTATTCACGAGTCGCCCGTATTGAATTGAAAGTTAGTAAAATCTTACTTTTTTTAATTGGCGAAGAGAAATGAAATCAACTTAACTTATTATGAATTCCAGTCTGCTTCAACGAATAATTTAAAATTAGTAATTAAACATTCCCAAATGTTTTAAGTCATATTTACAAAAAAAATTGACAGTAAAATAAGGCCGCATTGTGCCTGCATAAACAGTCTGGCACCATCCCATTCAACAGTTAACAATTAATGAAATACATTCAGGGAACTCGACCAAAATGGCCAACGCGTGAATAAGGCCCATGATATATGGCGGTTATATAAGGCGTGGTTGGTTAAAGATAGAGGGGCGGGCTGACATATCCACCTTCGAATTCGTATCAATTTTACGGCGGGTTTTGCATTGCAGTTGATTTGTGTATGTGGGTAGGCCTAAACACCGCGTTATGGGGAAGTTTTTTTTATTGTTAGGCAAAATAATCATATGGCAGTCCTTTCAGATATGTTATATTAATTTACCGATTTTTTTTATGTTCACAGGGGATGTTACAGTTGGACTCGCAGACTTTCTCACCATCCAAATCGATACCTAGTGGTGTTGTACAAACCCGACCCGAAACCGACTTTGGGTCGGGTCGGGTCGGTTTGTCCATCATTTCAGTCGGGTTGGGTCGGTTTCTGTTTTGCGTTTGCGATTCTCTAAATGGTTTGCGGTCTATCACGATCGGTCTATAACATGTAGGCCCAGGTAACGTTGTGAGTACCGTATACGGTATGATTCAGTTTCATACCGAGAGACAACGATTTTCACATGACATGGGTATAAGTTCAAGCACAAAAAGCGGACACAGTTGCCCAAGCCAAACATTAGGGTTTGTTTCGGGTCGGTTCAGTTTCGGGTCGGTTTGGGACGGTTTCCCTTGATTTTTGGTCGGGTCGGATCGGGTCGGTTTTAGGGAGTTCAGATCGGTTTCGGTTTGGATTTGATTTATTTCTATTATGTTTTGAGACGGTTTGGCCTGGTCAACCCGACCCGATGCACAACACTAATGCCGAGTACAATTGGGCGCATGCCAGGCCGTGATGTCCCTTTAATGGACCGATCCAGTAAGCCCCGCCCACTGCGCACGTGGGCAAATTACCACGTGCTCCTCTCCAATGCCACACTGCATTTTCCTGCCGCGCGCATCATACGCGCGTGCACGTCGGACTTTTGTGCACGCACGTCGGACATAAATCACGGCTGTGATTGGTCAGTACACCATGGGGCGGTACTTACTGGATCGGTCAATGGACCGATCCAGTAAGCACCGCCCCATGGTATTCTGACCAATCACAGCCGTGATTTATGTCCGACGTGCGTGCACAAAAGTCCGACGTGCACGCGCGTAGGACGCGCGCGGCAGGAAAATGCAGTGTGGCATTGGAGAGGAGCACGTGTTAATTTGTCACGTGCGCAGTGGGAGGGGCTTACTGGATCGGTCCATTGATGGCATAGCATGGAAGATGTGTCAGGTTAAAGGATAAGTGCGTGTTAATATATACAGCTCATGTATTTTTTTTTTCGAGCGTGATGGGTACTTAATAAAAAGAAAGCATAGCCTAGATTTCTTCAGACATTACTTGAGATTGTTGTAAGAGAATGTGCAAAAACAGTGCAGAAAAAGAGGATCTTGGCTTGACTTTGCAAATAAATTGATAGTTTTTAGGTTTTGAAAAGTGTTAAAGATTAATTATGTACTAATAAAGTGTATGTATTACTTTTTAAATTTCGCGCTTTAATGGAAACCATTTTTGGTAGAACCAGTCAGAGTGCAGAATGCATTATCACCGTGGGGTCCGCCGCCTCATAGGTCCGACGCCTCATAAGTCCGAAATTTTGGACCTATGAGGCGTCGGACTTAATATGAGGGGTCGGACGTAATGGGGCATAAAATAAAATAATTCCGCCTCATAGGTCCAACGCCGCATAAGTCCGACGCCTCATTGCTCCGACGCCTCGTAAGTCCGAAACAGCGTTTGTCCATTGTCGGACTTATGAGGCGTCGGACCTATGAGGTGGAATTAATGCCTCATAAGACGCTTCATTAGTCCGAAATTTCGAACTTATGAGGCGTCGGAACTATGAGGCGTCGGACTTATGATACGGCCCCATCACCGTAGACAGTGCTTGAGATTGTTCCAGAAAAATTCAAATGCTGTTACAGGATGACCACGACTTTTGTTTGCTTGATATTGTGAGTACATGTAATTGCATTGGAAGCATTTAACTGGATTTTTTTCGGGATTTTAATATAAGGTTGTATAGTTTTATGTTTTTGTTTTGTTATGTTTTGTTTTGTTATGATTTTTTAACATTCTCGCTTTAGTACTTAGTGAAAACAATTTTTCGGAATGACTGTGCTTAAATAAAGAGAGCATAAAAAAATGATAAATTGTTGTTATCAGTGGGGTTTTTTTTGGGGGGTGGGGGCGGGTTAGACCTATCATAAGTAAATTCTTATCGGCCGATTTTCATCTGACATGGCGCATTGGGGCACATATCAGTAAATGCAAGCTTCGTTCGGATGTCGGTCACTTCGCCGCATTTCAACTTCGTTCCATTTCATATCGCCTCTAACCAATGTACGCCCCTTTACCAATTAGCCCATTGCAATGCATTACCATAGGCGTCGCCAGGGTTTTTCTAGAGGGGGCCGAATCCCACTTTTTCCCAAAATCCTTGTGATTTCTCCAGCATGTTTTCAATTTATCATTTTTTCGAGGGTAGGTCGGGGACAAACTTTGCCCACCCCACACCTTTTACTTGAGGGACACAGACGCACTACATTACCGTGTTCCACGAGCGCGAGCGCGATAACGAACTTATTTGCAAGCAAACTGGACGCGCGCACAGTTGGAACTGGCACGCTTTAGACGAACCATTAAAGGTAGAGTCCATCATTTGTAATTTGTGCATTTTGTTCGTTTGAAGCAACAAAAGTGTTCAAAATCTAATGAAGGATACTGAGCAACTAACCTGATGAAGTTTCAGCTAAGCTTCAGCTGTACATTCCGAGAAAAACAGCATTCTAAGATCTCAATTTCAAATCAAAAGTTGCTGAATCATGTTTTGAATTGTTTTGAATTGCAACTATACGCGACGTCGCGCACTGATCCGACGAATTATAACAACCGCGCGCGCGTGTGCGTCGTTCGAATACTTGTGCGCGCTGCGCTGAATAACAAAACGAACTACTAATTTAAATTTTCCTACGGTGCTTCTTAAGAATCACCGTTGGAAATGCCTTCTTTCGTTGATTACTTCAAAATGACAGCTTCCCAGAAAGAATAATTTCACAGGGAGTTTAGTCTCCTTACTATCTTTCAACCAAGTTAGTTTTTCAACAATAATTACGCCAGTTACTTTTCGGATGGCTGCAAATGATGGACTCTACCTTTAAGCGGTTTAGCGCATGAAGTTGGAATTGCGCTCGCATCTTCAAATAGCCATATACGCGTAGAACTTTACGGACCTTGCGATTAGGTATAATATCACACTATTGTTGTATGCCACAGATCGACCAACCAGCAGGATTGAGGATTCAAGTTTTGCTTTCTCGTCGATAACGGTTCATATCGGCGGCCATTTTTATATAGACCTGCACAGCAAAGACGAAATATCCGTTGTTTTGAATTGACGTGTATGGACGATCTCGGCGACCCTTCCCCAAGAACGATCAGTCGCACCCACTTAAAGTCTGGTCACAGTGTGCCAGGTCTTCTTTTTTTCTTTTTTTTGGCTGCGCAGGAACAACCACGTACAGGTTCAGGGAATGAAGGAGTGGACCTGAGAAATAAACCTGTACAATCGCAATTCTGAAATTGATCTATGAGTAGCAGCAGGGTAAACATTGTGTATCGCTGATGAGCAAGATGAAGTTCGGTTTGGTAGTTAGTCTCGTCATGGTGGCGCAGTACAGCCTGATCGGCACCATCGTACAAACCAATGAAGACTGCGCGTCGTGCGAGGAGTGCGAGTCAGCTCTGGACATGGCTCTCCTTCCGTTGTACAGTCAACTTGACACATTTTGGGGCCAGCTGGAAGCTGTCAAAGCGCTTGCCCGTGCCCCTTGCGAGAAAGGTAGGCGTTTCAGAGGGCCTTTTTTGTGAAACACTGAAGCAGATCAAACAGTATGCTATTGTGTTGCTGGTTATTCGTGACCGCGCACAACGCACAATCTCAATTTCTACTTTTCATTCCCATTACTCATGCAAGATTGCTAGAAACTAATGAGCTTTAGTTCGTGCCTGTAGAAAAGTGCCCGTTCCAGTACAAACTGACCGGAGCCCCAAGACCAAAACACAAAATCCTTTTGTCTCCCTGATTTGTCATCATAAATATGCTTGCCGTTTCGTGTGCATTGACAAATATATCGTCACAAGTTATTACACCTTCGGTTGGATTTGCCCAACAAGGCAGTTACTTATACAGGGTGTATAAAAGAAACCCAGGAAACCCAGATGTAATGTAAATTATAAAAAAATCTAATAAATATTTGCAAAGAAGTTAAAGATCATGTGAAACACCAAGGTGTTCTCTTTCCAATGATACCTGGATACTGGATAGTGTGTCTGTGGTCACGGATGAGTGAGCATTCATTGTTATTCTGTCACAACGGAGTCCATCCAACCTGGGCTAGTAAATACACGTCTTTACGTTTTGAAATGTTCTTTTGAAACTACACGACAATTCTTTTGGTCAATTAACGTTTCATTTAACTTTGTATTTTATTACCAAACTAGTTCTACATAATATATGTTTGACTATTCATTCTGATTTGATACACGGTACCCTGTGGAGACATGGGTATAAACAATTATATACGTCTCCACAGGGCAATTTCTATAGGTGAATACAAGGTCTTCACAAGGTTATCACGAAATAGATATATGGGTTTGCCTGAAACACTAGGCATTTCCAAGGTGTGTTGATCCGTCGCAAATTGAAGTATTTTGTGTAATGGTTATTAAGTCCGAATTACAGCCAAGGAAATTGATTCTTGTCAAAATAGGAGCATTTCGAAACTAGATTTTCACATTCTAAATTTACACAAGAACAAAGAAATAACTCCACAAGGATACAAATTTCAGTACAAATTTGTATGTGTACTTTTTATTGTTCGGTGATACCAAAGGACGACTTTGCTTAAGGAAGAATTGAGTTTGATAAAGATGTTCACGTTACCGTTTCATTGCTGCTCCAGCTTCGGAATGGCAGTTGGTTTTTAAAGGAATGGCGGGGACCGGATTTGGGATATATGACATGTGGACAACAACATCTTGGGACGAAAACACGATGGGTGTCAGTGGGAGTTGGCGGGATGAATCGCTGCATGATGCCTGGAAAAGTGGAGAACTGAATGTTACACGAGTGAGTGTTGAACAAAAATTTGTTATTGCACCTCCAAAAATTGTGCACATTTATTATGATCAGGTGTGAAATAATCTCATGTCTGTAAAATCGCAAGTCGATCTTGTTCGTTTTTTATGATCATGAGATGGCAAATGTTGCTATCAGAGGGACCACTATCGAGGAGGAGGTCGAAGCTAAGTACAACCTGAGACCGTGCGTGATTTATACACACAACATGATTTCAGACAATGTCTTTGCATTAAATGATTTTCTCGATGAAATCATTAAAATTGCATGGCAACCCCATGCTTGACCTGGGACATACTAGCAAGGCTTTGCACGCACAAAACACCTTTTTTTCCTCATGCTTTGTTGTCAAGGTAAAACTGTCCGTGCGTGATTTCGAGGGGCGCAGAGCTGACCTAATATTCAACGGTACCGGGACGGATATCCATAACTGGTTCACCCAAGAGCGCCTCATCTCAAGCCCCTGGGAAGACGTGAAATCAACCACACCAAACTACTTCAGCACTGAAGGGTTTGCAGCAAAGTAAGTACAAACTAGACCTATGTTTGTTGACAAAGACAGGGCTGTTTCGGCAATCTTTTTGGTGACATCTGGCATGTACAGTTATATTGTAGAAGTTCCATCCAAGAACGATACTTCTGTATTATAGATATTGCGATGTGTTCAATTGAAGGTGATGTTCAATATGTGACATGACATGTGAGGACGTTTTCATGATGTGACTTAATTTCATGGGATGATGTGCTAAAAGTGCACATTCATCTGCGAAGAAGAAATCTCCCAGTCCATGTAGTGCTTCAAACACCTAGAGTCGGCGTAAGTTGAAGAGGTTTCCATCAGTGCAAAACTTCATGTAGACTCCTCTGTCGATGTCGTTGCGGCATAGTCCACTCCGGACACTCCCACAAGGACGCAACTTGAAATCGCCAGAAATGATATGAGCTCATCATAGAACACTTCTTTAACATCGTCGGGAATTTTTAATTGTCATTAGTCTATTTGTTTGTCGGAGTATCCGTACCTAAAAGGACTTCCAGCCAATGATAAAGAGCTCCTTCTACCCTGCTATTACCCAAAGCTGGGGAGTACTTGTAACCCAGAGATCGGGACAGTTGCCAGGTACCACCAACCGGTTCAATTGGACCTGCAGATCAGGCTAACATAAAGGCAGGGGCGACCACTCCCTGTGGCAACTATGGCATAGCTACCCTGCTACCCAAAAGCAAATGCGGAGGTTACATCCACTTGAATTGATACTATCATAATAGCTCAGATTACAGTAGTAAAGTAAAGTATAAGAAATTACAGCCTCCCTCTCGTTGTAATTAGTCTATTTGCGATTCCTTGTATACGTTAAGAAGCTTTTATTTTCATCCTTTCTCCACGACATGCAAAGTGGACGAAGATTCTACATGAGTAAAAGCCACTATGCATGTACTTACGACAGAGGCTGGTTGGTCGTGAAAGAGTCCCTAGTCGGTGGCGATTGCGACTGGGAGAAAAATTCGACGGAGTATCCGAGCTTCCCACTCATACTGTACAGCAGGTCTACAATTGCTGCAAGGTGGAGAGTCATGTTCTATACAGGTATTTTTTGTTAGCGTTGATGTCGGTGTTTGGTTAAAATTTCACATCAGGAAAGTCGTTTTTAGATTTAGTTACATAGGCGTAGCCAGCGGGGGGGGGGGGGGTTATTCCCCCCCCCCCAATATTTTGGAAAGGCTACCCTTTTCCATTCAAATGCCATTTTTTTCACCAGTGCTTACCCCCCCCCCTAATTTGTAAAGAGTGCCCTTTTTCTGAACAAGTGCCCTTTTTGAAAAATGCATCGCCCTGAAAAGCACCATATATTGTCCGTTAGTGTGCATAATCGTTGGTTTTGAACAGCGCCCCCATCGACAGCTGGTACCAGCCCCCACCTGCTTTTTGATTTTACGGAGGCCACGTGTCCACATTTCACCTCGGATGTGCAAGTGCCCTTTTCATGAACTTTTGACCCCCCCCCCCCATAAAAATGACCGTGCTACGCCACTGAGCTACCAATATTGGGGCTGCATATTCATGTTTGGCAAGCGTTGATGACAAAGAAATTCCCTTCAAATAAGCTAACTGTGGATAGTTATATTCCCTTTGATCCTTTTTGGCAGTCGCTTGAGATTTTTATTTAAAAACCATGTCTTTTTTCTAATGTTGACAGGTGACGTTACGGTTGGACGCGCGGACTTTCTCACCATTCACGTGGATACCGAGTAGAGATAACGAAGGCTCACGTAAAAAAACACAAACAACCCAACAAACAAACAAACAAAAATTCTAGAATTCGTTGACATTGGTGGAAACAAATTTTTTTGTTGACGGCCTTTTAAAACCTCGCAGGGTCGTGGCCGTGATGACTTGCCGGTCACAGGTCACACACAAAAAATATCCAATCGGAGCGTGCATTCATCAGCCCTTCCCAGCGTCATGTTTGCATGACGGGGGGAGGGAGGGGGGGGGGGTACGAGCGAATGGGATATGACGTTTTTAACACCCGAAGGGCGCATAGCACCCGAGACGAAGCCGAGGGTGCCATGCGCCCCTCGGGTATTCAAAACGGCATATCCCACATCAAAGCAGTCAACAGTTGTTTTGTTATACCTCTGTCTTGGATTCTTTGGATTTTGATGTAAAAAATCACGAAAACAAACAGCAGTCAACACAACAATCATGTCAATCGAACGTCAACTCACATGCATGTCGCGTGCTCGAAACAGCTGATCATCTGCTAGTTCGCTGCTCCCACTCATGCGTGAAAACATGCTGAAAATAGCGTGGGTACCAACGATACAAGCGTTTAACGTACGTGATATCCCACAGGGAGTGTGCCATGCCGTGATCGTTCTAGGCCAATGAAAATACAGTATTCAAGACAAAGGTATAACAAATATTATAACACCTCACCCACAGATTATGTGTCTTGATAGGCCGAGAGCGAGTCACATGTTACTTTCTAATTTTGCTATCTTTCTGTGCATGGCCAAAAGTACTATACCCGTAACAACCAAAGTACTATACCATTAGCAACCAAAGTACTATTTCCACGGCGCGGTATTTGTGTGCAAATGGATGCTGGTGTGCGCGTTGACCATTCTATTTTCCCTCGGCTTCGCCTCGGGAAAATAGAATGTCCATGGATCATCTCGGGAGGCTAGTTTTACTACACCACTCGAAGCATTCAATATTTGTATACTGTAGTTTACTGGAATCAACTTCATAGTAATTTGGTAATTTCAGTAATTTGCAAATGATATCCTCTGCCTTTAGAGGGAATCTACAACATTTCCGGTGGCTGTAATTTTCAGAAATGAATGGATTTGGAGGGGGTGGTGGGTAGCATTGTATAGCAACTCTGGTACTCTGGTTCCCTGACCCCATTTCAGTTTAAGTGGGGTCAGGGAACCAGAGTACGTTGTAAGGTCAGAAAACCGGTCTCTCTTGCCGTTCATAGGTGTGTAATCGGGTACAAATTAAGTATGGTAAATTGGGAACAGTATTTGAAAAAAATCCAGTTTTTTTCCAACGCTGGTCAGCCGACCAGCCTTGAAAATTAATACAAAAAATACCACTTTTCTTGAAAATGTCAGCACACCAGGTGCCATGATTTTACAGGATGCTTTAGACTGTCATTCTAAAAGTCATAAGGTATTTCATAATAATTTGGTAGTTTTCCTTTTTAATGTGTGCAAATGTCGTACACTCCCTTTAAAGGATATTTCCATATTCGTAACAAAATGCATGTATCGTTATTTTTTTTATTTGAAAACTTAGTTAAATCATTGTTAGAGTAACCAGCTAGACAGTGCGTGTGACATTCTTGTATAAGAATTTACACCCAAAAAAAACGAAAACGCAACAATTAACGCCATTTCCTTACCTTTTAGAATCCCATCTTCTCCTACTTGCCAAAAGTCATATTCGATCGACGCCGCTGTTATGATAGTGAAACACAACTTATTATGCTGTGTAAGCTCAATACGTTTTCACAATTTTTGTGTAATGTTTTCACTTATTTTGTTTTCAAATGATATTGCATTTTGAAATTCAAAAGGTGTTGCAGGAAACATTTAACAATTTGTTGCCTTGCATCGCATACATTTTGCATAGCATGGAAGGTTTTTATAAGGTTTATAAATATAAGTTGCATGTATATATAGTCTATATATATTTTTTTTTTTCGAGCGTGGTTCATAATCCGAAAGAAAACATAGCAAATTGATTACAAAATTTTTTTTCATTAGACATTGAGATTGTTGTTGGAGATTGTGCACAAAAATACGGGAAAAATATTTTTGCTCGACAGTGACAATTAATTGATGGTTTTTAGGTTATCAAAACGGTAATAGGTTAGTTGTGTACTAAACGGCATGCGTTACTTTTTAGCTAACAGATACCATTTTTGATATGACAGAGTGCAGAATGCAAGAGATATTCCATAAACACTGTTTGGGATTGTTGTAGATAAGTCTACCTTGATTTTTTTTTCCGAAGGCTATTTATTTAAATAAAAACAAAAAATATCTTTAGGCTGTCATAAATAACTTAGATGAATACTTCTCCAAACAAGAGATAATGGATATATTTTAGGTTCTGTAAAGGAAACTTTGAAAAAAAGGTATATCTTGAAAATTAACAGTGTTTTTAAAACAAACATTGTCCATTACAAACAGTATTTAATTCATCTGTTATAAATATATTTATACGTATTTACAATCTGAAAACTGAGCTTTTTCCCCACTAATTTTAACACTGGTTCAAAAATGCAGCTATGATCTGAATAGCTCTGTAAAGCAATGTGTGATAATACAAATGTATTGCAATTTACACCAGCCCAAAACAACCACAGGAACAAATAATTATACCATGCCACATTTGTTTACAAAATTGCTATCGTGGTCACATGATGACGACTTGGTCACGTGATGCTGCCCTACGTCAATTGAAATTGAAATATGGCAGCATTTATGATTATTGATGTTTCCTATTCAATACAGAAAAAATACCTTGAGCAGGGGCAGATCCAAGAATTTTTGCGGGGGGGGGGTTCACATGGGGATGTTTGCGAACTGTTTTCGTTTTGCTGAAAAAAACTTACCGTTTTTGTGATCCGTGGACAGAAGTTTAAAACGGTCTTTGTGTTTAAAATTTCGTAACTTGAAAAGTATATGAGTGATTTGAATGATTCTTGTACTAAAAGAAAGCTTATGAATTGGGCTTTCATGTCCTAGATTTTGAAATTGCTACATGCAGAACTTCCCTAAACAAATTGTCCCGACATTTGGGTTTCACTTTTTTTTTACTCACACTGCATATGTTTTTTAGCAATTTCTAATCTGAGAGGCATTTGCTTGCAAGAAACAAGCTTTTGCTTTTGCTTAAAAGTCGAAGCTTTTGCTCGTTAGCAGTTCCGTATTTTTATGTATAAAAATGTCAGCAAATTTCTAGAAAAAGCATATTTGCTAGTTTTTATGTACGGTATTCGGCCCAGGGTAAATTGTCCAGATGTATCAAATAGACTCGAGGGGAACTGTAGAGGTTTACCATGTTTACTTAACTTCAGAATTGTAAAATTAAAAGATTTGAAAAAAATGTTGCAACTTGACCCCAATTCAGCGGTTGTGTACAAAGTCTATGGAGAGTCAAGAACATTTTCGAAGTATTTTCTAACAAAATTGGAAATGTTTCTCAGTCCCAGATTCATGTCTTCTCATCTTTTTTTTGCAATGAGTGACCTTCACTGAGATGATATGTGAAGAAAAAAGTGGCGTCAGGTTGCAACATTTTTTCCAAAGATTTTCACAATTGTCAAAATTGTAAAAATATTGGGCAAATGTGTGTGTGAGACAGCCAATAACACGACAAGTAAAATGACATCGTCAAGGAGCATAGCAGCTGATCCAGTTTCAGAGTCACTTAGGGTGGTGTCTGTCCTCACATACACATACACAAATGTATGTGATCAAGTCAGGTTTCCAGTCTAACTTCAAGTGGCCTAGGTTCTTGGCGGTGCACTGTGGAGTAAATTGCTTCAGTTCTCAGCTTTTTTGGTGAGGCTTTTACTGTACAAACACGAGCTGGCAAGATTCACATACTGATACATTGTACTCCACAGCAGTCCAAAAGTTGTCTATTTACAATTCGAAGTCATGTGATCAGCTGCCATCTGCCATTTCATAGTCGACATCTTCATGTGGTCTTTTCAATCCTTCAAACAAACAAGAGTTAAGAATGCCTTTCGTCATTGTGAACTGACTGAGAAGAAAGCTTTTTGGACTAATAACTTGGAAAACGTCCAAAGCAAGAAAACAGGCCCTAAGTTAAATTAGGTTTTGCCCTTCACCGACGTTTAAACACTGTATACTCAGTGTGTTACCTCCCGAGTGAAAGTTGGAAAAAATCACTCGGGTGGGACTCGAACCCACGACCTCCTGCTTTCTAGTGCAGATGTCTTACCACTCGACCACCGAGCTAACGGGATCGGTTGGCTGGTTTGAATCTGATCAGATTCGAACCCGAACCAGCCATCCGATCCCGTTAGCTCGGTGGTCGAGTGGTAAGACTTCTGCACTAGAAAGCAGGGGGTTGTCGGTTCGAGTCCAACCCGAGAAATTTTTCCAACTTTCACTCGGGAGGTAACACACTGAGTATACAGTGTTTAAACGTCGGTGAAGGGCAAAAACCTAATTTGATTTACATCACCCCGATGCTAGGCCACATATTTATTTCTACTCAGACTTATATCCTCTTAAACTGCACAGAAACCCTATACAGTCTTTTGTATTCTCCTCAAACACTCTCAAACAATCTTTCAAATGAACCACAAAGGGAAACTGACTAGGTGAATTACAACAAATTTTGAAAAGTTAAACAAAGAAATTTTACTGGAATGGGGTTTGAACCTGCGACCTCCAAGTTACCGTTCCAGTGCTCTACCAACTGAGCTATCCAGCCCTATGTTGGCGGTTCCCAAATTTGTCAAAATCTTGAACAACAAAAACACTTAGTTGGAATCAAACCTGGGTCTACTAAATGAAACATGTATTACTTCCAGCAAGTTCGCAAGGCTGGTTTCTAAAGACTGGTGCCCAGAATATCTTTTAAATTCATGTAAGCTTATGTTCATAATTCATGGGTCCAGAGCTTTAGGTCTGGTAACCTTTTCATGATCTGCTGATCACATATGAAAGTTAAAAATTTGAGTACATCTCCATTCACTAATTCCTCATTCTGCAATACGCAGTAGTTTTTAACAACTTTCCGTTTTAAGTTTGTTTTGTGTTGCACTTAAGTACAACACCAACAAGCGCAACACCAACATGTGCAACAAAAATAAGTGCACTTGTTACATTGCGTACTTCTTTTTTTGTGACAATTTTCACTTGTTTTTTGCTACCTACCTGATGTCTCTGGTCTTTCCTGTTGCGACATCATCTGTAATCTTGCAGTAAAAATAGGCTCATATTCCTGGTGGGAAATATACATGTATCATAATCAATTATGTATCAATATTCCATATTCAAATGAGAATTGTTTTTCTCAACAGAAATCACTTTGCACAATTGGGGTAGTACCATAGAGCTATATTAAATTACTAGAGCGCTAACTTCATGTACAAAGTCATGCCTGCTGGGCGCGCATCCATGTTTGTGCACAAACCTATGGAGACCTAGACATTTTGTACGGCTTTTGTACGGCTATTTGCATATCTGCATTTGTATTCCATACCGGTGCGTTATCGAAGCCAATACGCCCAAAACCGAAACGCTCGATCAGCAAATGAGCGTGTCATTTTGCTCTACGCAAACAGCGCAATGGCGTTAGCTGAGAATGCCTCAAAATGGTGATCGTAAGTGCAGAATTCTGTGGTTAGCAGAGCCATACAACTGGGCCCTGGGCCCAATAAGCCAGTTCGGTATGTGCACACAGATGCCAGTGCGCATGTGCACACGGATATGCGTCACTGGTCATTTGGGATAATCGAACGATCGAAGGCGCATGAACGCGCGGGCACACGACTCTTGCGTGTTAATTACGAGCATAATGGGCATGCCTGTAACATCGCATATCCCGAATGACCTCAGGTCATTGATATACCGAACTGGCTTATTGTATGGCTCTTCTTACGGTTAGCATGTTTCATGGGTTAGCAAGCAATTATGGCTTATGCGCACATGAACTACCCACAATTCAGGATTCTGGGCTTAAAGGGTCAACACAGATTTTCTTTGCTAGCGCTGTTACCAAAGAAAGATGTTCATATACGCGTGAAATTTCGTGGTTAGCAGAGCCATAAAATTGGGCCCAGTTGGCTGCACGATTCAAGGAGTGGGACTGACCTCTAGTTGTCTCATGAAGCCTTCATTGGGGCTAATGCAAAACCGTCTCTGCTGTACATAGTGCACCGCATCCCTGTGTCCAATCACATGAAGAGATGAATCAAATGTTAAGAGGGAAAAATGCAACTAGGAGGGGAAAAAAGAGGAAATTCCACGCCTTACAAGACTTAAGCCCGATTCATACTTCAAGTGAATGCGAATGCGAAGCGAATTTGACGTCATGCAACATTCGCTGTGAAATCCGCCCGAATTGAAATATGTTCAATTTTTATGAATTCGCTGTGCGAATACTCCCCATGACGTCACAAATTGGCGTTCGCTTTTGCTTTCCCGCCAAGTATGAATTGGGCTTTATTTTTCCACTTTTCTTTTTAAAGGCTCAGCCTTACAAATCTAGGTCAAATTATCAATTCAAATTGCTTGTACACACCAGGGGTGGTGATCATCACAAACATAATTCTTTCTTTAAAAAAACACAGTTCTTGGGAACTTGACCCCTCTAGAAATACGTTTATAATACTGTTTATGGAATTCACAGATGGTGGGGTCTAGAGTCTAGACTGAATACAGTGGCAGAGAAACATTGAGATATTAGAGCCTAATTACGTGGATGTTGGAAAAGCCACGCCCCCTGCAAAATTATAATCTGTGTATGTAATGCAGTATACCAGGTATTAGTCAATTATGTTGTTTTATGTTGTTTTATTCATGCTGACATTAACATTGGATGCATAAAACAAGTCATGAAATAAATTTGGATTAACTTGTTTTAAGATGGATCTACAGAAGTGTCAGCATAGGGGGTCAGGAGAAGCCAAGCGCTTTTATTTCCCCCTATCACATTTCCTATATCACCAGTACTATAGTGACATTGTAACATTAACCTTGTTAAACATAAAAGTACAAGGACAAGCAACTTATTACAAGAGTACATTAAACAACAAAATACAACAAAAAACAACAGGAGATCAGACCATAACAAAGAATTGAGTTATGCAATGTTTGATGTGAGCTTGGTTTTAAATTTCTTTGTGAATACATTTAGGGACCCCGATTGTCTTATGGTATCTGTAAGGCTATGCCAACATGTTGAATTACGTCATTCTTGAATCTTCAGGCTTTTCCACATTGTTTTAGCATTCTGACCAATTGCATTAAACTCAGACACAAAAGGCAAAATGTTAAATACTTACTTGAATGCCAATCCAAATGTTTCCATTACATAAGCAATGACAAGTGCAGCGCTGAATCAATGAAAAGAGACACAAACGAAAGAAGGAAAAGCTTCAATTAGACAAATTAGGCTCACAATTCTTTTTACTTTGAACATGTTGAAATACTTCAGGGTTCTTTGGTGTTAGACCAAGAAAAAAATATGTCATTTGAATGTACCTCTGTGTCCCATTTGGTATTGGTGTTGTTTTATTTCCCAAACATCCCAATAAATAATGTAACACAGTTATTTACAAAATGCACAGGGGGTGATGAATGGGGATACCATGCGAAAAATAAACGCTTGTACGTGGCCTGTTTCCAACCTCATTTTAAATTTTCATTTTGCCATTTTCAAGGATACTTTGGTGCCTTTTTTAATGCTAATGCAAATTTCCATATTCACGAGCACTACTGTGATGTCATTCCAGGCAGAAACCTCCAAGTTACACCCATTTCAGCACAAAACGTTGCTAGAATTTAGATATTTTGCCGTCGAACATGTTCTTTTCTTTGGTGATTCGTTGTTGTCAGAACATGGCAGTAAGCCAATGAGCAAACCTTTCTCACAACTGTTTTTTAAGCAGCAAATTTTTGGTTCACAATTTGAACAGAAAACCCCTAAACTAAACAGTAAGGTCTTCCTGAAACGACATCACAGCACCAACGCCCTCAGTTGCCTGGAAAAGCACGGAAAATTGTTAATGTTTATTAAAAGAAGTGCACTTTTCAATAATATTGACCAAAACAGGTATCAAATAGTTTTCTTACATTTTCTTAGGAGTGGAAGGTTGCACAAAATGCGTTCCTCAGAAAAATTCATCGCATGGCCCCTTTAAATCTCTGCCTATGTTACTTCACTGAAGCTACATGTACATGTATTCGGGTTAGGGTTCGCTGAGGAACCAGAGCTGTAGTTGAGTGTAATACAAGTTGATTCAAAAGGAATGTTTTTATCGAAGTTCATTGGAAATGTTTTTGACTTTAAAACTAAGTGATCTGTGAGATATATCCACGTTGTACCTATTTTCGAGGGTGTAAGGATTTATTTCAAGCAGGAGAAAAACACCGACATAGCCTTCGATTTCCAAATTTTGGGGGCTGGCGGTGGAACACGTACCGCACGCACAACAAATCAACTGCTTGTGTGGTACGAATCTGCGCGTGTGCGTCGCTACAAGGTCAAACCTCGAAAACTTGATGCCTCGAAAACAGGTTCACGGACGATACCAATACTCATGATGATTTGTTGACAATAAATGGCCTTACACAAAAAGAAGTGAATTCGGGCGATTCACAATGCAGTGCGCCACCAAGAGTTTGCCATGGAGAGTTCATTTTTCAAGTTTACGGTCGACAAAACAAGGCCCATTTGAATGAGTGTCAGTAGAAAACTTGAGCTAATTTGTTATAGATTGGGGCAAAGCGTTCTGCCGCCTTACAAAAAAACTCCATATTGATAAAAAGAAAAGAAAAGGGCAAACATTATATTCGAATCATACTTTTACAAACTTTCTGGCCGGAAAAACTAACAATTTCAAATGTCCCGCGCTGCGAATTTGTCGACCATCTCCCACAATGCACTGGGAAAAATGAATTCTCCGTGGCAAACTCTTGGTGGCGCACTGCATTGTGAATCGCCCGAATTGAGAAGAGAACAAGTTGCAGATTCGAGGTGAGCATTTTTGTACCTTCTTGACATTCCGGCATTGCCATGCACAAGTACCTTCCCTCCAAAAAGGTTGCTCTTGTCAATGAAATCCTTGACCTGAAACAGGAATTTACCAAACGACAGGTTCATAACAGTGTGGAGAGCAGTGACCAAATGCCAACTTACTCTAAACTGAATGACAAGTTAATACTGCCTCCAATTTACCAAAAGTTGCTTAGTCCACATTTTGTTTGCAATCGTTTACACATTCGTGAACGGGTTGCAAGTCAGCTAGTCTGGTTCCCTCACCTGACAATTCCCCGACGTCTATAAATTGCTCCGTTTTGTCTGAGGTTGGGTCAGGGGACCAGACTGCAAGAACAGCAATTTTTTGTTCTTGGTTTTCCCAGCATCCATGAGCACGAAACTTTAAACAGGTCAGTGCAACAGTATTTGCTATAGAATACTAACCCCCCAAATCCATCCATTTCTGCAAATTACAGCAAAAGCAAATGATGTATTTCACCTATCAGATCTGTTGTCAATGAGTATTTGAAAAATGTCAGTTTTTTTCCAACGATGGTCGGCCCACCATTGTCATGATTGTTGCAAATTGAATAAAAATTCCACTTTTCTTGAAAGTGACAGCACACCTGGTGCCATAATTTCACAGCATGCTTGAGACTATCATTCACTTAAACTCAAGTAAGATTTTTCATAATAAAGTGGCAGGTATGTTTTTTGATGTTTGCAAATGTTGTATATAAGTTATTATGTTTAAAGGCCTGTAGGAACACTGGTAATATCCTGGAACTAAGCAACTGATTTAATGAGGAAAAAACGTTCCCAAAGTGAAGAAAGGTTCCAAATATCTGTGAAGTTATTCTGCCTGAAATAGTATCATTTGGAAGGAAAAAATTTGATTTTTTTTTTTTTTTTTTTTTTTAAAGTGTGCCCGCTGGCCATGAAACCCACATGTGATGAGTGGACAGGAATCCGGCCTTAAAAGCTAGAAACACTGGCAGTTGAACAGGTTTGGTTCCCTGACATATGACGCACCTGCACTTGCTGAAGTGCAATTATCTCTCAGTAATGATGACGATAACGAGTACTTCTATAGCGCCTTTAATTAAGTTCAAAGCGCTAATACAGTATTATTACCCCTGATCATTGGGCAAATGAAACATTCAAATTACAATCTCAGCTCCCTTCAGGAGTATACAGCTCGATGCTGCCATTTCTGGGCAAAGCAGCTACAATCAATCACAGTAACCATCTCTGCCCTCACAGGTACCCAATTTACTCCTGGGTGGAGAGAAGCAATTAGTGACAAAGTGTCTTGCCCAAGGGCACACACACCATAATCCCAGGCTGGACTCGAACCCACAACCTGCAGAATTATCTGCAGACCACTAGTTCAATGCTCCAGACCATGAGGCCACGGCACTCCACCAAAGAGAATAAGTCAGGAAGAGAGAGGAAATAATTTCCACATCCCTGGTTTGCATCATTTGTCTTTTTTTCTGATCAAATCTTGATTTGTTAAGTTTTTAAATTTCCCCCCAAAAATAGATTAAATAACTGGAAGAGATATCTGCACTTCATAAAAAATTACATCATTTACATAAACAGTACCTTTGAAAAGTGGGAAATGATGTTTTCAGTGGCATTATCCGCAACATTTAATACCAAATACCTATAACAAGAGACAAAAAGGTTTGGTTAATTGAAGCCAACATAAATTTCTTGCGAGTTCTTGTACAAATATTACATCTATTATAGACAAAATCAGGCAGCGAAATCCCAATCATTATGCACGATTCATAAATTGTTTCACGAAATGCAAATTTTGGTATCTAAGGTATCTTTGGTATCTAATGGAATGTATCTAATGCACACTTAGTCTATATGTAGATCAAGATGAAGATTTATCCATAAGATGGAATTTGCGTCGGGGTGATATAAATCAATGTTAGGTTTTGCCCTTCACCGACGTATAAACACTGTATACTCAGTGTGTTACCTGAGTTTAAGATGAAGATTTATCAACATATATTGTAGGGGTCTGACCAAGTACAACCCTGTAAAAGGTTTGGCTTTCTGCCAGCTCCAATCCCCCAACTTAATTAGTGTATGTATATCTCTCTTTTTGGGGGGGGAATATTGTTGTGATTGTTGGAAATACATTAACCCTAACCTTCCCAAATCCATCAAAATCCATTCTCCAATTTTGGAGATTTTGGTAGGCAAGCCATGAGTACCAAGTCCATCTAAATCCACCTACACCTGTAGTAGTGGTGGTCTTGTGGTGGATTTCAGCGGATTTGGTCCTGAAGCAATATGTGACGCAGGGTCAGTGCTGGATTTGGTGGACTTGGTCCAGTGCTTAGTAAAAGTCACTAGGGAGTTAGGGTTAATCAAAGCAGAATTAAAATAGCAAAAAAAATATGGAATCTATCATTGCCAATTGACCTATCGCGGTAGAATTGCGTTAGAATCTCGTCAACGAAGCTTGTGAAATACTATATGATGTACAAATGGACGCGGAACGCACAAAATCTGAGTCAAACAAAACTTAGTCTACAAATATTCCATAGGGTTGTCTAAGGGGCGTGGCTAACTCGCAAACGGCGATAGGTCAATATACATGTACATCACCACTCACTCAAAGTGCTCTGGAAAGTTGGGCTTGATAAATTGTGCCTCGATGTCCTGACGAATGCAGACGATGTGCGTGATACCGTGGTCCATCAAGACTGGCAGCTGAAAGTATAACAACAAAGTAGCAAGTGTACATATCCGATCCAATCCAAACAGGAATTACTTTTAACAGGTGTGCAACTGGGATGTTACACACAAAAAAAGAGTCTTTCCAAGACTTTGTACATGTACAGTGTTTTTCTATTTTTAATGGAACACATGGGACGTAAAAAAAAGAGGAAATCAGCTGATCTGAGGAAAAGTTGCACGCCTGTTTTAAAGGTTCCCATTCTCACATCAATTCAATGATAAGACTTATGATGAAATACATGTACGCAACTACTCGTTAGTAATCGCAACAATTTGATAAGTTTTGAGGTAAAAACGGACCTGTTTATTCTTAGGACAAAACAAATCAGCATCTGTTGCCACAAAGCAAGATTTGTAGCGCTCCAGTCAGACAACACACGGTGGGTTTCATACTCTCTCACGTGCTGTGGAAAATGTTGTCATTCACCGGCGTGCGTGGCGCAGGCTGCCGGGCTATGACGGGGCAGCCGACAGCAGTTCCCGGTGTTTATTTCTCATCAATTCCCATATTTGTTTCTAAAAGTATCGATTGTAAATGATTTGATATAACTTTTGTGGCCCTTTTAATAGCTTCTGTAGTGTAAATGGAACTGGTTCAGAGCATTTTGACTAGAATTTGGAGGCCTTACAAAATTGAAACCGCAGCGGTCGATGCGGCTTATACGCCGGTGCGGCTTATACGCCGATTTCAAATCTTAATTTGCAGATTTTTGCGTGCTGCGGCTTATACGCCGCGCGGCTTATATTCCGAAAATTACGGTACAAAGAACAGTAAACTCTTAACTGCTTTAATTTGATGGAATTATAACCAATTCACAATCGACATCAAGCAACTACAAATCAGTTTGTTGTCTCCGCTCTCAAGGGGTTCCATACTTCCATTTATGTTAACATGTAGAACTTATAATAATTGCTGTAAATCTTTTACGAGCAGCATGTTTAATTCATAAAGCTACGTACACTAACTACTCCACCATGACTGCAATAAGTAGCTCCTTTTGATTCAAAGAGGGTGTCACTTTCTTTTTGCAATGATAATTAAGTATTTTGCGCTTAGATTTCTAAGTAAAATTGTTCATACTGTACATACAGAATTTGTGTTTCTCAGTTTGCAAAAAAAAAAATGGAATATGCCCACTTATCAAATACTTACTTGGCTTTTTGTAGCAGCAGCATAGGGTCCAAGGAAAAGACCTGGCACGATCTCCTGCAAATGAGTAAGTTTATCTGTTCAAGGCATGTCAGGGGCTGCATTATCATTCAAAAATCTCCATACATGTAAGTTGAAAACTTACAATGAAACTACCTTGATGGACCTGATTTGTGTGAATTGATATCTTACAAGATGCATACCCAACGCTCTTCAAAAATGGATTTTTTATTTCTCAATAACAAATTTTCAATTTGTTTGTTTCATTTAACGAAAAACATCCCATTTTGGCCCTCTGCAACCCTCTGAAAAGGAATTTCATTTTAAGCACAAAGAACAAACCCTGCAAGAGCCGAATTATTGTCTTGCAGCCTTGATTTGTGTGATGAAATAATTCAATAACTAAAGTTTGGGGGACTGTGTCGTTTGATGTCTCATTCCAAAGTGAATAACTAATATATTTGGAGGAAAATAGCAATTGAAAAAACAAATCTATTTTTTCAAGAAGAAACTCAAAAATAGCACGGGGAACGCATCTTTAACATCAAAACTATTGTACTTTGAATGGACTCTTTTTGACCTACACTTTTTTGAATAACGTAACCATGGTAACAGGACTTTTCTCTTTGAATGTTGATTAAATGAACTACACTGTACAGACTCATGACAAAAAAATTGTTTTCGGACTAGTAGTTTACCTGCATCTCCCTCCTTGCACTGTACACCCAGTCCTGCAGCCAAAAGCCAAAGAACAAAGTGAGAAAAAAAATAATTATGAGGTTTTCTTTTTGTTAAATCTATAGGTCTTGAATTTATGAGCTCTTTGGTAGAAACAAGCTCTACCGATATTACATAAACTCCAGAATGTCCTCTATCATGTCTTTGCACAATTTAAAAAAAAATGTAATGTTTTCTTTTTACTTTCATCATGTTCATGTTTTTAGTCAAATCATTATTACTTTTAAAAAGTAGACATCTCATTTTCTTCTTAGTAATCCGTGACCATGGCTTTGGAGAATTTTTTTTTTTTAACTTGAAAGGGAAATAAAGTCCGAGAAACCCTTCTGTTGAATGATAGTCTGGTTCCAGTAGTGGACAATTGTGTTACGGCTGTCGTACAATCATTACTTTAGCCACTGCGTTGACCGGCTGATGAAACAAATCAATTTGAAGGCACAATAGTTGAGGACACCTCCGTTTTTTGTTATTCTAAAGAAAGTTTTGTCGCTCCCCTTAACACTGCAACCTCAGGAAACGATCTCTTAATTATATTTATCGAAGTGGCTATCGTTACGGCATTCATTGTTTAGCGCCCTCTACGATACTTTTTTGATACGCACGCAGGTATATAATTATTTGTTTCCCCACGTTTTGGTAAGCAGTGCGACAGCTCAGTCGATAGAGGGTAGGATTTTGCACCGCGAGGTTGCGGGTTCGCATCTCAGTTTTGCACTCGAATTTTTTTCCTTTTCTAACCTGAGGCTTTGGAGGATTTTTTTTAAAAGGGAAATAAAGTCCGAATTTCATAACGTTCAAATTCACTTTTTTCCTTCTAATTTATATTTTCTTCTCATGTTTTTATAAAAGTTGAAGTACTACCGTAATGATAGAAAATGGGAAATGCGTTACGGCTGCCGTAACAATAGCCACTGCGTATATTTATGGCAGTGTATATTTTGCCGGAGACGGCAAACCTTTAGTAAACGTTAGTTTGCCGGATATGCACTGAACATGCGCAGTTACTGTTTTTTGGTACTTAAACATTTTCCAGTGACAAATTTTAGTCTGGCTCCATGCCAAAATTATCGTTGTAACCTCGTATTCACAAGATGGGATTCAGACCATTTTATAATTTCGGACTTTATTTCCCTTTTAAAAAAAATCCTCCAGAGCCACAAATCTGAAAAAGAAAATGTAATACTCTGCAAAAAAATGTTTGAGACATGTTAAAATAATAAAAGAAGAATATTCTTATTTATTTGGGGATGAGAAAAAAAAACTTAAAAATGTGCTGCAGTCAGAATCGAACCCGAGTCATCCCGCTTACTAGAGCCTTTGCTTAACCACTACACCAAACGTGCTACACAACTTTTAGCATGTTTAGTGGGAATTTAATACATCTTATAATTCAGCCCTATCTTAAAGAGTACAGCGCCCTCTGTTGATATGGATTGCCGCCGGCAAACCTTTAGTAAACGTTAGTTTGCCGTCATGACCTCCGGCAAAATATCCACTATCAAAGAAAAATGATGTCTTGACAACTGTGATGATAAAATTTAAAAAGTCAAATTTTCTTACCGCAATTTCCTCATCATGGACCATCGGAATCTCAGGAAACTTTATGTCTTCACACTTATCCATTATTCATTCATACCTATACTCGGCAAACGAAGCTTTTCAACCCAAACTCATAGGGAGCAATTTACAATATAGGCCTAACGTTTTTATTTCAGCATGCAGCCAGTTCCTTGAACGTACAAATGTAAGTATTTTTGTTTTGACAAGGAACCGTCTGGTGCGCAGAATGTTATATTATCTTATTTGCATGCTATACGTCCAGGTGCCAACCAATCGTTGTAAAGGGCGCCACCATTTGATGGGACATTGATCACAGGTAGGTACGATTGCATCCCTGTTTTAAAATTCCACACCAGTGCTAAATGCCCATACTTCAAAATTCTGTAAAAAGATACTCAAAACTCTGATCTTGTCGCCCCCTATTTTTCACGAAGCGGTAAAGTAGCCATTTTGAAAAACAATCTCTCCACAACATGGCAAAATAGCGCAATGATTCCGAGCCCACTTGCATCCAAAAATGCTGAGAACTGGAAGTCCCAAAGCCGGGCCTGAGGTAAAAATGCCATATCTTTTCCCCAAATTTATGGCTCTCAGAACTCTTTAATACATTTATATAGTTTGAGGGTATAACTTTTATTCATGAGCTCGATCGGCGGATGGGTTTAGGCCTATTTACAGGTGTGCACACTTACGGTTGCTTGACCCCCCCCCCCCCCCCCCCCCCACCCTCAACAAACCACTCTTGGGGCAAGAGGAACTTGGGATCAATACATCATCTCACATCTATTGTTTGGTGAGGGAAAAATACTCCCAGGTCAGTCCGGGCCTGAACATGAGGACGTGGTTGCAGGCTCGTCGCCAATTGGGCGGGGGGGGGGGGGGGGGGGCTGCATAGTACGTGGGATGGCCCCCCTTGGCGAGCAATAGGCCCAACGGCAAAAGCCACACATATGTATTTTTGTATTTTTTATGGTAGTACACCCCCCCCCCAACCCCCCCAGTTGGAACTACGGCCCCCTGATTGATGCTCGGGGCTGACGACGGCTCAGAGTTTGTCCATCCGACTGCATTGAAGTTTGTTGATTTCCCTTTTCCCACTGAAACTACAGTCATGATAGATGCCACCATTTGTTAAACTAATAGGTTGCATACGAATAAATAAACTGACATATACCCCAGTGATAAATATCCCCACTTTAAAAAAAAAAAAAAAAGGACAAATAATTAAGCTACTCACAACTCTCCAGAACTCAAAACAAAGCAAATTCTAGGCCAATTTCATCCAAATTGAAGCTCGCAGGCGCAGCCCTGTTCACGGCTCCCATCCCTCTTTTTTTTCCAAACCCTCAAGTTCATCAAGGGCGGATCCAGGGGGGGGCCAAAGGGGGCCATGGCCCCCCCCCCCAAAACGAAACCAATTTTTTTTTTTTTTTTATGTGACATCGCAATAAAGGCAGGCAATGAGTACACCACCATCTTTTCCTCAAAAAAAAATTGGTTAAAGTGGTCAGAAATTGCCTCAGATCGCACCACAGAGCATCTAGAATCCAAAAATTTTTCGGGGCCCTAGCGGGCCCCGAACCCCACGCCGTAATTTTTTAGACCCACTTTTTGGGGGGACCAAAATTTTTTTGGCCCCCCCCCAAAATTGTATTCTGGATCCGCCCTTGAAGTTCATGGCCCACAAAATGCTCTAACAGCAGATAACCTTAATTGCCGGTCAGCGCCTTCAGTTTGTCTTATCCCACTGGATCGTCATTAGCCACTAATGTGATGGAGTCATTGATGGGGTACAACACTGGTTACCTAGCTTTCACGGCCTTCTCAAGTCTTTACACACCATTGACATCTATTCAATCAAACCCTCACGCTATTATTTTTGATGGGGTTGCTTCTTTGGAACGGAATGTGCGGAAGAGATGCTGGCAAAAGGAATAGTACTGTTACAGGAGAAGCATCCCGCGTTTACGAACAATTTCTTTTTTCCTCTTATTATTGCACTCTAAAAAAATTTAAAAAAGGCTAAACATAGTACCTGAAGGTTCACTATTTGACAATTCTTGGTGCTTTTATGGTGAGTGCACCTGTGATGCTGATTTAGCATCCTTATAGTCCGTGGGACGAGGCCGTTTTTTTCGCTTGCCAGGCAGTCTGGTTCGCCGAATTTCGCTCGTTCTTATGTTTTTCCCTCACGAAGAATTTTTGGCGTTTTTATGCCCAGATTTTCTCATTCCCAAACAAACTGTGGATCGGGGAACAAAGTTTTTTGATAGGATACACCATAATCTTCATGTCTGGAAAGTTTTATAAAAATCGGGGAACCAGCTATCGCCTATCTCGAAAACTAAAGCATTTCGACCTCTTGTCCCACGGACTACTTCAGGCGTGTTAGAAAATATTCGCACTCAACTAGTGCTGATAATTCCTGGAAGTGCGACCATAACAAATACAAATCAAGGAAACCGACTGTATTGTTCTGAATATCTGTTATTGCATTCTTAGTGCAATTTTATCAATAATAATCCGTTTATACATCTTGTTTTTTAATAAGCTTACTTTTAGCCCTAATATATATCATACAACACTATTTTTCTCATAGAGAAAAAAAATGTCAGAATAGTAAGCCAATTATTACAGAAGGGTATTTCGATACATTTATTATTAGTAAAAACAAGTAGGTGCCTTTATTCGATACGGTCCTAAATTAACAGGTGAAAAAAAAATTTGTATCTGTTCATGTTCACTGTAAAGTATTTGGTGGAAATGATGGACAGCGCTTTCATTTTGTACAAAATTACATCAACATTAAGACTATAGCTGAGGTGATTGTCAAGCAAGGAACCGGAAGGAGGTAGTACTTTGCCCTCGACCAAGGTTTTATTTTTTTAGTAATAGAACCATAAGAACAATGTAGATGACTAGCTTTTTTACTTGATTCTATATGCCTTTAACCCTAGGGATTTATGAAATCTAAATGAACTGATAATGAAGAAGAGCGCTCTCTTACGTCCAAAGTGTCCCCCCCCCTTCCCCTGCTTTTCGAAATTACAGCACCTGACCGGCCAGTAGGCGCCCTGAAAATTTGGTGACAATTTTTGAGCGGGTCCGCCCTTGCTGCCCTCCCATAAAAAGCTGGTGGCTCCCCCCCCCCCCAACCCCAACTTAACCCCAAGCTCCCCACATAAAATCCTGGCTACGCCACTACGATGAGCAATAAACAGTAACTGAAAATGCCCGTTTCTGGTGTTCGTTGGTCGCAGTTTGTTTGGAGTTGGTGATTTATCATTCTTCGTCATATCAGCATACACCTTTGTCATCGTCGACTGGATACTCGATTTGGGGAGTTTTCCACTCAGCAAATGGGTCCTGGTGAAAGTAGAAACAGAGAGGTCGGTAATCTTGGTATAATAGTCTGGTAGCCGATCAGTCGCATGGGCGGTAGGCCTATACACGTCGGAAGGAGCTATTCACTGAGTGTGTAGTTTGCTTCATGGCCGCACTAGTAAATTCCACGTCTGACTTAAAAACGTACGGGAGAGAATTCTGAAAATGTTTTGCAATTTTAACATATAGTATTGTACAGATGTTCATATTCGGCAAAATAAGGCATCTATGCTCGCGACTAGATTTTGTGTACAAACGGTTTAGCTGGCTGCATGCAGTCGGTATGCCTCTGTCTCGGGAGTCCATTCGGGCATTGGTAGAAAATGTGTTTTTACAGAGCCTTTCTGAAAACTGCAGAAAGCCACTGATCACCAGAAGTCAGAGCATTGGCAGTCATTTCCATAATAGCTCTAATCACGTCTTAACTGAGAACAGTATTTGTCGGGTGTAAATGATGTTGAGGTTTAAGGGGAAGATCTTAAATGACCATGCACCAAAAGCAAAACCGTTGTATGAGTTTATTTCTTTTTTGACTGGTGACGAAGTTTGCTTCCTACATTTGCCTATAAACCAGCCTTCTTTTTGTGAAACATTTCTTTGATGCAAGGTGTAATTACCATTTGCTCCAGTCTGGTTTCGTTGTCGCATCGGAAATACAGGTGGGCGTCGTTGACGGCCTCTTTGAACTTGAGGACGAAATCGGGATCCGTCCAGTTGAAACTTTCAAATGCCTTGATAGAACTGGCCTGGTCCAGCTCCACAGGCAAGTCACTATTGGTTGGATATAAGTGCGATAGATGTTGATTAAAACTGCAGTATTTACTTTGTGCATGAGAAAAATAATATTCATACATCAAGTATAGTCTTGGTTCAAGGAGTGATTTTACTTAAATTCCCCTTGAATTCGTATGTCGGTTCCTGTTTAGCAAAGCAATGCGTCTGGGAATCAAATCCCAAGACCAATCGTCACTGCATGAGGCCAAATCAAACGACAAAAGAATTTCTCACACTTGAAGTTGAAATTTTCAGTCTGGAAATTTTGGGGGTTTTTTTTTGGGGGGGGGGGCAAAATGCAGTCATTTTAAATAACAAATGTGATAAGACTAGATATGATCAGACTAGGTCCAGTTTTAGAATCGATGCATTGGTCGTTTTTTCAGAGTTTGGTATATCCCAATATAATCATAACTAATGGGGTACGCTGGAAAATTTGACCAAACCACTGACCAGTGTCGTTGACTCGAGTCGACCAAACCACTGACCAGTGTTGTTGACTCGAGTCGACCAAACCACTGACCAGTGTTGTTGACTCGAGTCGACCAAACCACTGACCAGTGTTGTTGACTCGAGTCGCTGACTCGGACTCGAATCGCAATTTTTTGACTTGAGACTTGACTTGACTTGACTTGGGGAAAAATGACTCAAGACTTGACTTGACTTGGAAAAAAAATGACTTGAGACTTGACTTGACTAGCTAAAATTTGACTTGGGACTTGACTTGACTTGGAAAAAATGACTTGAGACTTGACTTGACTTGCTAAAATTTGACTTGGGACTTGAAATTTATCAAAGTCAGTTGTAATCAACTGATCTATAGCAGAGCACAAAGTTATAATAAATACAACCTTGCGTTTTGGTAGCCGAGCCGTTTCAGCACTTCCACGGGCTGTGTGGTGGACAGGCAGTCACCGAAGTTGTCAATCCTCGGGTAGTAGAAGGGAATGGACAGGCACATTTCGTCGGTTCTCCCCCATCCACCCTTAGCAAATTATGAAAATGCAACAAAGTTATTCCATAGGCCGACGGTAGCAAATGTGAAATTAAAGTGAAAGAAAGAGGCAAATATATTGGTAGAACTATTTCTAAATGTTTTACATAAATGTCTACATTGTGTCTACAATTCCAGCGTATTTCTGTTTCTTTTTATGTGTGACCTCGTCTTTTTTCAGTTTTACCAAAGTTTTAGTGATAAAAATGTGTTCTTGTTTTACAAAATACGGTTAGAATGTACAGCTTGGCTGATTTGCAATGTTGTGTTCCACAAAATGTGTTTTTTTTTTTCAAATTATTTTGTTTCTTCCAGGATTTCTTTTTACGCTGTCGAAAATTGAAATAAAAAACAACTTTCATATCAACTTACATATGTTATACTAGTCCGGTTAGTCGTCTTGAATGTACATTCTGTTAACATGACGTCTCCCTGTTGAACAAAAACAGTAAATAAATTCAAACTTTGGCTTGACTTAGTACACTTTCTTTGACCCAGCAAAATGACTTTGAGAATTCGGTAATAAAAACCAGACAAATGCCTAAATTTAACGGACTTGAAGATAATCTAGTCAGTGGCGCACCCAGGGGGTGGGGGGGGGGGGGAGGGGGAGGACGCTTGAGCCCCCCCCCCCCCCCAGTTGGTCAGTTTTTGTTTTTAGTCCCAAGATTTGACCGTGGTGATATGTGTGTGGCCTATTTTCGAGTAGTATAATAGGGGTATAAATGGCGCCACCAAAGTCACAATAGTCCGTCCCCAAAAAGAATTTCAAAAAAACACAATTTTTTTCCGCGGCCAAAAATTTTGGGCAACATTTATTTTTTAATTCAACTTTCTTTAAAAAAAATTGAACAAAAATGTGTGAGCCCCCCCCCCCCCCCCCCGCCCCCAGGCCAAATCCTGGGTGCGCCACTGAATCTATAGTCAACGGCATATAGATCCATATATGCAGAAATTTAAGTGAAAAATGTAGTTCATAATATACTCACAGGCATAATCGTTTTCTCATTTTCAAGAAGTTGTATTTCCTGTAGAAAAAAAAACGTTAAAAAAATTACTTTTAACAAGACATAATTGAAATACCTTATTAAATATATTTTATACCAACCGACCCAAAATCACAGTTAGGAAAATTCTACAAATTATTTTCAACGATTGGGCTACTGTTTGGAATTCCTTATTGAGAACAAAATAAAGACGTACAATACCAAGGGAAAAAGGCAATTTGCTAATTATTGGTTTCACTGAAAGCGTGTTAAAGTTGGTGTATCCGTGCTTTTTGGGTATGGCACCTTCAAAAATAGATTTTAAAATTGAATTGATAATTTTCTAACATTACATTAGTTATGAGCTTTCCAATGAGACGTCGCACAAAAAATCGGCCCACGACAAGCAGTCAATTAATTAATTTCAACTTTTGAATTAAGAGCGAGACGATCCTAATTCGTTCTGAATGATGTGCGCAGTTTCTGAACTTGAGTGCGCCATTTAAAACCCTTTTTTAGAACTGTATAAAGGCCTGCAAATACAAACAAGCAAATGTATGTGTTACATGACAATATTCCTTTAAATGTCGTTCGGAAAAGAAAATTTTGAAAAAGTACGTATATACCAATGCAACTTTAACCGCTTTTTTTTGGGGGGGGGTGCATTTAGATCTGACAATGACTGACCTGGAAGTCACAGTCAAAATTGCCCTCACTAATTATTTCATCGAAGAGCTTGCCGTCTCGAAACTGACGAAATCTGAGCTTTTTACCTGTGAAAAAACATCAGTGGCTTCATTAGTGGCCGTGATGGACGAAGTGCATTTTAACTATAACATGGTGGAAGTATATAGTCAATATAATGCGGTGTACGGTCTCTTCCGGATCATCAAGAGTTGACAAATTTATTCATTTCTTATTTTAACTGGGTATCCCATTCAGTGGAAGCCACTGATCTCCCATGGGTCCAAGTAAAGAGAAGAAAATGCGAAGAAATTACAGTTTTAGAGGTGGGAGGAAAAGCTCAGAAGAGAATTCCGAGGAAAACCCACGAAATTAGGCAGGGACCTAAAACCCAATCCACATATTGGCCCAGGCAGGATTCGAACCCGGATCACAGCGGTGTAAGGCGAAGAAAGTACCGCTACACCAACCTGACTCCCCAAAAACATATTGTGTTTTTGATTCAACTGAACGAGAAGCTCATACAAGACGGACATTATTTGTCATACAGCCAGCTCAATCGTACATTGGCCGATCTGATCTCTATACGGCTAAGATGTTGAAGTCAATACACAGGCTTATACAGAGACCAAAATGCCGTTTAAAGCAGTGATTTAAAAAAAAAACGAACTTATTGGGCTTTTCTATTATAGTTGACATTGATCAAAAAGAAATAGTTGACATTGATAAAAAGGGTATGTTTTGCCTGAAGGACCTTCCCCATTCCACCCTTGATAAACGGGACTCTAGGAGCCTAACCGGCCACAGTTAATGCAAGTCAACCATAAAATGAAGTTTATCAAACAGTAATGCTTACCAGAGATGTGTGTATGTGCCATTGTAGCAAAAATCTTGATTCCTTTTGGAGGGAAGTACTGTGAACATAATTATTGAGACGAAATCAATACTTCAAGAATTAATGCAACAACATTTTGGATCGACCAAGATTCCGTTGCATAATTATTTTAATGTTTCGTGTAGGCCCTATGACACAAACCTGACAGCATGCTATTATCCGCTCGTATTAAAGGTTATACGAGCATGTTCTTCAACTGATTTGAAAAAGCTGGGGAATTACTGAAATGTATCCAGGGCGGATGCAGAACACAATGTGGTTTTTTTTTTTTGGGGGGGGGGGGAGGGGGGGAGAGGGGGGCAAAACAATTTTGGTCCCCCGAAAAGTGAGTCCAAAAATTACGGCGTAGGGTTTGGGCCAGCTTAAGGGGCCCGGGATTTGTTTGGATTCTAGATGCTCTGCATGGCCCCCGTTGCCCCCCCCCCCCGGATCCGCCCTTGAAATGTATCCATTCTATGAGAATTAAGTTATACATAATTTTATTTTATTAAAAGAATCCATTTCTACAGCTGTCCGTGGAATGCCAATTGAGCTGAGTGTGAGAACCAAAGATTACACACAGGTTTTCAGATACAAATGAGAATTTACTCATTTTTGTCAAGACTGAAACATTATTTTTACCGTCAGATTTTGTGTTTTGAATATGAAGAATTGTTTCTGAAATAATGATGGTGATTTTGTCTGTTTTCGTTCCTGGGCAAATTTTCGTTCATTCATGAAGGCAGGAAAACGTCCTTGTTTCATTAAACGGTAAATGATCATTGGTGGATAGCTGATTTTTATTATGTTTCTATTAAAATAGACATAACCTGTGAACATAGTTAGCAAATATTTTGATAGTTACTAGTCTATAAAATGTACTTTATCCCTATGTTGATTTTATTAAATGGAGCCATTTTTTTAAAATATGTTTTCTAATTAGGCAACTTTCTTTTTGACTGACCCTATAGAGTGCTATAGATGTAGCATGTTTTCGTTTAAAACTATATTTTCTTTCATGTTTTTTTGAGCAGGGCACATCCATTCAACGATACTCTTTTCAGCAGATCAAGTACATTTTTGAACACTGAACTATGAGAATTCATTAAAGCAATAACATTATGTAGAATACCAGTTTTGTGCACTCCTCAAGGCACCAGCCTTTTGATACGAACTCTTCTTGTTTGGGCGGGATTACCAGCCACCACATGGAGAAAACTCCCGCCAAAAAGATGCCCGCGTCATGTTGCCGTAAGGTGGGCGTGTAGTAGAATCGGAACCCGGAACTGTCTTGAAAATCTGTCGTCATAAGGAAAGGGAGAACATATTTTAATTTAATAAAAAAAAAAAAATCCATCGCGGCTTATCCATATCCATCGCGGCTTACTTTGATGATTTACATATAAAAGTGAAACTTTACTCGGAGAGAAATTCGTTTCACTTGGATTTGAAATACTAAGGGTGACATAGGCGCTTTACCAACTGCGCTATCAAGCCTTACGTTTGGAGTGTCTCATTTTTTCATCGGCTTTTAGGCTATAATAATAATCATTATAATAGGCCTAACGGGTTTTTATATAGCGTTTTTAACTAAGATCAAAACGCTTTACATTATTATTACCCCTGAACATTGGGCCAATGAAACATTCCAAATACCATCTCAGCTCCCTTGGGAGTATACAGCTCGATGCAGCCTGTTAGGCGCAAGGAAGCGAATTCAATCACAATAACCATCTCTGCCCTCACAGGTACCCATTTACTCCTGGGTGGAGAGAAGCAATGAGTGACAAAGTGTCTTGCGCAAGGGCACACGCACAAAGACCCCAGGCTGGACTTGAACCCACAACCCGCAGAATTACCTACAGACCACGAATTCAATGCCCCAGACCACGAGGCCACGGCACTCCACTTCATATACCTCGGTTATATACTATGACCCTGAGGCAGTTTGTAAGTTAGCTGTTAAGAAATGCGGCAAGGGACTTGCTAATGATCATGACCCATGTCTCACAGCCATAACAGGATGGGTAGACAGGCTGTCTTGAAGATGTTCAGTGTTAGCTCTTGGGTCACAGTGGAGGACTTCCATATCCTTCCTATAGTTTCCAGAATGCACCCCATATAATGGACTAAAAACAGGAAAAGCTTCTCTAGCTTCAACAATGGCTCAGCACTGGGAGCATCGACGTGGTAAACTTTAAGCTTCAGATTTAAACTTAACTAAGCCCAAAAAATGCCTTCAATTGGTTTTGTTTTGTTAATATTTTAAAAATTCTAAAAGGAATCCAAGAACTTATAAGAAAAATTCAGACTTCAAACGTTCTAGTTAAAAGTTATGACCTTTGATATTTGCAACCCACCGTCTGGAAGTCGTGGATTGTCGTAGTGCACTTCCATGCGCAGGAATAGAGGATCGCCGGGCCCACCGATGGAGTAGCCAACGTGCGCGGGAAATTCAAATGCCTGCAAAGAATGCACGTGTTTCGATATGAATAGAGACTCTATAGAAAAAAATAATGCCATGGTACACAAACTAGTGAGGCAGATAGGGGAAATATTTGGGAGAATTGTGCCTTTGATGATACAAGCATGGCATTTGCACACACTCAGTCTGACTCAGAGTATGTCTTAGGAAAGATATTTGGCTATAGGGACATCGCAGATTTGTCCTTTGACAAAATATAGGTAGAATAACAGGCAATGGCAGCCATTTAAAATTGCTTGTTATTCTACCTATATTTTTTCAAAGGACAAATGTGCGATGACCCTATAGCCAAATATCTTTCTCATGGCATACTCTGACTGTGTGCCAAATTCCATGCTTGTATCACAAAAGGCACAATCCCATCACACAACTCCCGTCCATGCAGGAGGGAGGGTTTAGATCGGTCCAATGGTCTTGACTTTATCCAAACGACCCTTTTTATACCTACCGTTTCTTGGGTTAAGTGTCGAAAAAGGTGGTCCCAAAATAATGGGTTAATAATGAACTTTAACACTTGTCAGTGTGGATGCGTCTGAAAGATCTGTTCAACAGCTTTGGTCATGGATTACTGAGTGCCTCCAATTTCAAGATATAAGATACACGTCATGCTTAGTATCTTAGTATCTTTCCACCATGCAAACCTTCAAATCTCATCTAACGTCATGCTTTGCTAGGTTTGATTCTGAGAAGACTGTGAGACTTACCACACTGACAGTATTCAGGCTCGTAAATTTAACATATAAAATAATTTGGACTATTGTATACGCATAACCAAATTGGTTCAAAATCTCGTTTACACACGGCACTATATAAACACCGCAAAACAGAAAATCCACACTCATTGGAGGGGTCATATTTTTGAATCTGATCGTACTATGATGACGTTATTAATATAGACCTTTGGGGAATTTTATTTGAATTATTTTTGCGGTGTTTAGCTTTAAAAATCCTATAGCCAATATGATTATGGGGAGTGCACTTACCTTTGAACGTTCTTTATGAGAATACAATGTACATTCAGGTTATTTTCAACACAAACTTTGAAAGAAAGAAAAAAAATCACTTTTACGGGGAGGTTCCCTCTGTCGATCCCTTACCCCGCCACCGATGCTCCAAATGAAGACGAGCGAGATGCAGTTCTGGATATCCTTGGGTAGTTTGACGCAGAGATCGGAGAAGCCGTAGAGCTTCTCGTCTGGAGGGGCCGCATAGCAGGCATAGACGAAAATGTGGTGGATGTACGGCTCACTGCCTGGTGCTAAAACTGGCTCATACTAGAATGAAAATTGGTACCAAAATAAAAGACGGAAGTAATACATTTATATGCTGGCTGTGAACAGATTTTTCCATAGATTTGACATAATATACACATATAGGACTATGTAAGCTTCGGAATGGTCTCAGATCACAAAATAATTCTATTCAATTGATTCAGAAGTACATCACAAGTCCAGTCATGCACAAGTATAACAGAGGTGAGTGTAATTTGTATGTGTCAAAGTTCATTTGAATACAGGGTGTCTAAAAAACCGAACCTTAACCCTAAAGGGGCCGGGGGGCGGAATCCGCCCCCCCCCCCTCAACATTTTCCGCGATAGCTTCTAAAAAAAAATTTTTCGCGACCCAAGCTGTTGTGACTTTTTAGCCTCGAGCTTTGCGCATCTTTTGATACCAAAAACATAAAAATCGGACCACGGGTTGGCCCGTAGCGAAAAATTTTCCGGCGCTACGCGCCGTGAAAACTAAATTTTTGCATATACGTCGTGTACACCGAGCAGAATTGCCATTCATACATATGAATAATTAATTAGCCATAATTCCAAAACCCTTTGAGCTATAGTCATGAAATTTCTTGGGCATGTTTAGGAAGAGTTGCTCTATGCATGTGCTGAGTTTCAAAATTTTTCGTCACTCAATGGCCGAGATCTTAGGGGGGGCGGAATCCGCCCCCCCCCCCCCCCGGCTGAGAGATGGTCAAAATAACCCGGCCCCTTTAGGGTTAAAGCGTTCTCTCGTTCATAGCTTTCAAAAAAATACATCGCAAATATCTATGTACAGGGAGAGAGCGTATAGTCCATTAGCTTTTCAACAACGAAAAAAACTTTCCAAACCCGTTAATACTTAATGAGTTATAGCCAATTTGAAAACAAGTACTCCCTTTTCGTTTTGTCCACGGCGACCGATATTGTGACTGACGCATTAAGAACACGGACAGAAAGTTGCATTTGTGAAAAAAGGCTAGCAAGTAGAGGCAGAGAAGCACGGTAAACATCTAAGAAGTTAACCAAACAGTACTTTTCGGGGCAACCATTAGGTCCAAAAGGATAAATGACTATTGTTGCAAAAAAAGAACAAAATATATAAAGAAAGATGAAAACATTAAAGACATCCAAACTACCCTCACCCCAAATCCATTTCTTTCCGAATAAATGACAATACTGCGACCGACAGATTGAAAAATCAGCACTTATTTTGAATTGGCCATAACTCAATAAATATTTACCAATTGGAAAGATTTTTGTTGTTGTTGAAAAGCTATGTACAGATGTTTGCGATGTGTTTTTAAAGCTGTCAAAAAGAGGACGCTTTGAGGGTTCGGTGGCTTGTTTTGAGACACCCTGTACTTTGTGACTGGACGGGACTGGATGACCAGCTTTATAGAGTTTGCGAGAAACTGTGACGGACTTGACTACAATATGGCGCTGTAGACCTATACTAATCATGTAATGAAATTGGAAAGAAATCATACCCTGATGATGTGGTGTCTGGTATCCACTTTGGGGAATCGGCAAATGGTGCACCAGTACAGAGTCTGGTCTTGTCGGAGAGGTCGCACCTATTTTAGTCAAACCAAGGAAAAATATTTTAGATAATTATCTGCTGTCGCACTGGAAAAGGGGGTGCCGTATTAAGTTTGCTAAACTGTCACCCTCTTTAAAACAATTCACAAAGCGCTCGCATTGTACACGAGGAAGCCATTTTCAATCGGGTATCCTGAATCTGTTTTATAAATTGTAAACTGTCGAATGGGATGATGCCAGACTATTTTATGGTTGGGGTGGGGGCGTTGCAAGCCTCACTTTCAATTTATTGTTTAAATGTGGCTTAAGACATTAAGGTATGTTACATATTTTAAATTATTCATCAGAGCTGACTGGTATAAGTGTAAAGTAAACTTCTATTTCAATGCTTTTTTTTAGAAGATGTGAAAGTTCGTTTGTACCCATCTCCAAGTGATTGACTTTTACTGGCACAATACCGATATCCAATTTGAATGTTTGAAATCATTTTGCCAAAAAGTATAGCAGGTGAAAGGGCAACACAATGTCAAATGCCCATTGGTGAGCCGCGCGAGGGCGGAAGCTGAGCCGCGTGACCTTTTCATTTCAGGCTCCATTACCATAATGGTTAGTACTTTGGCTAAACTGTATGTTTTCATAATGATCACTGTTCTCATAAATCAATAAAATAAAGAAAGAAAACAATTTACTTTGTTATTGAGGAATTCGTGTGTCTGGACATCTTGAGGCAAATTGCGTGCCTCGGAGTGATCTGGAGCGAGAAGCATGACGGAGTGTGTGCCGCGGTGGTCGGGCCCATGGTAAGCTGGTCCGTCTGCCTCGCTCGGGTCGTCATCGTGGTATGACCACAGCAGGCGAGTTGTGCCGGGCTGCATGCACAAAATGATGGGTAAATGTAGACAGGATTATCGTATGACGACATCATCAACCATTTAAGGGTTAATTGGAAGGTTTGTATCAATTACATGTACAATTCAATAGTTATCATGTGTAAATCAACCACGAGGCAATCATTTCCCCGTTATAGCTTTGCTGCACATTTTGTACAAGATGCGTGGATCTTATTAAAAATGGAATGAGGATTGCAAAGCTAACTGACATCTTAAGCATACCTGAATGAGGTCAATAACATGTTTACCCATGCATGCATGCAGGTCACATTGTTAACAACAACAACCACAACAGCCACAACCACCACAACCACCACCCATTCTCAAATTTGTATCCTTGTGGAGACATTTCTTTGTTCTCGTGTAGTAAAGTGTTCAATTTTGAAAGTGAAGTTTCAAAATGCTCTTATTTTAACCAGAATTAGTTTCCTTGGCTGAAATTTGGACTTAATATTCCCTTTTCTAAAACTCTTCCATTTGCGACAAATCAACCCACCTTGGAAATTCCTAGTTTTTGAGTGAAACCCGTGAAAACCTTGTGGAGGCCTATTTATCTATAGAAATTGCCCTGTGGAGACCTTTACAATGTTTTGTTCCCTATTGTGTGTGAGTCTCCGCAAGGATACGAATTTGTGGTCACCTTAATACCCACAAAAAACACCACAACCACAACCATAACACCCACCCAAACCACCCAAACCACCACAACCACCACACCCACAAAATCCACCACAACCAACACAAGTGTGTATTTGCCTGCAATCGCGGACCACTGTATTGACCCTCTTTTGTTTGTACTTAAATTTTTTAGGAAGGCCTCCCATATGTTTTGTACACGAATCGAAATTGGGGACCTCTCGGGAATTGCATGGCGACCCTTTATTGTCCACTATTGTTCAACGTCCCCTATTGAATGCAGAAACAAACTCACTACAACCAACACAACCACCACACCCACAACAACTACAACAACAAAAACAACGACATTCTTCCATCAGTAGTGAATGGGGGGGGGGGGTTGCCCGCTGACTGCTGTTATGACTAGGCTACTAATTATGGAATGCTAATTTGTACATTCTCTAAATTGTCGTAAAGAATGCAGGAGATGGTATCGTGGATTTCAAAATGTTCCGGGGGATGCCCCGGACCCACTAGCAAGGCGTGGCTTCACTCACACTTTCACTCACCCCCTCTCCCCCGTTCATATCAACCCCCACCCCCGTTTCCTGAAAGCTATAGCTCCGCCCCTGTCAATTATTTCCACACTGAAGCTAAGTGCATAACAGGTACACTTTGTTAATTAATGGTTTTCGACCTATGTACCATGTAAGATTCTCCCATACATGCATGGATACGGTCCTTTATTACTTCCAAACACAACAAAAATGAGCGGAGCTTGGTACAGTTTCCTTTGTTCTTCAACTATTCATTGTGTAAAGGTGTCGGTAGCATTGATTTTATACTGTGCGTAAATATAACTGTACGGTATAGTAATTGATTATTTCATGGAAACAATGGCGATTATTCAATGCGTTTTACAAACTACTTCCTCTCCCACGTTCACAGATCCGCTGTGTATCAAAAGGTTTTTCTATAGATTAGACTTGGCCTGTAGGACTTGTGAATTTGCATCATATAATTAATTTATAAGGAAAAATATAAATCCAAGTTTCCGTCTTGATTGCCTACGTTATTTACGGTATTTACGTTCAATTTTACGTGCAAACCTGCCAAATAAAAGATGTCGTATGGTTCTCAAGCTGTTGTCCACTATTTCAAGGACCATGTAACTTCTTTTTATTAAATGCAATCCTTGGAATTGCAACCTTTCATCCAAATTAATTCCAGTGTCAGTTTTTGTTTTGCCATTTTCAAGGGTATTTAGGTGCCTTTTTGTTTTATGTTAATGCGAATTTCCATATTGAGCAAAAGTGTGATGTCATTTCAGGCAGAAACCTTAAGCTATTACAGCTATTTCAGCATCTAAACTTGCCAGAATTTTGGATAGTTCGCTGTCGTAAATTATATTTTTCCTTTGTGATTCATTGTTGTTTCAGTAAGCCAATGAACAAAGTTTTCTTACAAATATTTTCAACAAGCAAAATAATGTTTGGGTTCACAATTTGAACAGAAAACCCCTCAACTGAACAGTGTCTTCCTGGAATGACACCACAGCAACAACGCTCTCAGTTGTCCGGAAAAGCATGGACAATTTTAAATGTTTCAAGAAGTGCACTTTTCACAACATTAACAAAAAAATGGATGTCAAGTAATTTTCATACATTTAAGAGCAGTAGAACATTGCACATAATACGGTCCAAAAAAATGAACCCTTGAAAAGTTTCTTATCATTATACACGCACCGTGAGGACCATATCTTGGCAATCCGATGTGTTGAGTTTCCTCCTGAAGACAAGCGTGGTATACTGGTCAGCCTCCTTGCCGCTCAGTAGCTCATAGTCGTCATGCTTGTCTTCCTTTGGCTGCTCGTTTCCCGTGGCGTAGCGATCCTTTAATTTATAGAAATTTGAGAAATATCTGAAGTTTACCTCACCTTTCACTTCTGTGACCCGTGTTCAAATCCATCCCACAGGTGGATTTCGTCTACATTCCCCTGCCTGATTTCTGAATTATCCCAGGGATGTTAGTTTTCCCCTTCTGTATACTCCTAAAACTGAACAGTTGTTTTATGACAATAATTTTAGTTCGATATGGGGAAATAACTTAATGCGACAAATACGAGTGTTTTATTTTGATACTGGTGATTTGCACTGCAAATATTAGTGTTCCTGAAGACATATGTGGTTTCCTATAGACTTGTCACAGTGACCATGGGCGTCAATCCTGGGGGGACAGGGGGACATTTCCCCCCCCCCCCCCATTTTTTGAAGGGCGGGGGACACAATATCAAATGTCTCCCCCCCCCCCCCCCAGATTTTTGAACACGTGTCTCATTTACAGAGCCCTATTATGTACTTCAATGTATCTTTTGCTGAAAAAATATTGGTCAAAGTGGTCAAAAATTGCCTCAGATAGCACCACAGAGCATTTAGAATCCACATTTTTTTTCGGGGCCCTTAATCGGGCCCCCAACCCCACGCCTGTAGCTCACAACTCTGGTAGCCAATTCAATGACTCCAACCTCGAAAACGATGTTCAAATAATTATCTTTTGCTACGAAAATATTAGTTTAAGCATGGAGAAAAGTGGTAAGAAATTGCTTCAGATCACACCACAGAGCATCTAGAATGCATTTTTTTTCCGGGGCCCTTAAGTGGGCCCCGAACCCCACGCCGTAAGAGCTTCGCGCTTCGCGCTCGCATCAGTTCTGATCAAGGTTTCCCCCCCCCCCCACTTTTGAGAAGCGATTGACGCCCCTGACAGTGACAAATGTCCGTGGTTGATGTTTTAGATTAGATATTCGATATTCAAGTATCTTTGCGCAACAGAAGCGGATTCAGAGGCGGCACAACCCTCCCCCCCCCTTTTTTTTTAGGAAGTATGTCTTGTCTTTTTTTCAATTTCTGTTTCCTCTGCTGTCAACTGGTTATTTAATTACTTCAAAGACACACATTTTCACTCACATGAGCAAAATAATGGCCCGCTTGTTTGTTCGGCTTTCGCCTCCACTTTCGCCCCAACCCCTTTCCGTAAAATGCTGCATACCCAATTGTGTTTTATTTCATTTTCCCATATACAAATAAAGTGGCGTATGTTGGTTTTTGCTGAGGGGGGGGGGGGGGCATAATCTAGCAGACGCTTGTGAAAAGCCTATTTTTATTATTCTTTAAACTCTTCCAAAGGGGTAGGGGCATTGCACACGCCTCCCCATAATGCCACTGTTGCAGGACACACTGTATTGTGATCATCTCCTCATAGAATAGAATGGATAGTGTGGATAAATCATCATGTCTATAATTAGTTCCAATGACATGTATTTCTTTATTATAACGGAAAACACAAAACTATTACCATGGGCGTCGCGAGGAGGGGCAAGGGGGCACTTGCCCCCTGGAAAACGAAAAAAAAAAGGAAAAAGAAAAAAAAAGGAACAAGAGGTGCGAAGCCATATTGCTGTTAATTTGATGGGGGTGGTAGGGCAAAATTGCTCCCCTGCTCCCGCCCGGAAAAATGATAAATTGAGAATATTATGAAAAAGGTAAGGAATTTTGGGGAACATTTGCTTCCCCCCCCCCCCCCGACGTCCATGACCAGAGAAAATAAATGCGGGAAACTCTCCAAAACTGATTGGATTTTGTAACAGTTATACTCACCGACAAGTAGGGTTTCCCGTCCCGCACCCAACCGATGACTATATCTGCTCCCTTCATACCCCCGCTCGGAGAGAACCCCAGGCCGACCCAGCCCAGTGTCTTGGCTCTAACCCTGAATGTCACGTCTTCCTCCGTGTAGCTCCACTCCAACACGTAACTGTCTCCATCCTGGGCGGGGGACAGACGGCGCGAGTAGGACGCCGGCTCGCTCGGCCGACGAGGTTTACCTTCCTCGGTCTGTTCCTCGGTGGTTTGAGACGCGGACTTTTCGCATTGGCATTGCAAAAACGCTACCGATGCCAAGAGAATTATGATACTGTCGGTAAACATGGTTTGGAGAATTTATACCTCCAAAATGAAAATTAAAACAACAAACTCAGCGGGGATGTCTTCCTTTCCTTCACTGTCAAGCCCGGCACGAACAAAGACTGGCCGTTATACAGAAATGCTATTTTCTTTGAAACAACCGCCCGTGAGAATTTCTCTTCATCAGCGGCAGAGCGGAAAGGTTTGTAGCAATTGGTGATATTAATTGATTAACCCACACGCATCTGTTTCAAATCTCATCATGCAAATTAGGTGTATTATGACGAAAATCGATAACCAGTGGCAATGATTAATTAGCGTGCCTACATGGGTTCAATGGATTATGAGCACCAGGATGCGCTAGCATTTGCACGTGTCACAAGCGCGCGGTGTGATATGCATATCCCATAAGGAAGAAACCAGTGAAAAGTAACAGATTTTGTGCTACTTGTAACAATTTGCTTTCGATGGTTTTACACATGTTTATATCAAACCAGGTGCCGGAAGTAGGCTATAGGGCAACCCCCCCCCCCCCCATCCCCCTTTCCGAATTTTAAAATGTGTACATGTACGTTTTGTTTTTTTAACGAAAAACATAATTATCCCATTTTTTGGCGTCTGCAACCTCTGAAAAGGGGATTTCATATCGCGTATAAAATGAAGCCGTCCTGAAAGAGCCTAATTCTTGTCTGCCAGCCAATCATTGCATTTTTATTTAAAGAAATAATTCAATGACTAAACGTCGGTCGATTTTTTTTTCGTTTGATGTCTCATTCAAGAGTGAATAACTTTTATATTGCTAGTAAAATAAATCTATGTTTTCGAGGTGAAACTCGAATATAGCATGGGGAACGCACCTTCAAGTTGAATCAACACCTACAACTTTCTGTTTTTCACTTTTATTTCTGGCGGTGTTTCAAATTAACTTCAGGTCGGCAAGAATGGGGTATAATATAAGAAAAGCAACATGATAGTTTATAAATCAATTTAATATAGGTTTCCCAGTTATTGAATCACTTAGGCCTATATCACACATAATTATACCCAATAGCGATACCTTAATTTCGTCCGTGGACATCGTCAAGTTCAATTCTCAATTAAATTTCAAAAAGCCACCAATGAATTTCATTTAAGGTGCAGTATACTTCAAATTTGTAGTATTCTCATTCGTCCTAATTTTCGGTGTATTCGTCTCATTTGGCGATCGGCGTTGTAAAGCAAATTCGTTTTCGGGTTCAACAAGATGCACTATATTCGAGTATAACCCAGCACCGACAGCACACTTTTAAACTGAATCAAAAACGATATATATATCACTCATAATACCATAAAGAATAACAGGTAATGATTCATACGTTTTACAGATTAGGCCCCCCCCCCCCCAAAAAAAAAGTCTCCGGTTTCTGGTATGGAGCTTGCCCAAAAAGTGGTGCGGCGACGCGGCTTTTTTTTTTTTTTACCTGATTTTTTTGCTTCAAATGTCGGCTGATGACTGCAAATGGTGCCCGACTAAACTTAGTGCAAATATATGGGAGTCCAGAGAGGCCACATAAAGCTTATTCTCGACCATAACCCAATCTAAAAACACGTTAAAATTGTGCAGCAGCAGGATTCCAGTCAAACCAGTGAGTTTGGCGGTTTTGAGACATCATCTTTCATTGAAAAAAAAAAAAATCATTTTGCCGACGCGCATGGCTACGGCGACGCGCGCGCATACCAGAAACCAGAGACTTTTTTTTTTGGCCTTACATATACCTTTTTAATTTACGCCCATATCCTACTTAAATAGTGACTATTGCCCAACAGTCTTGTTTGAATTTTTTGTCACCTTTAACTACTAATCTCACGCTAAAATTGTGTTTGCCCACAGCCTGCATATCCTAAACGACGTTATTAGATGCCCCCTTTTCAAATATCTTTAATTTCAGATGTCTTTAATATCAATCTTTAATTTAATTTAATTTAACACACACAAACGAGTACTTTGTTTTTTAATAGATTTATGTTGCTGTAGGCCTAATGTGGTATCGGAGTTTAAAACTTCAATCTTCATGTGTTGGAGATCAAAAAAGTCGAAATGATATTAAAGAGGTGCACGGCAAATGGAAGCAAGTCCCCATCAAATGCATGCAATTTTGTGAAAGCGAAGAATAAAGTCTGAAAATTAAGCATGGTACAACATGGAGTTATGGTGAGCGGACGAGCTGTGAACAAACGCCTGCCCCTTGAACCATTCCTCCTCCCTGCTGGACACGATCATGGCCGGTCGTTCCTCGGTCTGTGACGGCATGCCGCAGGCCGCACCCAGGCTCGCGGGCGAGTACTGACGGGCCGGCTGGTGCAGGCAAGCCCCGGCCGATGCAGCGGCCGTGGCGTGGTAGTACTGGTGGGGACTGACGCTGGGCATGTAGGGATGATACCCCGGTGGCGTGGGAGGGTAGACGGCGTGCATCATCCCCGCGTACGCGGACGTGGAACCTCCGCTAGTCGAAGGGGAGACGCTGGCCGGGAAGATCCGTTTGGACAGCTGACGCTCTCGCTTTCGGAATTTAGCTCGGCGGTTTTGGAACCAAACCTGTTGTGGTATAATAACACCAGTAACAATTTAAAAATGGAATACTTATTTTCCAAACGTTTTGAAACGACACCTTCTGCCTTGACTTTATTTTTACACCGAAAATTATACCGAATACGGAAAACATATCTTGGAAAATAGTCCCCCCCCAAAAAAAAAAATATTGGACCCTCAAATTTGGATTTGTCGATGGCATTTTTAAAAGCAATTACATAACTTAAAAAATATATATTTAAGACGATATAATGAGATCACGTTCAGTAAGATTTACATAGTGGATATATATGATTAATGAAGGGGAGGTTTGCGGTAACACCATGTGAATGATATCTCCTAGTGAGTTGTGTGGTTCTGAGAAGAACCAGTTGGTTTCGATCAGTTGGTTTCGATGACAAGCAGTCTAGTGATGACGAGCAGAGCATACTGTTCGAAACATCGAGTTAAACCAACTGGTTCTTCTTAGAACCACACAATTAACTCACTAAGAGATATCATTCAAATGCATGTTACCGAAAACCTCCCATTCATTCAGAGATCAGGTTCAAAAACGAACATTTCCATCCTGAACTCAAACTGTAATTATGAAAAACTGTACAAATTTATACGCATCAAAGACGGCGCTCGTCAAATACAAACATGCTGATCTATTTTCAATAACTTGTTCAAATAATAGACCAAAGGGTCTGACACGATAGGTCTTTAAGTTAATGCAAAAGTGCTTTCGACATTTCAAAAGATGTGGAAAACAAAATGCTTTCACACTTGACACAATATAGCATGTGACAGCTGTAGGCCTTTTCCAGTATGTTTGAAGTAACTTAAAACAAAAATCCTTCAATGCGACATAATTATGTAGAGGGCGGAAATGGTCGATTGCAGCTAAACCGTCATTCTAATCCTATTATCTGATCGTTAGTGAGGTGATCAGCCTGCCATTTGCCTGTTTTTCTTTCAGAAACTCCCTCGAGATGGATGCACCGTGAGCATCAGGTTCATTAGTGGGTAGGCTACGGGGAGAGGCAGGGCCAAACACCATCTGGGGATCGCGCCACAATTAGCTTGTTTACCGGGACCAACTTGTTGTCCTTGCTTCGTTAGCGGTCGACGTCGCTGCTGGAGTGCTATACCATAATACCCACTCTGCTCTCGATCGTACAGATCAGCTAAATCCTAATTTGACTTAAATCACAGTTCCAACAGGAGCAAACAGTGCATGCAATTTATATCTGCAAACTTCAAATCTTGGCATACCTATCTCATTGGTAAAAAAAAAAGTATAATCATAATCGTAGAGTATACTTCCATAACCTATTTTTTTTTCTTACAAATTTTGAGCCCAAAGCTGGGGAAAATATGAAATGACATTGTTTCATAAACAACTCAACCAAGAAATCAAGTAAGCGAAGGTTTTACGAAGCAAATACGACCAAACAACGTCGTAGTGGAAAGAAATGGACAATTTTGAATATTATACCCGACATTAAATTTTTGGTAAGCACTTACATCAACTTCTGCTAATTGTGACTGCGTTTCCCAACTTTTGCAAACTGCCAAAAGATTTAGGCAGTTCAAGAACCGATTTGATGGAGAAGCTAAGCATAAAAATTTTGCTTGGCAAATGTCTAAGCAAAAATCACAATCAATTATACATTACATAGTATTTTGGGCTAAATCTTGCTCATAAGCAAATGTTTTTCAGCGTTATAGCAATAAAGGTTTTAAGCCTAGCAGCTTATTGGAATAGCTGATCAAATTTAACCGTGTCATGATGAGAAGTTCAGCAACAAAGTTTGGTTTGCCAACGATTATTTTCATGGTGTATTACTTGCCTGAATTCGGGCTTCATTCAATCCGGTCTCCCTCGCCAGCTCCTCACGTTCGTAGATATCAGGGTAGTGGTTCTTGTCGAACGAGGCCTCCAGAGCCCGGAGCTGGTCCTGCGTGAAAGTTGTACGGTGTCTGCGCCGCGGTCCGCCGGCGGCAGGACCGCGGTCCTGGGACTGGTACTGGTTCGGATGACCGGCGGTCGGGTCGGGGGAATGCTCGCTGTCCACATGTTGGTTGCCGGGTGCACAGTTGTTGGGATTTTCTTTTTCTGAAGAGCAGCTATTGACAATATGAGGATTTATCGACGCTATATGGATAATGACAAAAATGGTTGCACCGGTTAAGTTCACGATTAAGATATATATGACTTGAAGCTTTGCATGGCGGATGAGATTAAGAGTCTAAAACTAGCCCGAGTCAAATTCGACCCAAATCCAGATCACATTTGACCTGACACTTTTCCGGGTCAAAACGAAACTTCTCTGAGGATCTTTTAAATTCCGGGCCATTTGATCCGGAAAGGTACCAGTTTGACACACACACTAAATTGTCATTTTGACCCCGCGAAGTGTCAATTTCTGACCCGTATTTCGCGTCGAATTGGACGCGGACCTTTAAGAGCGTAATTTGTCATTTATTAAAATATTTTAGGATTACAGAGGCCAACCCCCCCCCCCAAAAAAAGAAGAAGAAATGATTCAAAAAATCATGTTGTTGGGAGGAATCGATTCATTACACTCACTTATTGCATACAAATTGATAACTGCAATTAAGCTTCATACAACCGAACGTCTGAGTAGATCAAAAAGCCGTGTTATATCTGGCATCATGAGCCGCACCCAAAGAAGCGGATATAGTGGGGTGGGGGGATGACTATATACAATGGGGCTAAAAATAATAAAGGGATGCTAAAGTTCCTAAATTAATTCTCTAATTGCTTTATATCGTAGATTTAAAAAAAAAAACACTTCCGGGTGGCATGCCCTCGGACCCCCTCAGCAGCAGCAGGGCGTGCCTTGGGCACACCTTAGACTCAACCCCCTTTATATCAACACCCCCCCGTTTCCTGAGAGCTAGATCCGCCCCCGCGCACCAGTCCAAAATAGGGGCAGAGCTCTCAGGGAAACTGGAGCGTAGGAACCTAGAGGTTAGTTTGATACCTTGATTTTTAAATTTGTTTTTTTAAATGGAGGAAGCAATCGTAACAGTTAAACAAGATTTGTCTTTCTTTTCACATTTTGCTTAAAACTAAACTTTTTTCCGTGTAAGCTTGCAGTGTGAGAAAAATTAGTTAGGAAAAAAGCTATCGTCAATTTGCTCCCCATGCTCTTCAACAAATTCTTTGTTTTCTCTTTTCAATTTCCAATTTGTACGTTCTTTTAAATGACAAAAAAAATCTGTGCAGGGCATCGCAAACTCTCGAAAAATGTCTCTCTTTGGGATTGCTTGTGCGCCTCTAACTCACAAAAGGATCTACTGGAATATGGTAGGGCCGCAAATATTTTAAAAGTCGTTAGGTAAGGCCAAAAAAAAGTCTCCGGTTTCTGGTATGGAGCTTGCCCAAAAAGTGGTGCGGCGACGCGGCTTTTTTTTTTTTTTACCTGTTTTGTTTTGCTTCAAATGTCGGCTGATGACTGCAAATGGTGCCCGACTAAACTTAGTGCAAATATTATTGGAGACCAGAGAGGCCACATAAAGCTTATTCTCGATCATAACCCCATCTAAAACACGTTAAAATTGTGCAGCAGCAGGATTCCAAATTTTGAAAAAATTACTGAAATTGCTCAATCCGTTTAAAGAATATATATATGTTGACAGTTGTTGAAACAAGTATTCTGTGTCATTTTCTGTGTTGTTCCAAACAGTCAAAACACACAATAAATTGCTTCTTTTTGGACGAGACAGGTTTTAGGGTCATTGTGTTTAAATAGTGATATTCTTTGAACGAATTGAGCAGTTTCAGTATTTTTTTTTCATCTAAAAGTAGCTAATGAAATCGGCTTTCCAGTCATTATTATTTTTTGGTGCTACATATTTTTTAAAATATGAAATATATATATTTTTTTTTGGGGGGGGGGGGGTTAGGGTTCCGTTTGTTTTGACTCACCCTGTACCTAATAATCATCGTTATGATCAATTTTGCAGTCCTTTTTTTCCAACACAGATAAACGAAAAGCTTCAATACGGGACTACTCTGCGTCCAAATTGTGTATCAGCTCCTGCGTAGGAGGACTTCATCACTTTACATCAACACTTTACACACAAGCACGTGTTGAAAAGACGATTGCTCGTCCGTAGTTGATACCACACAATTTAACGTTAAAATAGGCCTATTTTGTGGTGCAACTTTAGCTATTCCTCGATGTTTGCGGTGAATTTTAGGTTGGCCAAGAACTTTTTTTGGAGGGGGAGGGGTTTGGGGGTTGGTTTTTGGTTTGAAGCAAAATATAATTACTTACCGTCGCTTCCTACGTCACCTGGCAGGTAGAACTGTGGACTGGAGCTGTAAATGGATCGGTGTTCTTTGGATTTTGGTATCTGGCTGATACAAGACTCTGTACCATAGTTGGAAGTCATCATGTTTAACATGAACTGAGTTATGGAACCAGACCCCAGGAAACTATCCAAAAACTGGCAAGTCTTAAGACCCCGATAACTTGTATTGTAGGAAAACTCCTTAAAGACACAAGACATCAACTCGCGTACCAAGAGTTGCGAGTTCAGAGAAACACGGATTCCAAGACTTCTTGTTTTATACTTACAGTCGGGGATAACTTGTCTGCTCTTGGCCAATGGAATATGTTTGCCTCGGACACAAATTCAGCAAAGTGGCCGCGCACGTCGATCAAGCTTACTAATTTCATTAGTGCGGGAGCGAGAGCGGCGAGCGGCAGCTAGGTTCTGATGAACCGGGGAAGGGGAGGGCGCAGGAGGCGGGCTGGTAATTACGAAAGCGGCCACCTTCCACTGCTTAATTAAAACTTACGGGGAGAATAGCGAGGATTTAAAGAAGCAGGGAAAGGTGGACCTATGAGGACTGTGGGGAGGACTGATCTCATTATAGGTCTTATGAGCATTGGATGAGCAAACGAGCGTTGGATGAACACTTCAAGGCCATGGAAGAGGGAGTCAAGAGGCAGTGAAGTTCCATCTCTACACGGCTAAAATGTCATGTAAAACCTTTATAACGTCTGTGTACGACTTTAAGCGTTCTCCCAGTCCCACAAACCTTTACCAATTTTCAATTGTTTTGGAGAACTACAAAACGTTCAAGTCAAGCCCCATAGCTGTGGCCGATGCATGAAAGTTTTGCATGAAATCTATCGAAATGGTCCCTGCCAGAGCTTAAAAGTGCGACACCGATGGCACATTATGGAACATCATACTTTAGATTCATACCATGATTTATAGCGATTGTGTGATAAATACCACGTGACTATAACATTACTGCACATATTTTGCCTCCATTTACAAACTTTTCATAAGCATCTTTTTGAATTGTTACAATTTTTGTTACGTAATGAAATTCATTCGTTTGCTTTTTTTTTTGAAAATTAAAACTTGGCGTAGGATCCCCATTTGCAATTATCCCAACCCGGGGAATTATCAAAAAGCTTACTTGAATTAAAGATCTCAATGGTATACTAAATATCCCGTGAAATTATTCCGTCTGGCTTGCTGTCATTATGAAGAAATAACGTGAAGTTGATTTCCAACTATCAGTCAGTTGACTGATTTTTGGAAATGGAATGCTACATGTATAGGCCTACGGACGAAATCGTGTTTCGTGATCAAAAGGTCGTGCATGTTTTCCAGTGTTTTCTCGAAAAGTGTAGGAGCCTATAACATCCATTCTGAAACTTCAACAGGTTTAAGCTTTTGAAATATTCTTCTTTGAAGTTTGAGTGGTGTTATATCATATACAATGTAATTGGAAACGAATCAAAATGCAGGTAGATGTGGCGCTAATGCCGTCAACGAAAAAAAAAGACCACAAAAGGCCCCAAGTAATCAGTAAATTTGCAGTATTGAGTTATAGCAGTATTCAGGGAACTTAATGTCACTTGAAAAGAAACAGAGGTAGGTCGGGGAGGGGAGGAGGGGTTACCCATCCCAACACCCCCCTTGGGTCCCCCCTTTACTCAAAGTTTGACGGAAGAAGGTGAGTGTGAGGGAAGGGGAATGATATCGCATAAGTCCGGCAGATTATATGAGCTTGCAACGATTCGGAATGCTGTTTTCCCCCGAAATAAACAGCAAATAAAAAATAAATAATTTAATTATATAAAAACAGGACAACACAAAGATTGTTAAAATCTGACTTCATAATATATTATGTATTTGGATCCCAACAAAATATCTTAATTTATAAGTGCATATAACAACATAAGTAAATACTAGACATCAGTGAGATGGAATTGCGAGGTACAATCTGCTAGTTTTTAATTTAATAAACCTCCAACTTTTCTGGGAGTTTCAGGGCCGGAAGCTCTCGTATTTTTCGAAGAATGGTATACGTAAGATCTGTGAGGTAGAAACCAACATTATACATTTTGTGTAATTCTAATCATACAGGGTGAGTAAAAAAAAAACGAAACCCAAATGTCGGAACCATTGTTTTAGTGAAATTCTGCATGTAGCCCTTTCAAAATCTAAGATTATGAAAGCTCAATTCATAAGCTTTCTTTTAGCATAAGCTTACTTTTAGTATAAGAATCATTCAAATCACTTGTTTACTTTTAAAGTTACGGAGTTTCTAACACAACCGCCGTTTTAAGGTTCTGTCCACGGATCACAAAAAGTTCAGTGTTCTTTCAGCAAAACGAAACAAATCACATAAGGATGTGTGTGAATTGTTTTCGTTTTGCTGAAAGAACGCACACCTTATTTGTGATCCGTGAACAGAACTTTAAAACGGTGGTTGTGTTTAAAACTCCGTTACTTGAAAAGTACATGAGTGATGTGAATGATTCTTGTACTCAAAGAAAGCTTATGAATTGGGCTTTCATATCTTAGATTTTGAAAGTGCTACATGCAGAACTTCACTGAAACAATGGTCCCGACATTTGGGTTTCGTTTTTTTTTTACTCACCGTGTATAGATCGATTGCATTCAGTAGGCGTGCATCTTTGAGGCGTGTTTTACCTGTATGTTAATTCATGAACAAAGGCACACGCCTAAAAAATGCAGCCCAAACAATCTATTGATGAACATGTCATTTTCCTAAGGTAGTTTGTGATATCTAGAAGAGCATGAGTGATGTCATTCAATGACTGTGACTGGGTATCCTTTTTACAATAAGTTAAGCAACTGTTAAATAAATGCATTGAAACGTTGAGAGCTTATATGCAGCATGCGTAGAGTGTTTTGAAACAGTGGAATCGATCCTGAAGAAAATAGCAAGAGCCGTTTTGTAATTCCCGTGAACATTTCAAGGAATTATAAATATAGAACCTGAATATTCAATGCGGGAAAATATAGAGCATCAGATTTTAATTTTTTTTTTTGTTACAAAATTGTGCAGCATCCAGTTAAAAGACAAGGCACTTATGGTGGAGGACCTGTTTTGGTGGGAAAACTGGAGATTTGTTTTGGCGTATTATTGAGCACAAGGGAATGCATTCAAATTTAACTTTTTTAATTAAACAAATATATAAATAAATATATATGACAATTCAAGGCTCTGGGAAGACAATAACTTTGACTGAGATAATATCATTTTTGCCACCGCTTCCGACAAACAAAGAAACTTACAAACCACAACAAATCTGGGGGTCTTATGGGGAGGTGTGCCACAATAACACAAACTTTCTACTTCAAGTACATGTCCAATTCCATATCTTCACCAAAAACACCCCAAAAAACAACCACAAATCCCCGACACCAAAAATAAATGAAAAGAAACCAATTTCCCCCAACCAAGCAAAGGATTCAATGAATATTTGTGCACATCTTCTACAGCACTGTCCTGAAAACAAGATTTAAGGAAAAGAAAAACCCAGCATCAAACCCCCCCCCCAACAAAAAACTAAAAGAAAATTGTTAATAACGATAATAATCAATCACACAAAGTTCTGCAGTGACTTTCACTAACGATGGTGTTTTGTTGTTTGTTGGTTAAAGAGAGTGGGTTGGTCACTGTTGGGAAACATCACATAATTACGTTAATTGTGTACATGTGTGTAAACCAACCATTGGCAGTTCTGGAACACATTATCCAACATTCATTATTAAAGGGAAAAAAATCGAACTTGTCACATATACAAAATTCACAATTAAGGGCATATAGTAAGTCATATTAAAGGGAAAATACAACATTTGCAAACATCAAAAAATAAAACTACCAAATAATTTTGAAATACCTTGCTGGCCTGTTAGTGAATGACGTTGTAAAGCATCCTGTAAAATCATGGCACCTGGTATACTGTCATTTTCAAGAAAAGTGGTATTTTTGTATCAATTTCCAACGCTGATCGGCCGACCAGCGTTGGAAAAAACTGGCTTTTTTTTCAAATACTGGCCCCAGTTGACCATCGCACTTGTTTGCAATCGATTACACACCTATGAACGGGTACAAGCCAGCTAGACTGGTTCCCTGACCTTACAATTCCCCAATGTATGTAAACTGCTCTGTTTCTTCTTAAATGGAGTCAGGAAACCAGACTACAGGAAAATGATTGTTTTTCTTGGTTTTTATAGCATTTTTGAACCCAAATCCTCAAAAAAGTCAGTGTAACTATATTTGCTATATATTTCCAAACCCCCAATTCCATCCATTTCTGAAAATTACAGCAAAAGCAAATGATGTGTATTCCCTTTAAGGCACATTATCTCTCACAATGTATTGGGCACAAGTACTTTCAGATAATTTCAAATTAAAAGAATAAGTACATGTACTCCGGTATCAAGAGTTGAAATCCAGTCCTAACAAGGAATGAAAAAAAAAACATGTTGTCCACATGTTGTGCATGAGTATGCGAGTGTTAGTCATGCAGAGCACTGGAAGTGGAAGTCCTACAGCAACTTATATGCACTCAAATGTCATATTCATGATGCATTGATAAAATCATTACAACCTTGTTTAGAATTCTCTTTTGAGAGACAAGACAGAAAAAAGGACAAAACCAAAAGAAAAGAAGATGAAAACTGATGAGGCCAAACATACAATATTTCTGCTTCCGATTACATGGCATTTGAAAATAGGGTACGTGGGTAGGATTTTCTTTTTCTCTTTGGCATTTTTGCTTTGTGTTGATTATATGTAGATGTCCGCATGTAGTCAAGGGTTTAATGGTAGTTATTGATGGTTTTCAGTTGGTTTTTTCCCCCTCATTTTCCCCCAAATAAATTACAGTAGAGACTGTTACGATATGGTAAGTAGGGTAAAAGGAAGCAAAAGTATAATTTTTTTTGGCCTTATAAGAAATTGGAAGAAATGTGGGCAGGGAAACCCTGGAACAAATATTGCTCAAATTGTGACTGCTAGCATGCGTGGTTTTATGAGGTCCTCTGGCTTTTGGCGTACTCAGGGTAATCGATGTACCCGTCCCCATTGCGGTCCTCACTCTTCAGGATGGGGTCCAGCAGTTTCATCAGCTCATCCTCCTTCATGACTTTGCTGTCCGGCTCGTCCTGGTAGTGGGTGATGGCCTGGATCAGCTCCGTGCCGTCCAGCATGTTGTTGTTGTCGTAGTCGTGGAGCTTGAAGTAGTGTCGCTGGAGCTCCTCTGGGGTCATCTCGCTTTCTGGTTTGTCGATCACGCCGTCCAGGTGCTCCATGATGTGGCTGGTGTTACAGACAGAATTTGACACTTGTAAACAAGTCTATCAAACTTTCCTTATTTGCATAATTATGCATAAAAGCTCTTGCATTTTTGTTGCCTGAGGGCGCTGTTGGATTGGGTGTGGTCAGCTCCTTGGACATGCATGACCACATGTACATGTGTATGTACATGTACATGTGCACACCTATGCAGACACCTACATGTTTGCAGACATGCTTTGACTGACATCACTCTGTAATTTGCCATTTATATGTGACATCCCTTTGGAAGCTCAGCAAAAGTAAGTTTACTGACATTTATTTACTTATTTTGTGATTGTGATTAGAGATTTATTTTCATAATTTAAAGGGAAATTTGTGTGTAAATTTGGATTATTTAGCCAGTCAAATTGAACCATGTGAGCCACTCCTTGTTTGTCATTGAGCCCTTTTGTAAGATTGAAAGACATTGTAGGATGAAAATTGTTTGTTATTTATACTTACCATTGATAGATTTATATAGCACTTGACTCAAAATTAGTTTTTGTTTTTCTTTATTCTTATAGTTGAACCTTGCTTGCTTGCTTGCTTGCTACTTGCTTACTACTACTTGCAGCCTGATTGTTTGCCACATCCTACTGTACACATTACTTGCTACTTGAGACACCACTGTGAATTGTGAATTAAAACCTTGTGACAGCAATCCAAGCATGAGTTTCAAACTGAGCTTATTGGTATTTCTGTAATCTGGGGAGGTTACCGCTGGAGTTGTGGGAAAAGGGGGGGGGGGGAATTGAAAGAGGTTGATGAGACAATTGGCAGGAGGGATGGGAGTTGTATTTAGGTTATTCTCAAGCCAAAACAAAAGTTGGGTTATTGGTAACAGAAGATGAACAAAACAGTGACAAAGGAAAGTTTCTTTCACAGTTCATTTGGATAACTTCTCCCTTGGTTTAAGACCATAGTTGCCATCAAGTCGGTCATAGGGCTGCCCCGAATATACCGCATACTCAAATATTCAATCATCAACTGAATATTTTTGCCGGTTTGAACTTCGAAAACAAAAACTACGCTGGTACACACAATGCTGTGATGTTATTTTATCCTTAACCCTGCGCAGCGTTTACAAAAAAACTTTACAACAACTCGTCAACTGCTGCCCTCTGGGCAGCAGGTACTTTCCCGCACTACGCAAGACCCTATTCATAGCAATACAACAAAAAGCCATGTGCCAGACAGTGTCCAGACAGTTGCCAGACAGTGAGCTGGAAAGATAATTGACTGGTGGCTGTGGTATGCAGTTGTATGCAGTTATGAAGGGAGATGACTGTGTCAAGTTACAGGTCTTTGTTGATGTTTCAATGAGACTTGGCAGGAGGCCTGGTCGACAGTTTGTTGACACGGCCTGGGTGAAGCCCTGGCTGTAAAGTTCATTGAACCAGCTTATTTGGCAAGGGTCGAATGAGGATTAGATGGAAGGTGACCGTCATTGGCCCTCAATTTTTTTTTCTCGAATAATTCGGTTACCTGGGGCCCAAAGGGCAACAGGTCACTCGGCGCAAGGTTAAGTGGCAGCGCTTTATTGTCAGGTGCCACTTTTTTGTCTACGGTAATTTTTTTTGTAGACGGTTCAATGTTCACATCCTTTTGGGTAAAAGCCCTTTTTGCAGTTATAAAACACTGCCAATCACTCCAGCACCCCATATCGACTGCCGCACACTCTTCGTGCACATTTTATTGGCGCAACATGACGTTGCAGTTGGCAGTTCCGAATATAAATGCAGTTTCTAGCAATCGAATACTAAATTATTTGAAAATGGACAGCCCTTCACGAGCCATGGCACGTCATCACAAGTCATCCATGGTCAATCCAAGTCACCATTCCTACATGTGCACATGTAGGCCTGGAGACCTAGTGACAAAAAGGCATTCCTTTGCCAATGTTCATCAGTGCCAGTTATATTTGTGACCTTACTTGTGATTGATTAATGATTGATTTGATTACAAATCTGCTTGAGACATGATGACTTGTGATTGACTTATAAGAACTTGATTTTTGTTCACTCGAGGGAAATGTCAGTTTAATATCACCGTGTTACATCCCAATTGTGCAACTGGCCCAAGTGTGGATCCACCACAGTTTAGGGTAGTCTTAGTTATAGTTTAGCCATGCAGTTGGCATGCGTAACAATAGCCAAACTGTAGTTGGGACTACCCAACTGTGGATTAGCCATAATTGGAGTAATTGCCTCAGTTATGGTGTAACAACCCAACAGTCGGTCCCTCCCCCCCCCCCCCCAAAAAAAAAATGGGAAAAAAAAGATAAATAAATAAACAGAAATAGAAAGATGACGAATCGAAAAATTTCTTTCACTGTGTTTGTAATGTGTCGCACTTGTCCTGGTTTTGGAAGCGAAGGAAAAAAATGTTGCAACCTGACACCACTTCAGCAGTTGTGTACAAAGTCTATGGAGAGTCAAGACAATTTTCTAAGTATTTCCTAACAAAATTGGAAATGTTTCTCAGCCCCAGATTCATGTCTAATCATCATTTTTGCAATGACTGACCTTCACTGAGATGATATATATGAAAAAAAAGTGGCGTCAGGTTGCAACTTTTTTTTCCAAAATGAGAATTTGACTTTGTACTATCATTTGGTATCTGCAGTTCTGCTGTGCGTTCAACATTATTGTTACCCGAGTCAGCAACTCTGCTCTTGACACCAACAGAGGGCAGCAAAGCTTCCTTTATAGATAGACTTACTTACTCTTTGTCCTGTGAATGAACTTTGATGATGTTGGGGTTGCCTCCTTGGTTCATCTGATGGACCTGCTGACCGGCCTGAGCATTTGGCTGACCACCCTGGCCTGGCATTCCTTGGCCTGTTACCATGCCGACACAGGCATGCAGGCCTAGGAAACTGACAAGACTCAAGATGTCTGCTTTCATGTTGAACAATCTGGCAGTCTTGTCGAGGGTATAACACACAGGTCAAAGCACCTACCTAGAGGAGAAAGAATGTTTAGAAAGACTTTCGATTCTTGAGGAGTGTCAGAAAAAAAGCTGGCGATATGTCAGTATGTAGGCCTACCATGAACGTGCAAGGCGCGCTGATCGCACGGCACCAACTGTAAACCGCGCAGGAAAATCGTAATTTCTACCCCAAGAAACTGTTTTAAGAATTCCAAAAAAGTGTCGCTACTCCATACGGGCCTAAGAGAAGTCTGCTCTAGGTTTAAAAGGTTATTTTTGAGTAATAAAAAACACCCTTAAGGACTCTAATTTGATCAAAACTAAACAGGGGCCCTACACTACACGATCGCCGAAAAAAACCTGTCTACATTCAGCACTGATTTACTGATGACCCCCACCCCCCCCCCCGCAAAAAAATCCTGGATCCGCCCCTGAAGTGACTGCACAATTATATTGATACTAATAGTACACGTATCCGTCCGTCCCGCAACTTCCCGTACACTGTTTCTACTAAAAGATGAATATTTTATTCCCTGGCATGTGCAAGTAGTACTTACAACAATCAAATCACCTCTCCTGGCTCGGTCAATACTGTCTTACAACTAAACAATGCTTGTAAATCACTTAAAAAACGGAACAGATGGTGGCAAAAACCTTGTTGTTGTTTCTTGTTGTAGAGTTGGACGAAAGAGGGCGCTGTTGAAATAAACAACACGTACACCGCATAGGGAAATTGCCTGCATCATCATCGATCAAGTAAGCTTAGGTAGCGTATTACTAGTCACGTATTGTAATTCATTTAACTTTCCTCTATTTTGCTAATACATTTTCCTTCAAAAAAAGGGCTGTAGTCATCTATCATGTCACTTTCAACAAACCTTTTTTTGTGACTGGTGTGCTGTTCATGTTACTGCCAAATTTTACAGGAGCACTCTCGACAGAATGAGAATAAAAATTCCAAGTGTTTTCTTTGTAAATGCTTCAATATCTTCCCTGTTAAATTTGACTTTTTATGACATGTTATCGCTTTCTGGGAATTTTGGTGGCTGCAGGAGAAAATGTTGTTTCTTAGACATGTTAGGTTCACGTAGTGGCTATGGGTACAGCAGCCATATAATGCGCTTTTTAACTGGTATCTCTGTTGGTTAAATGCTTAACTACCATGCCGAAGGTCCCAGGATCAAATTCGGACTATGCATTACCTTTTATTAATGTTTTCAATCAACTCCTTTATTTAAGTAGATTTCACATTCTTCTTCCTAATCCGTGGCTTTGGAGGGAAAAAAATTCCAAGAACCATTCGGTTTGTAGTCTGGTTCCAAGAGCTGAACATTCTGACGTTGAATACAATTAGGTCATGGAACCGGATGGTCAATAGCCAATAGTAACAATAGCCACTGCGTATTTGTTAAATGCTGAAGACCGTTGTTGAACTTTTGGTAAGTAAAATCCTCAACCAGTATGGAATGTATAGAAAAAATTATGTCAAATGGCTTCATAATGTTATGACTTGCAAGATCTCATCCAATGTCACACTTTATCTGTAAACATTACACTGTATGGTCAAGAGACCCTCATGCAAATGGTTTTCAGATCCGAGTTCTTGTGCATGGATGCTGTCAGTAACTATTGTCTCTTCTTTTTATTTCCAGAGATCTTCATGGATGTGATCCAGGACTGCTCCCCATCATGTTGAAGTTCATCCTGATCATCTCCAAGCAGGGCCAGACTCGCCTGGCCCAGTATTACGATGAGAGGAGAGAGCCAGTGGAAAGGTCATCGCTGGAGGCTGATCTGATCAGAAAGGTTCTCCTTAGAGGAACCAAAGGGGTCAGTAATGACTGCTTCAATTGTAAGGCTACGGTTCTAAATGGATTTCCAGAGACAGCTACATGCAAGTCTGTTTTCAACATTCCCACATAGATTTTGTTGTGGAAGACCTAGACAGCGGAGTGTCCTGGTGGTTTGGGATCATGACTCATGATCAGAGGGTCAGGTGTTCGAATCCAGCTGCTGGCCATATGTTGTGTCCTTGGGCAAGCCACATTACCCCCACTTACCTCTCTCCACCCGAGAGTATGAATGGGTACCGGGATAAATTGGAGTAACCTGCGATGGACTTGCTTCCCACCTGGGGGAAAAATATTCTCAGTTGTTTCATGCCACTCAAATCGGAGATAAACACTGGCCTGATAGGCCATATTAATTAGCTTGTGACAGACTTCACTACTATAGACAGCACACAGCAGCTGTAGACAAGACATTTGGATGTGGCCTAACAGTACCTCTCTCTTGACATTTGTGCCATGAACCATCTCGGATTCTCTAAAATCGACCACTATGCAAGAGCCCAGCTTATAGCACCCTACACAAACTTCCTACTTAGTTTGACTGAGTAGAAGACCATGTCCATCAAAATCCATCACTCACTCTGTTTCACATAATGCTTCAGGACCAAATCCACCACCACGTGCTGGTGGTTTTTTGGACTTTTAATTGGTACACATGGCTTATCTGGATTTGAACAGCGCCCCCATTGAAAGCATGGTACAAGCCCCCCACCCCCTCCCCTACATTGTACTTAACTCTTAACTTCACTGTAACACCCCAATTGCCCTGCTTGTTACTCTGCGTAGTGCCGAAACTGCCCCAGCCCTCGCTGTTTTTTTGCTTCATCGGTTTCTATTGGCTTTAAACATTATACATAAACTAATTTAACTGTATGAATAATTTCAATATTTTGTTTTCAGTGCTCCTTTGTGGATTATCAAGACTTCAAAGTTGTGTACCGGCGATACTTGTCTCTTTATTTCCTCATCGGAATTGACAAAGAAGAGGTAATTATGGTGATTGACATCTCGTTCATATACCATGGTATTAAACAAAAGTGTGACGGTAAACTAATAACAGGCTTTTTGTTGAGGGGAGGTTTCTGGTGTCAATGCGCCTGTAGGGCCTGCTTGCACATGGACTTGTGCAATCACCAATCCTTTACTATCACCAAATCTAACTATTCTTTAAGGTATCCTCGCGCAATCTACGTGATACATTTGCTAGGTTCTTGCAAAAAGACACTCCTGATATTTGTATATATTTTTGTTTTGGAATTTTTGTTTTCCTCTTTCAGAATGAAGTGGCAATATTGGAGTTTATCCACCTAATTGTGGAAACATTGGACAAGTACTTCCCGAAAGTGGTAAGATTTAAAGGGAATATACATCATTTGCAAACATCGAAAAATACAACTACCAAGTTTTGACAAAACACCTTACTAGGATGTTGGTAAATGACAGTCTAAAGCATCCTGTAAAATTATGGCACCTGGTGTGAAGTCATTTTTCAAATCATTTGTATAAATTTCCAACGGTGGTCGGCTGACCACCGTTGGAAAAACCTAACTATTTTTCCAACTGCTGCTCCAAATTCACCATTTTTTTCACTCCAAATTTTGTTTGCTATTGGTTACATGTTCATGAGACTGGTTCCCTTACCTTACAATTTTTCGGCATCTAAAAATTGATCAATTTTTATCTTTAGTGGAGTCAGGGAACCAGACTACTCCACCATTTGTGTGTTTCTTGATTTTTCCCAGCATTTTCGAACACAAAACTTCAAGCATGTCAGTGTAACAATGTTTGATCTATTATAGTAACCCCTCAAATAGTTCATTTCTGAAAATTACAGCAAAAGCCAATGATGTATATTCCCTTTAAGGAATGGAATTGAAGTATTGCCCATTAAGTCAGCTGCTTGAAGTTGTCTATTAATGCTCTTCAGCGTACATGTATTCCACTTTTTCTTCTCACAAATTTTAAATTTGTATGTTTTAATTGACGTCATCCGTTACAACATGTACAGATTCATCTGACACCAATGAAATTATTAAATCGGGTGTAAACATTCAGTCAGGATGACTTTTGAAAATATCTGACATTCTTCCAAGTAGATGAGGCTTTCAATTTTGAGTTTTGTCCTTCAGGGACATATGATCTGAATTTTTAGATTTTTTTTTTTTTTTATATCACCTGAACAAAACATGTTTTATGTAATTTCTCATTTTCCTCTTTTTCTTTCTCATGACAGACCGACTTGGATGTATCCTTTTAAACACTTCAGTTTCTTTTGAAAGGCTCATTCTTTGAAACAGGTTTGACTCACCCTGTATGAGCCAGCCTTTATAAAGCTTAAGAAGAAAATGGAAAGTAGAGGCATTTCTGAAAACTGGGCTTCTTTTCTAGTTTTGGCTCTTGTCCACTACCAATTTTAAACCATAATAATCAAACCAAATGTAGACTCCTAAAGTTGGCATTGTATAACATATACAGGATTTGATGCCCCTGTGGCAAAAATGGATGCAGCCCAAAACCGATTTCAGGGATGAAGTCGAGATTTGGGAAATGGCACTGAAGAAAGATGGTCTTTAATTTTTCATGTATACTAAATTATTAGACTTAACCCCAGTCCTTTGCAAACACAGATCATGTTCAATCTGGACAAGGTGTACATGATCCTGGATGAGATGGTCATGAACGGCTGCATTGTGGAGACTAGCAAGGCCAAAATCCTGGAGCCAGTCCGGCTGATAGAACAGCATCGATGAAGCAAGCTAGCCACGCCATCAAGTGTGTGATACACATGGACATCAGTACTTGTTCCGTAGTTGTGGGGACATGCACTCGTCTGTGCGAGGTATTTGTGGCAACTGAAAACGCTGTGGGGACAGCAGAAAGTCCCCATAACTCGGTCCTAATTTGCCTAACAATAAAAACGTCCCGATAACGCGGTGTAGGCCTGCACACTGAGTCCTGCTGATTGTGTGCGGCTCTCAGCACACCTTTGCCCGCTAAGTGCTGAAAGTACACAAGTTTCTTGTGAGGGAGGGCGATTCAGTACCATTTAAAGTTGTGCACTCGTGCTCCTCGGAAAAGTTTGATTTTGAACTTTTACGGCTAACCATAGTTTCAATGGCCTTCATCAAACAAATGCTCGTCAACATTAACAACAGCAAGTCGTAAAAATATTCATTATAGGCCTGCTGAGGTTGCGATTGGTCATACCAAAGATAGTATTTACCAGCGTACTGCCAAGAGCCAAGCATTTGGAAATGTACATGTGTATGTATAACACAGAGCATGGACTGTTTTGTGATGACATTTTACTGTGGTACAACTGGAAATGTATTGCACTTCCCTATGTGACCTGTCATCACAAAATGAGCTGAATTTTTTTTTTTCTTCAGAATTTGATATTTATATATATGTATAAATACATACTCAGGATTCTGCCAAACAAGAGCTTTCCAATGGTCTACAACATTAAAGAGGTATTGAGTTCAGTAACGGAAATGTAGACCACCAACTTACTTGAAGTTGTAAAACTGATTCTTGAGAAAATGGCATTTAAAACTCCCACAGTTGCATTACAGTGAATATAATGAACAGTCAACCAATACATGAAAGATGTTTGACAGAACAAACAAAAATTGGAGAAAGGTAAACAGCACTTAGAGATTAAGATTTACCTCAAAACAAAAAATTGGACAACCCTTCAAACTTTGCCCCACTCTAATACAAACATTTTATGGCAATTCCCAACTTTAAAGGGACACTGCATCCTGGAATAACTCAATTTGGGCTACAAAACGCACTTTGAACGAAATGCTGTTAATCGAAAAGAACATTTAAAAGTAGGATATAAACATCCACACAACTATCCTTTAAAAACTGGGTGTTTTTGTTTTATTCTTGTGTTATGTTAAGAAATGTACTCTCTCTGTAAAACATGATCATCTTTCTCAAACAATTGTTTTGAAATTGAGCACATGATCTACGATTGTGAGTTTAATAAGATAAACTTGAAATAATGAATACCCTCACGGAGTCATAAACTTCACTGTTTTAAAAATAGTATACATTTTATTCCACCAAGTACCAGCAATTTCTGAATCAATGAATCAATAAACAAGCATGTTTAAGTTTTACAATCTTTCAAAAACGATTCCAACAATGTCGCCTACATGTATAAACAGAAAGTCGGAATCCAGATTTTGATTCAGAGTCCGGAATCGATTCCAATTCCAGAATTGCCCAAGCCTAGTGCTGTGTCATTGCAGCTGCAGCCTAATTCTATTGATGGCATTTTGTAAGATGCAGTTTTGATTTAACAAAATATGCAGGGGCTGGACAAAACAGATCAATTTTTATGAAAACTAGCCCCTGCTCAAGTGAAGAGAAACAATATACATGTATTTGTTTATAATTATGCCAGAACAAATGTCCTCAGATATAGCCAATATAGTTTTTCTTGGTCTAAATTAATAACAATGCTGGTATTTTACTGATTTGTGAAAAATTGAGTTTCCCAATTTTCTTTATATAAATTACTTAATTTCTTTGGAAGGCAATTACAATTTGCATACAAAATTGTATAGGCATTAAAACAAACTCAGTAAATATTGTCATTAAATAATTGTGTTATTCACAATTTGTTGGTCTTGTTTGTTGACTTATATGGAGGATTGTACCCATGGGTGTTGCCCCCCCCCCCTTCCGCCGGAAAAGCAAAAAAATCAAAAAGAGGTGTGAAGTCACATTTGCTATTACAAAATGTAATTTAATACACATTTAACAAAATGGGTGTCTGCAGGGTGTCAATGGGGTGGGGTGGGCAAATGTCCCCGCACACACTCAAAAAAATGATAAATTGAGAATATGCTAGAGAAAGTACAAGGATTTTGGGGGGAACAAAATGTGCTCCCCCCCCCAAAAAAAAATCCTGGCAACGCCCATAATTGTACCCAGTTGACACGGTCTACATGTACTTAAATCGATCAACCCAGAAAGAACAGTAGCCTTTTGACCTGAGGGGAAATGTGTCATGTTTTGACGAATATAACCAATAGTAATTTTTTTACCATCAAAATTAGCAACAAGTAACGTATTCATTAAACACTTCACATGTGCCAATTTAGTCAGTTGGAAAATTAATTCAAGACACTTTAGGTTTAATTAACTCAAGTTCACTACCTGGCACCACACAAAAATTCACTGTCTTGTGCTATATTGGAACAAAATTAAATTACTGGCATTTCTCCATTGCATGGTATTATATCTACATTTAAGTACAATTCAAAATTAAAAAGACACACACATTACACAGCTTTTTTTTAAGGGGTACTAACATGGAAGAAAGAAATGTACAGTGTCAAACAGATTTGAGCTCGTTCAAATGATGTCATTTCCTACAGACCATCCACGTGCATCGGCATTTTGGGCGTCAACTTGCATGACGCACATCGGCTGCATCATATTTCGAACACATTTTGAGCAACAAGCGCGCGTGTTTGGAACATTTTCAACACTGCGTAATGCGTGCTTGATTGCGTAAAATACGCAGTTGCAGTTCTCCTACAGAGACAGCCGTCATTGAGCGAGCCCTATACAGAGGCAACCCAATTTTCAGGTCCACTAGTCCTTTGGTATAAGCAAAATTGTTTTTTTTTGACGTGTTAACCCCATGCGCTCGGGAAGCGGTCATGGCCACGGCCGCTAATCCTCATTGGAATGCAGTTGCCAGCTGTGGTATGCCGTGGCACATGGCTAGTGGGTAGTTCCACAGCTGCTGCTTTTGTGCAGTCCCGCTACCACACAAAGGCTGTGCAGTCATGCGGGCCACTTGCTCTATGTGTGGAGGAATGTCCCCATTACACCCCGTGCTTAAGGGGTTAAAACCAAGTGTGTTTGCATGCTTGCAAATGGCTATAAGTGTTTTGATAAAGTTCAACAAAAAATGTGACGCCACACAATCTTTAAATGATTACGTGGGCAGTTTGCAACAAACGTGAAAGGATTTTGGCATATCTGCAATCAACACGGCAACAATGCAAAAGACTTTGTGTTGCCAAAGTAGTCTCACTAATTTGCTCTTATGAGGCAGCTCCATGCAAAATGGTAAATTGCAAAAACCTGACGATGACAACGATTGTGACAAATGAAGTCTTTCCTAGCTACAGCCACAAAATGGACACTGCAGTTTTGATTAAAGACAAAGAATTCCTAGACGAATACATTCGTGGAACTTCCATGGAAGTACCTTTATTTACTAGCTGAATATTACACTGAATTTTCTGCAATTGTATTCAAAACAGTTAATGATCACATTGCCATGGGTGTCACCATCTGACCAGTATCGTGTCGCCGCTCTCGATGGCAAAGTAAGACAACTCCCGCATGTCATTGTCCAACTCCATCTCCTGGCCAGGGACCTAAAGGGAAGAAGAAAAATTGTATAATCCTTTAAAGAGAACCCATCACATTCCCCTTGTAAAAGAGGAGTTATTTTTGACAGTGATACCAGGCTCACACACAGGTTGATAATGCACACTTTCCATGTTCCTTCACTGATAAATTATATTAAATCTGACCGGCTCCACAAAAAAGGGTATTATGTCGCAAAAAAGTGAAATTGAGTAATATACATCTCCTGTTCTGGAGATATGGCGTATTTGCATATTAATTACTTCCTTGGAGTTTGAATTGTATAACTGAGAAGACTGGCTTTGAAATAGCTGGCTCTATTGTAGAACAACAGAACGATGCACACAAAATGGTCGGGTTTTTTTTCCCTACTTTATTCATCAAAATCAACATTTCTGTGAATGAAACCTGAAACTGTAGGTATTAAAGATGTCATTCATGACAAAAAATGAAAATTACATTTTGACAAGATTGTTACCCTCTCAACATTGAGCGGGCCATTACACATTACACTTTTGAGGAGCCGGTCCCATTTTCCATAATGCACCTCAAATTAAAGATTGCAATTGCATGGTACAAGCACACAGTACCACCTCAGTAATGCCTTCTAATTGTGGTTTGTGGATTAAGTGCATATCTTGCAGTACCGATCATGATTGGCAAGGCCATGTAACTCGGTCTAATTTTTAAGAACCCAGTTATGTATTGACACCATAATGTGCACGAAAACCAAGATTCCGTCAAATCATTAAAAAAAAACTCAAACTCAAAAGAGTACAGGTACAATTGGTCGCAATATAAGGGGAAAACTTCGGTCTTTTTTTAATGTGGCTGGTATCTGCTTAACATCAATGGCCACATCTGAATCTTCAATGTGGAGTTGCTGTCTACTTGTAGGTCTTTAAATTTATCAAATACAACTACCTGTATGTTGGCAAATGCTGACAACAGCTGTTGCCACAACAACTGTTCGAACAGGGCCCAACATTTTCCAAGGGACTGTGGCCAAGTAGTTTGGGTTTCATGACTCATGATCAGAGGGTCAGAGGTTCGAATCCAGCAGCTGGCCATATATTGTGTCCTTGGACAAAAAACACTCTCCACCCAAGAGTACAAATAGGTGCCGGCATTAGCTTGGAAGTAATCTGCGATGGACTGGCATCCCATCCAGGGGGTATCGAAATATTCTCAGCCGTTTCATGCCAAGAAAACCGGAGATAAACACCGGCCTGATGGGCCATATTGGCTCGTGACTGACTTCACTTTACTAACATTTTCCCACACTTACCTTCTGGCTTGTATATGTCAGTCTCTGGTCACTGACGTCTACTTTGAGCAGTTTGTGAATCAGACTCTTCAACTTCTGCAACTCCATCGTTCCTTTAGTAAGAAAATTCAGACGAAAAAAATTCAAAAACATTTGTGCACTTTTGGGACTTTTGGGACTACTTCAGATTACGGGCACTGTGAAAACCAAGTACCTTGCCCATCACAAATATCAGGCATGCACCTTTTCCTCAGATCCGCTGATTTCCTCGTTTTTTTACTTCTCTTGAATGCCATTACAAATTGAAAAATACGGTACAAAGTCTTGTGTGGTTTGGAATTTCCTTGTTTGTTTTTTTCCTTCTAAATTCCCAGTTGCATGCCTGAAATATGTGTTTCACAAGTTTTTCAGGCCACACTGTGTCCCAATTGTATCTATTTCAAGATACACACATGTAGGATCATTTGTATTTTGTACGTGTGTAGGTTAATGCTTAAACTTATTTCAGCCGTTAACTACTTCAACACAGGCTTACTTATGTGCGTCTACCATACAATCGGTGCACTGACGACTGGTAGAACAGATTAAAATTGCGCTCGCAATACAGATTTCATTGCGCCGTTTTCCATCAAATTCGTTGAAAATTTAATTGAAAAATCAGACTTTGTGGGGAAACGGTCGTCAGAAAAATCAGAATTTTGGAAATAAATTTGAAAAAGTCAGATTTCCGATTCAAATCACTTCTCCTGCAGTGAGGGAACGGTTGACTGATTCTCACCTGGGAGTTTCTTGGTCAGTACTCTCTTATTAGGATCGTCTGGACATCTGATGGTGACCGCAATCAGGCCGTCCTTCAAAGTGTGGGTCTTGACAACCAACTCCGACTCCTCTGGTATTCCATACTCTTAATGCAAACACAGATTTTGTGAGAAACAAACAAGTTGAGTTATTTTAAGTGCAACTCAGGGGTGAGATGTATCGGGATGTCTTTTGTTTTTATATCAGATTATTTTGAGAGAAATCTCTATTAAAATCTGGAACTCCTGGGTTTTACGATAATGGTATTTTTACCTATCAAAGTTTATATAAACAAAAAGAAATGGGTATTTTAAGGATTGCTTTTAGGTGGGGGAGTGTAGCCTAGTGGTTAGGGTTTGTGACCCATGATCAGAGGGTCAGGGGTTCGAATCCAGCTGCTGGCCTTATGCTGTGTCCTTGGGCAAGCCACCACACCCCCACTTGCCTCTCTCCACCCAGGAGTATAAATGGGTACCTGCATTAGCTGGGGAGTAACCTGCTATGGACTAGCATCCCATCCAGGGGAAATAGAAATATTCACAGTCATTTCATGCTACTGAAAACAGAGATAAGCGCCGGCCTGACGGGCCAAATTGGCTCGTGACAGACTTTACTTATACTTTTTAAGCTCTGGCAGGAGCTTCTTCATGTCACTTGGAGGTCGGTCGGTCGGTCTGTCTGTCTGTCCCCGAAAATTTACCACAAGTATGGTGTTCCATATGTGCCATCGGCGTCACATTTTTCGGCATCCAATGTTTGAGCTCTGGTAGGGATCTCTTTGATCGAATTCATGCAAGACTTTCATGCAAGACTTCTTGCAACACGGCCACAGCTTATTGTGCACTCCTCACACTTGTTTTTGTCCTATAGACCTTACATTGCTCTAGGTCCCTGGGTGACCCTCGATGGATTTTTTTCATTTTCCCTCAATCTCAACCCTGGCCACTACATGTACAACAATTTGTTCGGAGACCTAAACACATTGAACCTACTTTTGATAAGCTGTTGATATCTGGGATGGAGTTGGAGGAATTCTAGACTCGGATCACTCTTCTCACTGTCCCTGCTGCCCCCACTAGCCAGCCACTCTTTGCAAGTTTTGTTGATGTATTCAATCTCTGAGCCTTTTCTCTCAGTTGCCATAATCTGTAACCAAGCCAAAAAAAAAAGGGAATAAATGTGTGCTCGGGAGGTTTTAATCACTCTGTTTAAGACCGCTTGGAGTCTAGGTGCTGATAATTACCCGAGCCGAAGGTAAAAAAAAAAAAATCAAAATTTTTTGGTCAAAAACAACCGATTTTGTTCAACAAGTTCACATTCATGTTTTTTTAAACACCCCTCTAGCTAAATAATGGAGTGTCCAGCTGGCGAGTAAGATGTAAACAACTCCTTTTATGGAGATTGGGGCGCGCATACTGCACGATGTCGCGCTGAATGCACCTGGGGCGTTGCGTTGTGAATTTTGGGACTATAAAATTTTGACTCACTGGTGATATTGCGCATGCCTACGTGAGGATTGTGAACGTTCAACCAATAGAGCGTTAAGTGGCACTGGATTTTTAGGAGTCAAAAATTCATGTGACACTGGAAAATTGTTTAAGACCAGCTAGCCATGTGTTTATCATTCGTTTAAGACCAGCCACATGACAGGCTCTCAACCAATAGGAATGGGTAAACTGTCTTCAGTATTTATGAATGATGGTTTAAAGCTGGGCATTTTATGAAAGCACAATGTAAAACTACTTCAAGAGTAGGTTTTGCCCTTCACCGACGTATAACCACTGTATACTCAGTGTGCTACCTCCTGAGTGAAAGTTGGAAAAACACGTAATGAGTATATAGTGTTTATAGGTCAGTGAAGGGCAAAACCTCTATTGAATTTACATCACCCCGACGCAAATTCCATCTTATGAATAGTTTCATTGCGGTACCACTGCTACATCAGATTTGAACCAGCCAACCGATCCCACAAGCTCGGTGGTCAAGTGGTAAGACGTCTGCACTAGAAAGCAGGAGGTCGTGGTTTCAGTCTCAACTGAGTTAGTTTTCCAGCGTTCACTCGGGAGGTAACACACTGATTATACTGTGTTTATACGTCGGTGAAGGGCAAAACCTAATATTGAATTTGCATCACCCCGACGCAAATTCCATCTTATAAAAAGACCTCGTAAAGGAAAATCCTTGTCGTTCTTTTGGAGAATATCTATTCACAAGATGGAATATTTGTTGACGGTGATGTGTTCTAGGGATGTCAAACAAGTCCTTACAAATCAATTACAATTCAATCACCATTCAGTCGTACTGTTAGTCATGCTGCAAATTCCTTGACAAGCTTATGCAATGGTTCATGAAAATTGGTTGCTGATAAAAAGTGATTAACCCTATCCAAAGTGAAATAGCCTGCTGCAACACTCACTATGCTGCCGTTGCAGGTCTTGAGCCCTCCTAGCCTGGCTATCAGTAAGGATCTGACATCCACTGGCAGTATGTCCTTCATGAAGGGGTTCCTCCTGACTTTAAGCTCTGTCAGAGAGGCTAGCTTCTCCAGCTCGGCAATATCTCGCCACTGTAGAATGCAAAATGACCAAAAGATTGGATTAAATTCTTAAGAAAGTTTGGTCACTGTCAGAGTAACAAGTAATTTGGCTTGCTTCAGCATATTTCAAAGACTGGCACACAATTATTGTATTGGCTCCGTGTGAAAACAAAACAGGGTGCTTTTTTTTACCAGTTTTGAGAGCCTGTGGGCAGGACACACAGCATGTGCGTAAAGTACTGTACTAGTTCGCGCTGGAAGTACGCAAGACTTCCTGAAAGTACCAAAGCTATAGCCACAGCGTCTTCGCATGAGCGTTTGGCGTTGTTGGCGCGTGAATACATTCAAATTTAACTTGCGATGCTTGCGATGGTCTCCCAAACTAATCCCCGCCCCCAACAACTTTGGATCTTTCCAAATACGCATTGGATGAATTTTTTCATTGGATGAATTTTTTCAAAAAGCCATTGGAATGCCTTTTTTTATTTTACTGTTTTTTGTTCTATTGTAAAGCGCTTTGAGGAATCTTTGATTCACATTGCGCTATATAAATGCTGTTTTATTATTATTATTATTATGAACCGGGAAGCAGTCTAGGTCTCCCCCAACTCTCCTTTTCTGGCTGTTGAAGGGGTACATTGTACTTGTGCACGGAGCCCATAGACTCGCAGACACAATACTATGAAGCAAATGCTTACTGTGGCTATGTTGGAAGAGCCGCTTTTAAGAACTACTGTTACCAACTGAGTGTGTAGCTGAAAAAGTTATGACTAAGACAAATGTGCAAACTCACATTAACAATGCATTTTTTTTCTTCAAACAAGGCACATAATTAAAGCCTATAGCTAGTCCTATAGACCACTATCATGTTGCGGCCATCTTGATGTTTTCCCATTCAAATCAACGTTACCAAAGCGAGGCTGGAAGGAAAAATAGTCTGGTTCCTTTTTGCACAAAAACCTATATCATTCAGTACTGTTATTGGATACAGGAAACATGACTGAAATGGTGGCAGCATGATAAAGGTCTATAGATGGCTAGCTGTCAGCATCACATGGGCTTGTTTACACAAAATTCTGTCTCAGAGTTCATTGCTCACATTAAAACTCTATTTATATAATTACAGAAGTAAAATGTATATTTTTTTCCTACAGAAATTCTGAACTCTATTTTGTTTTCTCTAATATCATTTCATTATGTACTAAATGTGAAGACTGATATAATCCCAATAATCCACACCCAAATAGCACATGTGATCTGCATGATACATGTGTATGAGCTGCATGAGTGTATCTTCATGCTACATTTGTTCTTCCCAGACCAAGGCTTCAAACGTTATGTGCACTTACGCTACTGAGCAAATTGTCACTGACTGATAGGGACCTGAGACTGGCGAAGTGCTGGGTCTTGTCAGAGGCAGGGGTGTCTTCAAACATCAAGCTTGTCAGGGAATTGGAATTGAGGATAAGGGTATCCAACCTGCAATAAAATCACGGGAAAAATGCCCAAATTAGGGCAGAAATCTCAGGAGGATTTCATCACATGCTATTTTACAATTCAGCGTCTGGCACTGTTATTTTGGTAAGGAAAAGGATGACAATTCAAGCTTCACGTGTTTTGTTTGAGGATGGAATCAAGAGTTGTTCTTAATAATAAATGATTATAATAGCAGGTTCTTATAAAGCGTTTTTAACAAAGATCAAAGCGCTTTACATTACTATTACCCCTGATTATTTGGCCAATTATAAACATTCCAAATACCATCTCAGCTCCCTGGGGAGTATACAGCTCGATGCAGCCTGTTTGGCACAAGGAAGCTAATTCAATCACGATAACCATCTCTTGAATTAACAATTTTGGGATCCAAAAAAAAAGAAAAGAAGCGAAATATCTGGGTTTCACAAAAAAACACAAGTTAGAGGATATTGAACCCCAACACATGAGGTTTGGTTTTCCTACCCAAAATTCTGTAAATGCTTCAAATATTGATTATTGTTTATATTTATCCTTACTCTTTCTGAAAAATAAAAGCAAGGTTCTTCAAACAAGCTTTAACACTTTAATTAGCTCCCAATGGGAAGAAGGTGTTGAAAAATAGAGGAATGCTTAAATTTAGAGAGTCCTACCTGCGCTTAAGTTCGGAAACAGACCATTCACAAATTCTTGCAGGCTTACCTCGGTAGATGTGAAAGACACATAATGTGTTGCCACTCAGATATTTGGTTGCCTTCTAGGTTTAGTAATTGTAACGTCTCAAATGTCCCCGGAGCTAATCTGTGTGCAAAATAAATGAGAGGGTTCATCAAGTATGCGAGTCAAAGTTTGGAGTATGGACAAGTGACCTTCCCAGGTGAAAATTCCAGTTGAAACCAGTTCATACTGTTTTAACTGTTACACGTAGCAGTTGAACTGGAACTGGGTGACTACTGGTTTAACTGGTTGCAAAGTGGTTTTGAAAACTGGTATAACTGGTTTGAACCAGTTAAACCAGTTCAAAACCAGTTTGAAACCAGTTCGAAACCAGTTGAAATGGTTTCAACTGGAATTTTCACCTGGATCACCTCGTATATGAGACAAGGCAATGTCTTCACAGCTTCGGAAATGTCATTGGATTTTGCAAGTGCAAAACTTCACCCCGAATTTCAAAGGAAGTGAAATTCCATACAGCTCTAAATATCCCTATTTTAAATCTTGAGTTAACAGTCTCCAAACAAAATTAAGAGAAGTTATTTTGACAGCATATATTTCCTACTTTGAGAAAGAAGTGAATAGGAGAAAAACCAAAATGTCATGTACTTGATACTGTTTCATTGGCACCTGGCCTTTACTTTTTTTTGCTTGTGTTTCTGTTTTCAGGCATTGAAACACTAATGTCTATGACCAAACAATATCCAATGAGATTCAAACACTCTTTTGAGAAAACTGGGCACAATTCCTGTGTTATGAAGAAACTGATGAAGACCAGCAACCATATACAAACGTACATGTACCTGTCTATGCTTGATATTTGGTTGAAGCACACATGGAGTTTCTGTAGACTAGGCCACATAGGTGCACACTCAGCCACCTATAAAGTACACAGCAGGAATGAACAATTCATACAGACATATGCTGCTAATTATTATACGTTGCTACATGTACTTATTAGGATCAAATGAAAGACCAAGTTTTCGGGTTTTTGTTTTTTTACAAAGCACAATAATTGATGCCATGGAAAATTAATACTTAAAATTTGCCTGTCAGAAAACCCAATTCATACTACTGTTGACCATACAGTTGACCATACTGTGTGCAGCTAGATCTCACTTGCCAGCGACTTACCATAGCCCATGTGAGATTCATGTAATTGATTGACAGCTCCTGAAGACGTGAGAAACAGCTGGCTAGACTGGAGGGAGTGGGTGGAATCTGCAGCCTGTTCTCACTGGGGAAGAAATCACAGAAATTGAAAGGCTGTATGCCTAGTATGCAATATTGCATATCATTCTTACTAATTCTGTAGATCGTGGGTCAAAGTCCATTATGGTGCATGGGCCCTGTGGCAAAACTCCTTGTCATTCACTGCTTCTCTTCATCGAAGAAATATTAGGGAAGAGTTGGACCTTCTCACCCCCTCTCCCACCTCCAATCCCCCCAAATCTTAGCCATTCAATGACAGATTTGATTGAAATTTGACATTCAGGCTTAATTGTGTTGATATGTTCACAAAGTTTGGATACAATTGTTCTTTTTTTTTCAATTGTCATCATTGACTGCAAGCAAGAGTCTGCGAGGGGACACTATTTCCATGCACAATAAAAAAGCCCTCCTTTTCATTTTAAAAGCTGATATTTTGGGAGAATAGTATGTCTCAATTTTATCAGACTGATGTCAACGCATGTGCAAGACGTCACCCCAAAAAGTCCAGGAAAAAAAAGAACAGAGGTGATATTGCAAAAATGTGCTCTTTCTCTCATCGCTTCTCGGATGAGACTGTGACAGAATGGCAAGAGTTTATACACGGTGAGTCAAAAAAAGCGGAACCCAAATGTTGACTATTGATTTAGCATGTGGCACTTTTAAAATCTAGGATATGAAAGCCCAATTCAAAAGCTTAATTTCTTTTAGTACAAGAATCATTCAAATCACTCATGTACTTTTTATGTTACAGAATTTTAAACACAACCATCGTTTTAAGGTTCTGTCCACGGATCACAAAAAAAGGTGTGCGTTCTTTCAGCAAAACGAATACAAATTCACACAAATCTCTATATGATTTGTTTTCGTTTTGCTGAAAGAACACTTACCTTCTTGTGATCCGTGTGGACAGAACATTAAAACGGTGGTTGTGTTTAAAATTCCATAACTTGACAAGTACATAAGTGATTTAAATGATTCTTGTACTAAAAGAAAGCTTATGAATTGGGCTTTAATATCCTAGATTTTGAAAGTGCTACATGTAGAACTTCAGCAAAACAATGGTTCTGACATTTGGGTTTCGTTTTTTTTTTATTCACCCTGTATGTACAGATTACAACCATTTAGGGCATATGTCACCCAATGGCTGTACCTTACCTCAGTGAAAGTCTTTTCAACTGCTTGAGCTGACCGGTCAGTTCAGACACAGCTTGCCAAGATGGCAGCAGGTTCTTGGACAAATAAAGCTCCTTTATACCTTTGGGATAATCAAAGTGAAACTAACACATTGTGTACACTGCCTATATCTTTCTGGTAAGATTTTATATCCTTAATATTAAACTTGGCAGAGAATTGTACAAAAAAAACATGGTATTTCCTCAAAATCTAGTCTAGTTTTCTTTGCTCATGCTCACTGGTGTTAAAAAAACCCAATTAAGCTAGCGCTGCAAGATTTTTTTTTGCATCTTACATGTAAGTCTTTTAAAAGACACAATTTTCTTTCAATGATACTGAAATCTCATATAAAAAAACCCCAATTCATCCTCATTTTGCTGGAGAAGATTTGCACAGGTTGTGATATCTACACATGTACATAAACTTGTAACTAGACAAAGATACGTATAGCTGATTTTTTGGGAGAAAAAAAAAACAGACAAACAAGAATTTACAGAGGGTGATTCAGTGGGACTACATGTACTTGATCAATTCAAAATGTAATATGTACATGTAGAATACATGTATTCATACCTGGTGTTTCCTGTTCCAGCTGTGTGGTTCCGACTTGGTTTATTCTCATGTCTCGCAAGACGACATCTCTCAAGGATGCAAAGGTACTGTTTGCAACAACAAAAAACAACACAAGACTTGTACAAAACACTGGTACAATCTACCGGTACTTGCATGCCTTCTCGTTTCTCATAAGTGGGGAATGCACTTGAGTTGTACGTTGGTTAATATGGGGACCATAAATTTGATAGAATATTTGAACTCCCCACAACTCACCACACGTTTTCCAACTAAAAGTGATCTTCCTTACGGTGCACCCAAACTAGGGAATTGCTGCATTATGTTTTAACTTTTTTTTTCAACCTTATTTCATGGCTTCAGTGATTTAGTCAGATTTTAACTTGAAAGGTTTGTTTAGGCAATACAAGGGGAATCCAAAGACCCCATAAAATCTGTGTTCCCATCAATGCATACCTTGCTTCAGGCCCTATTCTAGTACTTGAGCAACATTCTTTGACATGTTCTGCATGCTTTTGGTCAAAATGATCAGGCTCCTATCCTCGATAAAGTCCCTACGACTCCGACCACATTATCTACCTGTAGTTTCTCAGTCTTGATCCTTACACCACATTTTAGAACACCTGCTGGACTTGGACAAAGAGCTTGACTACAAGACTGAAGCCAGGGGCACACCTTTCCGATTTTTCAAATCAGTCACAAGTCAGTCACAAGTCAGTCACAAGTCAGTCACAAGTCAGCCACAAGTCAGTCACAAGTCATTCACAAGTCAGTCACAAGTCAGTCTCAAGTCAGTCACAAGTCAGTCACAAGTCAATCACAAGTCAGTCGCAAGTCAATCACAAGTCAGTCGCAAGTCAGTCACAAGTCAATCCCAAATCAGTCACAAGTCATTCACAAGTCAGTCACAAATCAGTCATAAGTCAGTCACAAGTCAGTCACAAGTCAGTCACAAGTCAGTCACAAGTCAGTCACAAGTCAGTCACAAGGCAGTCACAAGTCAGTCACAAGTCAGGCACAAGTCAGTCACAAGTCTGTCACAAGTCAGTCACAAGTCAGTCACAAATCAGTCATAAGTCAATCACACGTCAGTCACAAGTCAGTCACAAGTCAGTCACAACTCAGTCACAAGTCAGTCACAACTCAGTCACAAGTCGGGAACAAGTCATCCAGTCTCAAGTCAAGTGGTATTGCTCTTTAAATCAACTGTAATAACGGCATTCCGTTGAGATTTGACTCGTGATGTACTCAACTACAAATGCATTCTCCAGTCTCTGACCTTTGTTCCTTAGCAACCTTCACAGCACCAACCATCTCCACCATAGTGATTTGGTTGTTGGCTCCGCGGATGAATAATTCCTTCTCGTCAATGTCCGCTGTGTGGGCGTTGTCAGGGACGTACCGGTCACGCAGTGCCGAGAGGAAGTCCACGCCAAAGTCTGCTTTCTTGGGACGGATGAAGGACCCACCCGTGGGTGAACTACATGTATAACAATAGAAAAAACAAATACGGCGTGATGAGGTTCAGGGAAAAATTAAAAGTCAACAAAAAATAAAAATCACCTGCGGGCTAAGGGCATCAAGGTCCTGGGCAGGGTTTACAGTATATGAATTTGTTGATAGGGGCACTCTTAATGCCCTGTGCTACCCTTTCATGAACCTTTAAAAAATAAATACAAGAATTTTCATTTAGGTTTCTTTATAAGTTTAGAAAATCTGGACATAACTCACCTCTGTTAAAGGTATAGTCCATCATTTGTAATTTCTGCATTTTGTCCGTTTAAAACAACAAAAGTGCTCAAAATCTAAAGAAGGGTGCTGAACAACTAACCTGATGAAGTTTCAGCTCAGCTTCAGCTGTATATTCTGAGAAAAACAGCATTCTAGGATCTCGATTTCAAATCAAAAGTTGCTGAATTGTATTTTGAATTGGGCCTAAATTCAGCGTCTGAGACACCTTCTCACTGAGCCGATTGCAGCTACGCAATGTCGCGCACTGATCTGACGAATTATAGCAACCGTGTGAACGTGTGCGTCGTGTCAACGCTTGGGCGCGTTGGCCGAATAAAAAAACGAACTACAAATGGAAATTTCCAACGGTGCGTCTTAAGACGCACCGTTGGAAAGGCCTTCTTTCGTTAATTTCTTCAAAATGACAGCTTGCCAGAAAGAATAATTTCACAGGGAGTTTAGTCCCCTTACTATCTTTCAACCAAGTTTGTAATTGCGTCATTTACTTTTTGGATAGCTGCCAATGATGGACTGTATCTTTAACCTGATCAGAAGGTTCATATATTCTGTGCATAGGAAAGTATGATCAATACATGTATGCAAATAGTCAGTTAAAACATAGACAGCAGTAACGTTGGGAGCAAATTGTTTTATTCCAGAAATTGACTGACCGCCTGACACCTAAAAAGTAAGGGGGGGGGGAGGGGAGGGGAGGGATACCTAGAGGACCAGAGACCATCTGACGCCAGGAATAGTTGCATCAACTCATACATGTGTACCTGACTTTGAAGTATTGCACACCATTGTTGGAGCCATCATGTTTACCCCGCTCTGGATTGTCCCATTCCACGCCCAGCCAAATTCCTGATAAAAAAAAAGAAGAAACAAGAGAATGGGAATTAACAATAAACCAGTAGACACAATACAAAGCATTTTTTTTGGGCTAGAATCTGAAGTATTTATTTTGCCATTTTGCCAGTTGTTATAAAACTTTAGTCACCGTTGCAAACTTTGAAGGAAAACTAAGCTTGAACCAGCAAATTAATTCAAGCGGTTTGACGGACTTACGAAACTGGTTAATTAACGTGTGGCCAAGGACTTACATGGAGACAGCGTACCTGTACCAGTTATTTACTGGAGCAGTAAAGATAGATCAGCAATTATTAGCTTCCATCCACACCTGTCACCATGGTTAATGACAGGCCTTCTGGATCGGGTTCTAGCAATTTCTCAAGTCCTTTTTCTAATTTGTCTGACTGATTACCAATTTATTCGCTGGAAATTCTTGCGTAAGCGCACCGGAGTACTTGTGTAATACTGCAAAGCAGTATATAAAGACCAGAAGTAGCCATTATGTACAGTCGACTCTCGTTTAAATAGGCCTACAAACCTAAAACCTGGACCTAGCCAAAACGTTTGTTATATCAGAATTTTAAAGTGAAGTGCCGGTCCTATTCACTGTACGCATAACAGCAGTCAGGACCAAGGCTTTACAACACAAACGTATGTTTGCTATAACCAGAATTTGTATTACTAGAGCTTGTATTAATGAGGGTCAACTGTGCCGTACATGTATTTTCTAGTGCTATTCTGAATCTGTTTCCAGAGTTACGGTAAGCTGAACACTGAATCCAAAGGACGACACTGCACTATCTGTGGTATTTCCGAGTGACAGATTTCGGCAAAATCCAGATGTGTCAACTCTGAACAGATTCCATTGCACAGACTGCTGTTTGATCCGAAAGAAAGAATTGTGCAATTTGACTGACAGCTACGAGTATTATACAAAAAAATGTCTCTTTTTAAATGCTGGGGCGTGCCTGCAGTTCTTAGTCAGGGTGCATGTTTCTGCACATTTGTCGTATTATTTCTAAGCGTCCTGCAGTTTCCCACTCCCTCTTCTGCACACTTGCGATCAGCCAGCGCCACGGCCACGTTTGGCCAAGTGCCTGCTCACAATTCCCTGGCGGTATTTCGAGGAATCTCGCCAGAGAAGTGTTTCGCAAACTGTCTGTCCCATCCGCTGTGCGTGTCGTGGAGCTACATGGATGAAGTTCTGCAAGGCTCGGGATCGACAGTTACTGTTTGCAGCCTCTATGATTTTCCGTCAAACAGCAGTACTGAAACACAGCACGACCTGAATGAAGATTCTGTCAGCTACGATATTCAGCGGTTTGAAGAAACTTCTCATTTTGGGGTGAGTACATGAATCAATTTCATGATGCTTTTTTTTTTACAACCGTTGGCAGAAAGGTTGTGCTTTAAAGAGAATATACAACATTTGCCTTTGCTGTAACTTTCAGAAATTGATGGATTTTGATTTTTTCCAATGCTGGGAATCGATACGAAAATACCACTTTTCTTGAAAACGTCGGCAAATCAGGTGCTTTGATTTTGCAGGATGCTTTAGGATGTCATTCACTAACAGTCCAGTAAGATATTTCATGATAATTTGGTAGTTTTGTTTTTTGATGCTTGCAAATGTTCCCTTTAAGGGCCCATGCAATGCTACATGCTATCCTTGAAAATGCACCTTTGTGTCCCATTTAAACCTCATTTTTCAATTTTCGTTTTGCCATTTTCCCAAGGAAATTTTGGTGCCTTTTGGATTTTTTTTCGCAAAATTCCATATTCATGAGCAAAACTACGATGTCATTTTGGGTAGAAACTTCAACGATACAGCTACTTCAGCACAAAAAGTTGCTAGAATTTTGAATATTTTGCTGTCATAAATGTTTTTTTTTTCCTTCTTGATTCTATGTTGTGCAAGCTAGAGTGTACAAGGACATGGCCATCTTAAGCCAATGAGCAATCCTTTCTCATGAATGTTTTCATTGAGCAAATTTTGGGTTGACAATGAACAGTGTCTTGAATTCCTGAAATGACATCATAGCAATGGCGCATTGGCTATCAAGCAAGAATTTTTAACTTTCGTACCAGTACATGTAATATTTTTGTTTACATGTACTTCATGTAAATTTTCTTCTTTTTTAAGTTAGTTTTTCCACAATTGTGTTAATACATGTAATGCGGATACATGTACAAATGTACATGTACGTACATGTATCTATGTAAACGTATGTGCTGCTCCAGGGCAAAACCATGCAGGCCATTGCCGGAATTTAAACCTCAATTAATCGCAATTGAATCGCGTCAACACCAACCTCCTCCCCAGTGTGTCGAACAGTACGCACCCATCACTACCTCCTCTCTCACCCTGGTATTGGATCATTTGCATGCGCAAGATTTTTGAACACGTATGCAAATGAGGAACAGTCTGGTGCCTGGATATGCGTTACATTAGCGTTTGTTTTTGTATGCGGTGTCTGGGGTAAAAACAGAGTCGTCGCAGTGCGAGCATGGCATGAGTTACGAAAACACGATTTTTAAATTAAACTGTTATGATCTTATCGAGACAACATGCAGTATCATATTTCATATTAACATGAGCAAATTGGAAAGGAAATTAGTATTTTTGAGAAGGCGTGGACGATTAATGATTGCGAAAACACGTACTGCACGTTGTGAATAATAGCACCAAGTACACGATAAAAAACCATTACTAGCCAATGCGGTATCGAATCAGGATACAGGAAGAAAGTTTCTTATCCAGGGCTTACTATTGGAAACGAGGTTGGAAATAAAGTAAGCACTGGGGACGAGGTTGCGTCAACACAGCTTGTGAATATCATCAAATTAAATTATATACAAATGGGTGCAGAATGCGCAAAATCTGAGACAAACAAAACTTAACGTTCAAAATTCCATAGGCTTGTCTAAGGGACGTGACTAACCATGCTAACTCGCAAACAGTGATAGGTCAATTACCTGAATGTAATTCAGTCAGTATTTCAAGCTGAAAAGAACTGAATCGCACCGTTGACATGGTTGAAATGCTTTGAGACAATTTATCCCTTTTCACATTTTTATTGAAACTTACATGTACATGTACATGTATACACACATGTACAATGTACATTGTACACTGTACGTAAGTTAACAACAGAGTTGTAATGACTCGAGTCCGACTCGAGTCACAATTTTTGGTGACTCGACTCGACTCGAGTCCCTAAGGGCAAATGACTCGACTCGACTCGAGTCACTGCAAGTAAATGACTCGACTCGACTCGAGTCCCTCATCAGAATGACTCGACTCGACTCGACAAAGGCTAATGAGACTCGAGTCCCTAAGGGCAAATGACTCGACTCGACTCGAGTCACTGCGAGTAAATGACTCGACTCGACTCGACTCGAGTCCCTCATCAGAATGACTCGACTCGACTCGAGAAAGGTTAAATGAGACTTGAGTCCCAAAAATAAAAGCAAAACTTTGCGAAAAATATTTGCAATGACTTACGCCGGTGCCGGTTTTTGTTCACGTCACGTTAGAATGTTCGCGAATAATGTATACATGTACATACGTGGCTTGATCAGTGTCCCCATTAGTTGAATGGCGATCAGCTGGCACCCCCTTTTTATTTTCATTAAGAATCAAATGTGGTGTCGCCACATGCAGTAGCCCAAATTTAAAATCTAAAAAGCCAAAAAAATGACTTTCTCTCTTGTGTTCACTTATTGTATAGTGCTCAAATTTGTGTGACTCGAATTGACTCGAGCTAAATACTTGACTCCACTCGACTACACACTGTGACTCGACTCGACTCGACCATCTTGACCATCTTGACCTAATGACTCGACTCCAGTCACTTCTTTAAAAGACTCGACTCAACTCGAGTCACAAAAATCAGTGACTCGTTACAACTCTGGTTAACAGTTCCTTCTTGTGTATTAACCAATGCTTGGAATACCCAACACTCCAACTGAAACGTTACGGAATATGACATTTATAAACTCCCTTAAAACACACAAGTAATGACATGAACGATGAATAAAAAGGGACACATCTCATTTCAGATATCACCCTGTAGCTCCAAACTTGAGACACCAGGCTTAGAAGTTCATGAAGGTGAGATATCCTTAAACATGTACAAATGTATGTTGGGCACGATCAGTCGATGTGCTCTATTGGTCGTTTGCGCTGTGCTATTGGTCGATCATGACGCTATCCGTCGATCATGATCGTCTGATGGCCCAGCATGATCGATCACACAGTACAGATCAACCAATTATATGTTACATACAGTATCCCTTTTTTCTTACAATATGTGTTTGCATGGGCGTGGATTGCTTCCCACAGTGAGTTTGTCTTACATTCCCTATGTGGACTTGTGAACAAGAGATGTCCACATAATGCAGGTTGTGTTAACGTTATGTGGACTAAGCCGTGTCCACATAAGGTTTTGCCCTTTCTGGAAAACAGGTTTAGAGGCATTTTTGGGTTAGGTTTATCTGTAGCAGAATGAAGAGAAACACTATAGGGAATCATAGAAAAAAATTGGGTTAAAAGAGTTTTCACAGTTTAAGTAAAGTTATTTTTTGTACCGAGTTTTCTTAACTACACGAAAACAAAGCAATGTCCACACAAGGTATGTAATGTAAACCTGTGTGTGTGTGGGGGGGGGGGGGGGGGGGGAGAGAGACATACATGTACGTGTACCTACATTTGAAACCCCCCCCCCCCCCTCCCCCTGGCCCCCGACCCCCTGGATGTGAGCATGGAGCATTGGGTCAGGAAAATTTTTGGATTTTTAGATGCTCTGTGGTGCAATATCTGAGACAATTTCTCACCACTTTAACCGATTTTTTTAGCAACAGTTTTAGCAATTTTTATTTCATTTTAAAATAAACTTGCTCTTTAAAGTGTGTTAAATATAAAGAGGGGAACCATATATTTTCATTTTAATATTTCTTCCTAATCTTTGACAGTGTTTGAAGAGATGGGACATGTATGGCGTAGTTTAAATATTGTGGAAGAAGGACGCTCTATTAAAGTGTTTACAAGTGGCCTCGATTGTCTAAATTCCCTGAAACGTAAATGATTAATTGACAATCGGGAAGAAAGATTTATCACGCAGTCTTTAGATTGCTTTGGCCATTAGCACCTAATTAAGTTTCCTAATTGCTTTCCAGTATCAAGGTCACTTGGTCAGTAATTTTTTTTCCAAAAAGTTGGACATGTACCAGTCTACAGTCATAGGCTTCAAACTGAAATCGCTTTGCATAACTCCCAAGGTGCAAAAAGTTGAAGAAAAGCCTCCTTTACATATTTAATTGAAACCTCAAACTTGGCTGGTGAAATACTGAGGACCTTGTCTTTCGCCTTTTGGAATTTTAAGGAATTTTGTAGGCTAAAGTGTGAGTAAAGCTGGCCTAATATTGTTTTGCATATTTTTTTTCCGTACTCAATGTCCCAGTCTGCTGAAAGAGTAAATATAACCACTGCAGGGGCGTAGCACGGTCATTTTGATTGGGGGGGGTAAATTTTTTGAAAAGGGCACTTGCACATCCGTCGTAAAATGTTACCCCGTTTTTTATTCCCCGGACACTTGGCCTCCGTAAAATAAAAAACAAAAAAGAGGGCGGGGGGCAGGTATGGGGGCGCTGTTCAAAACCGACCATTATTGACACGAACAGGCAATATGTGGGGCTATTCAGGGTGATGTATGCGTCAAATTAAACAAACAAAAAAGGCATCCGAATGGCAGCTACTACAGAAAGGGCACCAATTCTTTTTAAAAAGGGCACTTGTTCAGAAAAAAGGGCACCTCTTCATAAAAAAGGGCACTTCTACAAAAATATTGGGGGGGGGGCGGTAGAGTTGGTGAAAAAAAGGGCATTTCATTAATGGAAAAGGGCAGTCTTTCGAAAATATTGGGGGGCACTCTAGGCTCTTTGCTTATAAATACCCAACACCTTAAGTTCTATGGTTTTGCAAAGTCTTGCTTCCTAAAATGTAGTCAATTGGCGTTTTTCCAGAATATGACGCGACTTATTCTGGTGATAACTCCGATCTTACTTTCCGAGACTGCAATGACATTGACGCATACTACAAGGGCCAGGACGAAGTAAACACCATCTCCATGATTCAGCCCATAGGCTTTGAGGAGCCACTGGAAGTATTGTGTTTCGGACCATGGATAGTAAGTACATTTGTAACATTGCTTGCTTCACTCAAATGTAGTTAAACAGCTTGCGTCGGAGGACGTGAAAACACGCACTGGCTGTTTTTATACACAGGCACGGCTGACGGGTTAAAACGTCAAGATTGCCTGCACTCGTCTCTGGGTGAAGTCTCAACCGGCTAATCCCATGTGTGTTTTGTACACACACACACACAAAGTCACACCCGTTCGTTTATGGTGTAAATCGAGGATTTTCTTTTGTTTCTCTTCCCTTTTCCTTTGTTTGTACTATTAACTTTTTCGCAACAGCTCTCATTGGTTTTGTACACGTTTTCCAACCAAGGAGTCCTCCATTTGGTTTCTGTCCTCGATTTGTCGATGATGTTGCACGTGTGTGTCCTCGATTTACACCATAAACAAATGCAACCATCTTTGTAAACACCGGCAATCGTGGACCCGGCCCCTATTGTCCCTTATCCTCATTCCTTTGTTTGTACTTACAGCTCTCATTTATTTTGTACACGAATTTCAATCATGGACTACCGGGTATATGTATCGGTCAATTGTGGACCCTTTGTTAAAACAGTACAGGTGGGATTATTTAGTGTCTTAATTCCCCTGTGCCCCCTGTAGGCGCCCCCCTTCACTTGATCAACTAGACTTCATACTGCTTGTTTGTATTCAAACTTCATGGTATACATGTACCGGTACGTACATTTTCAGTACGTACATGTATATGTATGTTTACATTCATGACATTATAGTTACTGTTGTGAATGCAATTGCGAAGTGAATTAAAAAAACAAAAACTTCAGTGTACATGTACAATTAAGTACAATGTACATGTAGACCAATGGTTACGGTGTTTGACTCGTGTGCCGTGGTACATGGGTTTGATCCTGACCGTGGGAACATGGTGCTTGTGCTCTTGAGCAAGGCACTTTACCATTATTACTTCGTCCTTCGGATGGGACGTATAGGTCCCGTGTGGTCCCAGTAACACTTATCGCTAACAGAAGGGGTTTGCCCCGGTGTTTCTGGCGTGGCTGCAATATGCGCCGCAGCACCTTGTAAACCCTTAAGGTGCTACATGTACATAATGGGTCTCATATTTTTCATGTACTTCATTTACCTGTATTTAATTATTGACATAATCTCCAGTACCTAATTGTCGGTAGATGCGTGCGCTATAACACTCAGATGGTATTATAATTAAAACGACAAATGTAGCATTAGGGAGACACGTTATCGTAATTTCTTCGACAATTGGGACACATCGGTCATTAGGGAGACATTTTCATGTCTCCCTAATTCCACAGTCCCCCTTTAGAGGCAACGTTTTGCTGTCGCAACCAGGTTATATTTGTTGCTCGTGGTCTAATTAGTAAAAATACCGAAATTCACAGAAAAAGGACCAGGGAATATTGGGTTAGGGCACATTTAAGTTGGAAAAATGTTGTGCACAAGTCTATAGGGATGTCTCCCTATGGTCCCATTTTCGGTAATTATTATTATTATCATTATTATTAATATTATCATAATAAATATCCTACTCATTTGTCATCTATTGCAGGCTATTCAGATTCGCCTGAATGCCCGCGAAGAATTCAACCGCAGCTGGGATGACTACAAACATGGGTTTGGCGGCCCATCCCAAGGCAACCTGTGGCTGGGCAATGAGAACCTACACAAGCTGACCTCCTCCGGCTCATGGGCATTAGGGGTCGTTCTCCAGGACTGGGACGGGGAATCACGGTCCTGTACTTATTTCAACTTCAACATTTCCGATGAGGCTGAGGGCTACAGGCTATATGCCGATGGATATTCCTTTGACAGTGATGAAGGTACGCTGGGCGGTGGAACACTTTTCAAACTGGTGGGGGGAGGGGGGGGGGGCCCAACACCAAAAAAGGCACTTGCTCAGAGAAAGGGGCACCTTCCGTCGGTGTGAAAGTGGGGGAAAGAATACGGTCCGGTTCATTTCACTATAAACCTGTATGACGAGGAACAAATAATTATGAATGCGTTGTCCATCATGCTCTTTCTTTTACCTTACCGGTAGTTGCATGTATATGTATACATGAATGTAGAGAGACCATTTTTTTAGGGTGGCATGGATGGCTTGTGCGCAAAGCGCTCGCCTCTCACCAAGGTGACCACGGTTTCGAATCCTGGCCGCGGATCACATGTGAGTAGAGTTGTGCGTTGGTTCTCTCCTGTGCCACGAGGGTTTCTCTCTGGGCCCTCCGGTTTTCCTCCCCCTTGGAAAAATCACACACTTTCGATCTCAGGCTGTGCTCCGTGGTCATATATGGGCCGGCAGCCATAGGCGCCTTTACGTGCCAGCGGCCCGACCACGTTGTAGCCGCGTCCTTCGCAATTCAGCACACAGCTGCCAGAAAGGATGATTAGCCTCCCAAATTATTATTATTATTATATTATTATTAATTCCAAGAGGGACACTGTTGCTTTTGATGGCGATTTTAGTGACCACTTTATTCACATGGGGAGCAATATTTTTTTTAGGGGCCAGTTTTCCATCTTGAGAGCGGGCACAATTTTAATGTTGCGAGCGGGGCACTAATTGAGCTTTCAAGGGGCAGTAATACCCCCGTCACACCGGAGGTGCGGTGCCACTGCGGTGCTTGTACGGCATAAACCGCAGTGGCACCGCCATGATCGCCGTGGTTCCGCAGTGGTTCCGTCATTGATCGCCGTAGCACCGCGGAAAACTGCCAAAACCGCGGACCTTCGCGGTGGCACGGTGCAAACTTTGAACATGTTCCATCTCGAGAGGAGCACAATTTTATTTGCGAGAGTGGTACCGGTAGGCCTATTTGTGCTTTCGAGGGGTAGTTTTCCATCTCAAGAAGGTGCGCAATCTTGTTAATGCAAGAGGGGTACATGTACTTGTGTTGTTGAGGGGCAGTTTTGATTACAAGAGAGGAGACGATTTTATTTGTAACACACGTGTGCGTTTGAGGGGCAGTTTTGTTTTCATCTTGAGGGGGACACATGTATCACCTTGAGAGGAGCACTTTTGTTGGCCTGGGAAAATCTGGGAGGGGGGAGGAAGTGTCTATTTGACTACAGAATTAATTGCTCAGCGAGAAACTATTGAGCTGCTGTATTCCCCTGTCACCTGCAGAAAGCATCACATTAATTGCCTCGTTGTTAGCAAAATGATCGATTTTGCTCCTGGGTGGGGAGAAGCGAATTGTGGCAAAGTGTCTTGCCCAAGGGCACATGCACTGCAGCCCCATTGGAAATTGGCCATCGGACGTATTCCCCTGTCACCTCCTTGTTGTCCGCAAACTATGCGTACACGTACGCCTTTATACATGTACTACCAGTACAATTACTGCAACTCTTCTTTTTGGGCACTCATTTCATCTTTAGGTCCAGGGGATGCCTTGAAGGCACACAGTGGCATGCAATTCTCTACCCAGGACAGAGACAACGACCTGTCGAACGCCAACTGCGCTAAGCTCTACAGCGGGGGATGGTGGTTCAAGGACTGCCTCAACTCTAACCTAAACGGCAAATACTTGGGTAAAGTGAACCAGACGCTGGTTGCCAGTAAGGGTCAGGGTCAGGGCCATGGGATAGTCTGGTCCACTTGGAAAGGCAGGGACTACTCCCTACAGTACTCTTGGATGATGATAACCAAACTGCAAGAAGAACTGTTCACTTAAGTTATGCATACTAAATCCGCTGAAATCGGAACTGTACATCAGTGGCTGCCGCCATGATTACTTTGAACTGGCGTCTTGACTTTTCAAGTAATAGAAGCAAACAAAAAATGCCAGTGTTTCTGACAGGTGGATGTAAATGTACGTACCTGAGTTGTAATGAGTGACTCAAAAGACTAGTCTAGTCATTTTAAAGTAGTCACTCGAGTCGAGTTGAGTCATTACATGTAGGTCAAGCTACTGAAGAATTGTTTTTGATAGTACAGTGTATATGTTCACGCATGTACCAGGGGCGGATCCGGGGGTTGGGCGTACGTTTTCTTAACTTCTAACTTCGTAACGTACGTTTTCTTAATTTCTTTTCAAAGATTCAATTTTTTTCCGATTTTGTTTACTTTGTGTGTATCTTAAGCACTGTGATTTACTTTTTTTAAAGTATTTTTCACATGGTGTAATTCTCTGTAATTTTAATATATAAAAATGTTTCATGTGTGTAACTGTGAATTAAACTGCGATTCCGCCTTTTGGCATTGAAAGTTTTAAAATAAACAATTAATAATAATGATTAAAAAAAAAAACCAGAAGAATTTCAGCACGCACAGACGCACACACACCATGCACACATGAAGTCAAAGTGGTGGCAAGTTTTGTTTTTACCCATCGCTAGGTCTACCGTTATTGGTCAATGACTGGAACAAAAGTGATATCACGTTGGATCCGAGAACTCCAATCTTTTTTTGTACATACAAGTATAATATATGTAGGCCTAACAAGTTCAGTAAAAAAAATAGTAGTGACTTGTTTCGTACATGTACATGTAGCTTTAGCCACAGGAAGTATTTTGCTACATTTATGCTCACAGAATTTTAATAGACATTTGTTACATTGTAGGTAGATTGTATTTATAACACCGTAATTAAAAAAGATCTCTTTTAAAATCTCAATGTAATCAATTCGGGCGATTCACAATGCAGTGTGCCACCAAGAGCTTGCCATGGAGAGTTCATTTTTCAAGTTTACGGTCGACAAAACATGGCCCATTGGAATGAGTGTCGGTAGACAACTTGAGCTAATTTGTAGTATAGATTGGAGCATATCGTTCTGCCGCCTTACAAAAAACACCATATTGATAAAAAGAACAGAAAAGGGCAAACGGATACTCGAATCAAACGATTACGTGACGAAACAACTGACCGGAAAAACGAACAATTTCAAATGTCCCGTGCTGCAAATTTGTCGACTCTCTCCCACAATGCACTGGGAAAAATGAACTCTCCTTGGCAAACTCTTGGTGGCGCACTGCATTGTGAATTGCCCGAATTGTCTAAATGTATCAAGTTATACATCAAATTGAAGATCTTGCTGAGAGAGAATGAGTGGTGCACTTTGTGTTTGAATATCTTTTTGGGTTTCGTGCACTTTTAATTTGTGTGCCGCTAATGTGACCATCATATACACGTAGCATAAATTTGCAATACCCCACTGCACCCAAAAAATGTAAATAAATTTTTTGTAAGTGATACATCAAGTTGCAGCTAAGAGGAATTCAAGGATGTATTTGTTTCCAAATAAGAATCTTACATGTAGTTCGTGAGATAGGGCCTATTGGCTGTTTAAATTGATAAATTTGTGAGATTTTAAAATGTCTGTCGCAGGTATAATTCAACTTAAGACCAAAAAAAAAAAAAGTCTCCGGTTTCTGGTATGGACCTTGCCCAAAAAGTGGTGCGGCGACGCGGCCTTTTTTTTTCTTACCTGATTTTTTGGCATCAAATGTCAGCTGATGACTGCAAATGGTGCCCGACTAAACTTAGTGCAAATATATGGAAGTCCAGAGAGGCCACATAAAGCTTATTCTCGACCATAACCCAATCTAAAAACACGTTAAAATTGTGCAGCAGCAGGATTCCAGTCAAACCAGTGAGTTTAGCGGTTTTGAGACATCATCTTTCATTGAAAAAAAAACTTTTTCATTTTGCCGACGCGCATGGCTACATGTACGGCGACGCACGCGCATACCAGAAACCAGGGAGTTTTTTTTTTTGGCCTAAAGCCCACATCACAGTTCCTCCTCCTGTATCATCAAATCTCCATAAGAAATGTCCTCCATCAAGTTGTACATGTACGTGTAGATGTAAACAACATCATCTGGCCCCTTATGCTCAATATTGTACAAGTCTTAATGAAATTCAAAATAGTCTTTAAAATATGGAAATGAGGGGTTGATGAATAAATTAATAATACCATGTGAAACCTCATTATTTGCAATACACAGCCTCTGTTAATAAATACTTGCATGTACATTTGTAACCCTAAAAGGGCCGGACATGACCCCAAAATTGTCCTTCATGCAGGAGTTAGTGATGTTTTTCACTGAAAATTTGAGTTTATAATGCTAAAAAAAACCCAGCAAACGTGTAGTGTAGGGCCCCTGTTCTGTTTTGATCAAATTAGAATCAATGTTTTTTTTATTACTAAAAAATGTCATTGTCAACCTACATGTAGTACATGTAGACTTCTTTCAATGTAATGACACCTTTTGGTAATTTCTTACCAGTTTCTTGGGCAGTTGGGGTAGAAATTACGTTGCATTCTGTTGCATTCTTATCTTATGTTGCATTCTGTCGCTGTCATCTTCATTTTACCCAGAAATTTCATTAAAAATTCAAAACCCTGCAGTTTATCTATGACATACATGTACATGTACAAATGTATGTTCTTAATGTCGCCATCTTGGCCTAGTTTGGTAGGTTAAATAATTTTAAAGTGGATTTTGTTCCCTTATAAGAACCGGGCCCTTAGATACACGATCGCCAAAAAAACAGTCCAGACAATGTAATACTAATAGGCCTAATGCACGAATCCAAGACATGCAAGACGGAGTCTTTGGTTCCATTATTAGTTTGAACATTTTAAAAAAAATTACTTCAAATTCCCAACTTTTTTGGGCTAAAAGTAAAACCATCAAATATTTTCCTTTTTTTTAAATTTCGCCTTATATGAAAAGTCAGTCTGAAGTTGAGTCCTATTTTGAGGTGGACTGTTTCGGCTTAAACACTTGCGATTCTTTCCCAGTATTTTGCACACATTACTGTTGACGTATGAAAATTATGGCTGACAATCAATAATATACAAGTACATGTAATGAATGTTTGTGAGTGCAATGGTAAGAATAATCCCATGAGGTGACAGATGAAATGTTCCATTCTACGAGGCGAAGCCAAGTGGAATGGAACATTTCGTCTGTCACCGAATGAAATTATTCTTTCCATTGCACGAACGTGAAACATTCATTATTTGTTTTATATAACACCTGACTAAATCCTTGTCATCTGATTGGTTGACTTTTAATACTATTAAATTGGCTATTATTAAATAATAGCCAATTTATTCAGGTTAAAAACTGTTTAAAAGTTCGGCAAGTTCATCATATTAAATTAATGCAAACTGTTCAACAGGTTGAGAACAATCATATTCAATTTATCTCGATTTAAAACAGCGCCACCACCAACCAGCAGCAGTGACACCGTGCAATGGAAGTTTTATTCACTGTGCAATAGAACTTCCATTGCACTGTGCGCTGAGCACCACGCGCGCGCCATGCGTTGGAACGAATAATTCAAGATAGTGGATATTTTGCCGGAGGTAACGCCGGCAAACAAATGTTTACTAAAGGTTTGCCGGCGGCAATCCATATCAACAGAGGGCGCTGTACTCTTTAAGATAGGGCTGAATTATAACATGTATTAAATTCCCATCAAAGTTGTGAAGCACAATCGGTGCAGTGGTTAAGCAATGGCTCTAGAGAGTGGGATGTCTCGGGTTCGAATCCTGATCCCCGCCACATTGTTAAGGTTTTTTTTCCCATCCCCAAATAAATAAGAATATTCTTCTTTTATTGTCTCAAACATTTTGTTGCAGAGTATTACTTTTTCTTTTTCAGATTTGTGGCTCTGGAGGATTTTTTTAAAGGGAAATAAAGTCCAAAATTATAAAATGGTCTGATTCCCATCTTGTAAATACAAAGTTACAACGATAATATTGGCATGGAGCCAGACTAAAATTTGTCACCGGAAAATTTTAAAGTACAAAAAAACAGTAACTGCGCATGTTCAGTGCATATCCGGCAAACTAACGTTTACTGAAGCCTTAATTAGGTTTGCCGTCTCCGGCAAAATATCCACTGCCATAATTCAATGACGTGTGATCAACGATCCACCAACATGACCAATCACAGACATGACAGATGACGGGGATTCATTCAGGTGTTGTATAACACGTGGAAATCGCCCCGTAATACCTTCTAATCAGCATATAAACCCAACGAGCGATCTGAATTAGAACTTACGTGATGTAGACTCGGATACAAATTTAATATCGCAACTGGTTAAGGACTTTAGCCAACACAACGCGTGTCGATCGTTACCTTTCGTGGGCGGAACTTCACCAACGTATCGCAAGGTTCCAAAACTGTCTTCGCTAATGAAACGAGCTCCGATTTCTACTGTACTTGGTAAGCCAACACCCTCATCACTGGAAGTCCTTACAGGCATTTTTATTCACTAATTTACTAGTATGGAGAAAACTATTTCGTTATTTACACTACAGTCTAGTGAATCGTGAGTGAAGTTGCAAGTTTTGGCCGTTCCAACGTGTTTGTTTACATAATCGATCCAGTCCCTTGAGGGCGCTGTTTCAATTATATTGTCAGTCAAATTTTGGCCGCAGTCAGCGAGCTATATATAGCACGTGGCATCATCAGATTCAAGCGAGATTTTCACTCTTTGCTGAACAGTTCGGGCAACTAATCTTGGTGGTGTTAAGCATGGATAATGTTGCAGCTACTACGTGTGGAGATGTTTTAGATAGTCTGGAAGATTTAGGGTAAATTTGTTTCTAAGCATGCTAAGGGGAGGTTGGGGAGGTGGTGGGTGTTGTTGTTGTTGTTGTTGTTTTTTTTTGGGGGGGGGGGGGGGGACAGGGTAATCAAGGGGGGGGGGAAGAATCAGCCCTGGCATGCCTGGGAATAATGGGTCACCAAATTAAATATGCCATTTACTTATAATAGATTCCATATTAAAACTAAAAAACCCTGATAAATTGTTACGTTCACATTCACAAATAAAAATTGTGTGTTTGCTCTTATAATACAGAGGAGTTCAAATAATTGTTTTCCACTTAGTTATGGGGCTGGGGGATTCCCCACTACGTCCAAAAGATCATAATGCACTACATCCAAAAGATAATAATGCACCTGTTGTGCGCTTTCTTGTGATTTGCGCAAACAATTCATACTAGCATAACTAATGGTCACGGACCTCCAATGGCAAACTCTGTGTGAACGTAGTGCCCACAACAACATGAACAAGATGCATGCTCTACAGAATCGTCCATGGACAATAGCCACCCCATGCCGCCCACTTTCCAACTACCGGTTTCACCAGAGGTCACTCTCATCAATTCGGACAACAACATTGCAGAATCCAATCATACCAAAATACTTTCTTCCCAAGCGTCATATGCCTGTGGAACGTATTACCCGTCTCAGTTGTCCACCCCATCACTGGAGGCCAACCAGAACTGGCTGAGCCCATTGTCCCTACATTATTTAATCCCCCCCCCCCCTTTTTATTTACTCGCACTTCGTCATCACTTTTTCTGTGTTTTATCTTTATGTGAAATTTTGTTCCCGCATCGCACCCTTTGCATCGTATCCAGAATCCTCGGGAGCTCTAGCTCCTAAGAGGGATGTACTTTCTTGGAAGAAGAAGCAGGAGAAGATGCATAAGATGGTTTTTTTTTATTGTCAAACAAATAATTTCACCGTCTCAGTGGTTCATATCTTCAGTTTCTTGAGGAATCACTATGAAACCCTGTGTGTCATTTCTGTAAGATGACCGTTTTCTCTAACAACTCTTTTTTGCCCCACACACAGGTATGATGGACCCCTCATTGAAGACGAAGCAGCATTTCAGCAAGCCGTCGATGGAGGTCCCAGCTCAACCGAGTTTACCGCCCTCGTCAGTTGGCTAGTTGAAAAACTCAACAAACTGAGCAGCATAGAGGCTGCCGTCTCGGCCACTTCCTGTAAGTGTAAGGCTTATATAATGGCATGGTCTGAGTGATGCAGGGTTAATTCATAGAATGCAGTTTTCTAGTGTCACTGTTTTTGGTCAATAGAAAATGATAACACCCTTTCACACTGACCCAAATCTCCATGTTGGACCCAGGTCCAACACAGAGTTTTTGAAACCCCTTTCACACTAGCGAGATCCAACATGAGCTCGACAGGGGTCCAGCACTCTCCCCGGTTAAAATCCAACCCTGGTTGGGATCGAGGTTTGAGATGTTCAACCTGGGTAGAAAACCAAGTATCTACAACCCTTGTCCACATAGTGTGAACAGTGCGCTTTTCCTACCTCTGTTCGATGGAACCCGGTTCCGCATTAAGGCGGACCTGTGTTTTCAACCAAGGTACGATAACCCTCACCCTGCTAAATGCAACAGAATGCACCAGTGGTAAAAAGTTGTTGCAAGTTGTTGCATTTAGCAGTGTCCCGATCTGATGCATTGCACCCCTGCATTCCGTTGCATTTAGCAGGGTAGGTACTTGGTACTAAGGCCAAAAAAAAAAGTCTCCGGTTTCTGGTATGCGCGCGCGTCGCCATAGCCATGCGCGTCGGCAAGATGAAAAAGGTTTTTTTTCAATGAAAGATGATGTCTCAAAACCGCCAAACTCACTGGTTTGACTGGAATCTTGCTGCTACACAATTTTAACGTGTTTTTAGATTGGGTTATGGTCGAGAATAAGCTTTATGTGGCCTCTCTGGACTCCCATATATTTGCACTTAGTTTAGTCACGCACCATTTGAAGTCATCAGCCGACATTTGAAACCAAAAAATCAGGTAAAAAAAAAAAAAAAGCCGCGTCGCCGCACCACTTTTTGGGCAAGCTCCATACCAGAAACCGGAGACTTTTTTGGGGGGCCTAAGGTTGGCATGTATTAGTTCACTGCATTCTGTTGCATTTGGCAGGGTGCCTAGAGAATACCCCTTGGGGTAAGGGATAATGGCCAGAGCCAAAGTTAGGTGATTATCAAGGGCTATCAGCGACCAGGCCTCACATCGGTTTTGAAACATAATGTGAGACTAATCAATTAGGCCTCGCCTCATGATGTCTTGGCCAATCACAAAATCACAAATGTTTGGATCAGTCCATATACCTTTATGTGGTAAGGCGAAGTTAGCGGACAAATGTTTTTGTATCATCTCTTGGATAGGCGTGAGTAAGGGCCCGTCTCAATTCGTGTCTGGAACGATTTGCGGACATTGTATCGGGTATAACTAAGGCAGGATTCTGAACAATTTCCCTGCAATCTTCCCGCAATGAAGTTATTAGTACTGGTGAGTCGAGCAGTTGCTAATGAAAATTTCCCCAGGACATGTCCGGGACAAATGCAGAGCTTTTTCCCGACAAAGTGAATGATTCTACCCGCAACTTGTCCGGAACTCGTCACAGATATGAATTGAGACCGGCCCTATACATGCTTTTGTTGTTAAAATTTGCATAACAAAGAACACTGTCTGAGGCACCTGCAATGCATCAGGTCTGTTAAAGCCCGAGTCCATCATTTGCAGCTATCCAAAAAGTAACTGGTGTAATTATTGTTGAAAAACATACTGGTTGAAAGATAGTAAGGGGACTAAACTCCCTGTGAAATTATTCTTTCTGGCAGCTGTCATTTTGAAGAAATTAACGAAAGAAGGCCTTTCCAACGGTGCTTCTTAAGAAGCACCGTTGGAAATTTCCGTTAGTAGTTTGTTGTTTTATTCGGCGAAGTGCACACAAGCGTTGACACGACGCACACGCGCGCGTGGTTGCTATAATTCGTCGGATCGGTGCGCGACATCGTGTAGCTGCAATTGGCTAGTGATGAGAACTTGTCTCGGACGCTGAATTCAGGCCCTATTCAAAACATGATTCAGCAACTTTTGATTTGAGATCCTAGAATGTTGTTTTTCTCAAAATATACAGCTGAAGCAGAGCTGAAACTTCAACAAGTTAGTTGTTCAGCACCCTTCTTTAGATTTTGAGCAATTTTGTTGCTTCAAACGAACAAAATGCACAAATTACAAATGATGGACTATACCTTTAAATTGCACTGCCAAATATCATCAAACCTTTCAACCCCTGATCCTCAACAGCTGCCGATGAAGCTGAGTCCTTTGAGCTGGAGCTGAGCGGTCTACTGAGCGAGCTGAACTGTCCCTATAGCGCCCTCACAGAAGGAGAGATGATCAACCGCTTTGGCAACAAGCAAAACCGACTACGCTTATTGGGTGAGCTAATGTACACGTACACTAGGGGAATGTAACGAACCTCAGCATTATTTCCATGCTTGATTTTAGGGCAGTTCCAAAGTGTAAAAAAGTACATTTTGGACAATTCAACAGTGTGCACTGACTGAGAGAAATCAGAGATTTACAAATCCGGTTATTTCCTTTATTTTTTCAAACCGAATAACGGCTATCTGATTTCACAGCATTCCAAGGTTAAAATTTACACCCAGCTGATGAGTTTGTAAGCACCGTAGATATAAGAATCTTCAATAATCGATATATCGGAAATCAAATATCGAGTATATTCGATACCGATTATCCCATGTATGAGATAAGTCCATTAATTTTTTTTTTCAAAGTTCCAAAAAAAAAAAAATTTAAAATAAAATCTCGCAACTGTACTTAAGTACATGTACTTGGAAGGGAATATACATCATTTGCTTTTGCTGTAATTTTTTGCATTAAATTTATGGAAATAGACCAGCGTTATCAATTCCATGATGAAAAAATCAAAAAAAATTCTTTTCTCGATGATGCCGGCTATGGAAAACGTTGAAGTTTTGGGGGCATTTTGTAAAAAATCTAAAAGTTGTCTTTTCTCACTGGATACTGAATGTGATGAGTTGAACCCTTCAGGGAATTCAATTCTGGCCTCTAGGCACCTCGTGTGAACTTTTGAGGAAATTTGGTGAAGTCGGATTTTTGGGTCAAAAACTGACTTTTTCGATGATGCCGGCTATGGAAAACGTTGAAGTTTTGGGGGCATTTTGTAAAAAATCTGAAAGTTGTCTTTTCTCACTGGATACTGAATGTGATGAGTTGAACTCTTCAGGGAATTCAATTCTGACCTCTAGGCACCTCGTGTGAACTTTTGAGGAAATTTGGTGAACTTGGATTTTTGGGTCAAAAACTGACTTTTTCGATGATGCCGGCTATGGAAAACGTTGAAGTTTTGGGGGCATTTTGTAAAAAATCTAAAAGTTGTGTTTTCTCACTGGATACTGAATGTGATGAGTTGAACTCTTCAGGGAATTCAATTCTGGCCTCTAGGCACCTCGTGTGAACTTTTGAGGAAATTTGGTGAACTTGTATTTTTGGGTCAAAAACTGACTTTTTCGATGATGCCGGCTATGGAAAACGTTGAAGTTTTGGGGGCATTTTGTAAAAAATCTAAAAGTTGTCTTTTCTCACTGGATACTGAATGTGATGAGTTGAACTCTTCAGGGAATTCAATTCTGGCCTCTAAGTACCTCATGTGAACTTTTGAGGAAATTTGGTGAACTTGTATTTTTGGGTAAAAAACTGACTTTTTCGATGATGCCGGCTATGGAAAACGTTGAAGTTTTGGGGTCATTTTGTAAAAAATCTAAAAGTTGTCTTTTCTCACTGGATACTGAATGTGATGAGTTGAACTCTTCAGGGAATTCAATTCTGGCCTCTAGGCACCTCGTGTGAACTTTTGAGCCAATTTGATGAAGTTGGATTTTTGGGTCAAAAACTGACTTTTCGATGATGCCGGCTATGGAAAACGTTGAAGTTTTGGGGGCATTTTGTAAAAAATCTAAAAGTTGTCTTTTCTCACTGGATACTGAATGTGATGAGTTGAACTCTTCAGGGAATTCAATTCTGGCCTCTAGGCACCTCGTGTGAACTTTTGAGCCAATTTGATGAAGTTGGATTTTTGGGTCAAAAACTGACTTTTTCGATGATGCCGGCTATGGAAAACGTTGAAGTTTTGGGGGCATTTTGTAAAAAATCTAAAAGTTGTCTTTTCTCACTGGATACTGAATGTGATGAGTTGAACTCTTCAGGGAATTCAATTTTGGCCTCTAGGCACCTCGTGTGAACTTTTGAGCCAATTTGATGAACTTGTATTTTTGGGTCAAAAACTGACTTTTTCGATGATGCCGGCTATGGAAAACGTTGAAGTTTTGGGGGCATTTTGTAAAAAATCTAAAAGTTTTCTTTTCTCACTGGATACTGAATGTGATGAGTTGAATTCTTCAGGGAATTCAATTCTGGCCTCTAGGCACCTCGTGTGAACTTTTGAGCCATTTGATGAACTTGGATTTTTGGGTCAAAAACTGACTTTTTCGATGATGCCGGCTATGGAAAACGTTGAAGTTTTGGGGGCATTTTGTAAAAAATCTAAAAGTTGTCTTTTCTCACTGGATACTGAATGTGATGAGTTGAACTCTTCAGGGAATTCAATTCTGGCCTCTAGGCACCTCGTGTGAACTTTTGAGGAAATTTGGTGAGTTGGATTTTTGGGTCAAAAACTGACTTTTTCGATGATGCCGGCTATGGAAAACGTTGAAGTTTTGGGGCATTTTGTAAAAAATCTAAAAGTTGTCTTTTCTCACTGGATACTGAATGTGATGAGTTGAACTCTTCAGGGAATTCAATTCTGGCCTCTAGGCACCTCGTGTGAACTTTTGAGCCATTTGATGAAGTTGGATGTTTGGGTCAAAAACTGACTTTTTCGATGATGCCGGCTATGGAAAACGTTGAAGTTTTTGGGGCATTTTGTAAAAAATCTAAAAGTTGTCTTTTCTCACTGGATACTGAATGTGATGAGTTGAACTCTTCAGGGAATTCAATTCTGGCCTCTAGGCACCTCGTGTGAACTTTGGAGGAATTTGATGAAGTTGGATTTTTGGGTCAAAAATTGACTTTTTCGATGATGCCGGCTATGGAAAACGTTGAAGTTTTGGGGGCATTTTGTAAAAAATCTAAATGTTGTGTTTTCTCACTGGATACTGAATGTGATGAGTTGAACTCTTCAGGGAATTCAATTCTGGCCTCTAGGCACCTCGTGTGAACTTTTGAGGAAATTTGATGAAGTTGGATTTTTGGGTCAAAAATTGACTTTTTCGATGATGCCGGCTATGGAAAACGTTGAAGTTTTGGGGGCATTTTGTAAAAAATCTAAAAGTTGTCTTTTCTCACTGGATACTGAATGTGATGAGTTGAACTCTTCAGGGAATTCAATTCTGGCCTCTAGGCACCTCGTGTGAACTTTTGAAGAAATTTGGTGAACTTGGATTTTTGGGTCAAAAACTGACTTTTTCGATGATGCCGGCTATGGAAAACGTTGAAGTTTTGGGGGCATTTTGTAAAAAATCTAAAAGTTGTCTTTTCTCACTGGATACTGAATGTGATGAGTTGAACTCTTCAGGGAATTCAATTCTGGCCTCTAGGCACCTCGTGTGAACTTTTGAGCCAATTTGATGAACTTGTATTTTTGGGTCAAAAACTGACTTTTTCGATGATGCCGGCTATGGAAAACGTTGAAGTTTTGGGGGCATTTTGTAAAAAATCTAAAAGTTGTCTTTTCTCACTGGATACTGAATGTGATGAGTTGAACTCTTCAGGGAATTCAATTCTGGCCTCTAGGCACCTCGTGTGAACTTTTGAGCCAATTTGATGAACTTGTATTTTTGGGTCAAAAACTGACTTTTTCGATGATGCCGGCTATGGAAAACGTTGAAGTTTTGGGGGCATTTTGTAAAAAATCTAAAAGTTGTCTTTTCTCACTGGATACTGAATGTGATGAGTTGAACTCTTCAGGGAATTCAATTCTGGCCTCTAGGCACCTCGTGTGAACTTTTGAGGAAATTTGGTGAACTTGGATTTTTGGGTCAAAAACTGACTTTTTCGATGATGCCGGCTATGGAAAACGTTGAAGTTTTGGGGGCATTTTGTAAAAAATCTAAAAGTTGTCTTTTCTCACTGGATACTGAATGTGATGAGTTGAACTCTTCAGGGAATTCAATTCTGGCCTCTAGGCACCTCGTGTGAACTTTTGAGGAATTTTGATGAACTTGGATTTTTGGGTCAAAAACTGACTTTTTCGATGATGCCGGCTATGGAAAACGTTGAAGTTTTGGGGGCATTTTGTAAAAAATCTAAAAGTTGTCTTTTCTCACTGGATACTGAATGTGATGAGTTGAACTCTTCAGGAATTCAATTCTGGCCTCTAGGCACCTCGTGTGAACTTTTGAGCCAATTTGATCAACTTGTATTTTTGGGTCAAAAACTGACTTTTTCGATGATGCCGGCTATGGAAAACGTTGAAGTTTTGGGGGCATTTTGTAAAAAATCTAAAAGTTGTCTTTTCTCACTGGATACTGAATGTGATGAGTTGAACTCTTCAGGGAATTCAATTCTGGCCTCTAGGCACCTCGTGTGAACTTTTGAGGAAATTTGGTGAACTTGGATTTTTGGGTCAAAAACTGACTTTTTCGATGATGCCGGCTATGGAAAACGTTGAAGTTTTGGGGGCATTTTGTAAAAAATCTAAAAGTTGTCTTTTCTCACTGGATACTGAATGTGATGAGTTGAACTCTTCAGGGAATTCAATTCTGGCCTCTAGGCACCTCGTGTGAACTTTTGAGCCGATTTGATGAACTTGTATTTTTGGGTCAAAAACTGACTTTTTCGATGATGCCGGCTATGGAAAACGTTGAAGTTTTGGGGGCATTTTGTAAAAAATCTAAAAGTTGTCTTTTCTCACTGGATACTGAATGTGATGAGTTGAACTCTTCAGGGAATTCAATTCTGGCCTCTAGGCACCTCGTGTGAACTTTTGAGGAATTTGATGAACTTGGATTTTTGGGTCAAAAACTGACTTTTTCGATGATGCCGGCTATGGAAAACGTTGAAGTTTTGGGGGCATTTTGTAAAAAATCTAAAAGTTGTCTTTTCTCACTGGATACTGAATGTGATGAGTTGAACTCTTCAGGGAATTCAATTCTGGCCTCTAGGCACCTCGTGTGAACTTTTGAGGAAATTTGGTGAACTTGGATTTTTGGGTCAAAAACTGACTTTTTCGATGATGCCGGCTATGGAAAACGTTGAAGTTTTGGGGGCATTTTGTAAAAAATCTAAAAGTTGTCTTTTCTCACTGGATACTGAATGTGATGAGTTGAACTCTTCAGGGAATTCAATTCTGGCCTCTAGGCACCTCGTGTGAACTTTTGAGAAAATTTGGTGAACTTGTATTTTTGGGTCAAAAACTGACTTTTTCGATGAT